CTCTCATTACTCATTTTTAGGTGTAACTACCGATACCAAGTTATCTTGGAACGATCACATTGATTTTTATCTGTACCAAAATTTCAAAGAACAGATATATATCTTGATACCTTCAATATTGTAACGTTGCATGGAGATCTTCTACTCACTATCCAATATCTAGGTTACTCAGATTTTGTTTGAAGGCTATCTAAATACTGGTCGTCTCTCATGCAAGCTTCCTTGCCCATACAAATCCATCATTTTCTGAAAATACTCCAATAATTGATCTTTCCAATTGTAGTCTTGCAATTCTTATGTATCTATGCTCTACTTGCTTTATCCGTCTCAGTCTCTGTGATAAATTTTGATCAATGCCCAGTTTCACTCTAACAACACACTTCTATTCTCTTCTTTTTTTCTTCATTCTTCTTTTCTTTAAATTTCTTAATTTTTTCTATTATTTTACTTTAAAAGTTGCAAATATAACTTTATTGTATTGTATGATCTATTGAATAGTGCCATGATTCAGGTATTTAGCTTGTTTAATTTAGTTTAAATCTGTTAGTTGTTAGTAGTACTATAATAGTAGCTTAGCCTAGTAGTAGCTTAACTTTTTTGATTTATTATGTTTTCTTCTTCTTTTACCCCTTTAACAAATTTATCGTTAGATGACAAGGTGTGGCAATCTCTCAAGAATTAAGCTTATATTGTCATACCTATGTATGCTTCTGTATCATTTACAATTGCAAATGTATAATGATCGTAATCTAGTGTTTACTACCGTGATGGTCATGATCATGTAAACTGTTGAACCATGCAGAAATAAAGAAATAAATGAATACCGGTAAATAAAAAAAATAAAGTTCTACAATTTGGAATGACTTAGAGAGATACTATGTCCCTTTTGCACCCAACATCAAATTCTGTACAACTTTGCAGGAATTATGAATATGTCATGTACATGTATGTCCTATCTGTGAAATTTAAACGTTAGCAGTGTCCTAATATTCAAATATTCAAATTGAGTGACTGACTGGCTGACTTAAGGGTACATGAACATTTGTCTATAACCCACTTCTTGTAATGGCCAAAATTAAACTGATGGATTTTAAAATCATGTGATGTTATTATAGTTATACAGAATGTTTTCATACATGTTTGGTTTACAGACATTTTATTTGTCAGGACTTTTTTTTTGACTAAACAAATGGTGACAAGGTTTTATATCCTTTTCCCCCTCTTCCTGTCAGATCTGTATACCAGAAGCCAATACTTACAAGAAACACTCAATAATATTGTTTAACAAGTAAAATACACAGATTTTAGAGCATATTTTCTGTTAGTTTTGTTATGTTTTGATGAACTGAATGCCCATCTACATGTATGTGCGAAGAACCATTTACTGGATGAGAATGTGAAATGAAAGATAAATGTCGGTATGTGAAGGCTTCCACTTAACCAAAAATAAATGAATATACAAAAATAAATATATAAAAGTTTACAGGGATCCGGGACGGGAATCATGTGCCGCCGGAATGCGTGATTTTTTCACAAAAAATCCCTTGACAAGGGTTAGGGTTTTGTAGGCCTAATTCAGATCGGATATTTTAGCTCATTTTTTCGCTGGAGTATACAAAAACTAGATGGAATTCGACTGCGCGCAGTCGAAAATGATGCCTCCGTCATAGAGCAATTTTACAAACCAAAACAGAAGTAATTTTTCGGATTCAAGTTCAATTGTAATCCATTGACAGGTTCTCAGAATATCGTGATTACAAGCAATTTCTCATATACATATATGACCCTTTGATCTTTGACCTCGTGACCCTAAAATCTACTCAGTTCATTGGCTCTGCAAGATGTCCTGAGTTAAATAGTAATCCATCTGTCAGTTCTAATGAGAATGCGTTCACAAGCTATTTTTGCATACATAATGAGCCCATGATCTTTGACCTTTGACCTTATGAACCAAGAATCTACTCAGTTCATTGGCTCTGCAAGTAACATGAATGACCTAATTTTGGCAGGAATCCATCAATCGGTTCTTGAGATAACGCGATCACAAGCTGTTATTGCATACATAATGTGTGCTGTGGCCTTTGACCTTTGACCTCATGACCACTAAATCCAATCAGTTCATCGGCTCTGCAAGTAACATACATGACCTAAGTTTGGCAGCAATCCATCAATCGGTTCTTGAGATAACGCGATCACAAGCTGTTTATGCATACATAATGAGCCCTGTGACCTTTGACCTTTAACCTCATGACCCCAAAATCTAATCAGTTCATTGGCTCTGCAAGATACATACATGACCAAAGTTTGGCAGGAATCCATCCATCGGTTCTTCAGATAACGCGATCACGAGCTGTTTTTGCATACCTAATGAGCCCTGTGACCTTTGACCTTTGACCTCGTGACCCCCAAAATCTAATCAGTTCATCGGCTCTGCAAGATACATACATGACCAAAGTTTGGCAGGAATCCATCGATCGGTTGTTCAGATAACGCGATCACAAGAACGGGACGTACGTACGTACAGACGTACGTATGGACGGACGGACAACCCGAAAACATAATGCCTCCGGCTACTTCGTAACGGAGGCATAAAAACTTTTAAATAATGGCCCCTTTCTGCCTAAATGACCATTAAATATAGGTACGGGTCAGTTGTCGGCCTTATACATTTCGTCAGGACTTAAACATTTTTGGCTAAACAAATGGTGACAAGGTTTTAGTTGTTAGCGGCACACCCCATGGCATAATTTGTTAACCAAAAATAAAATATTTTATAAAGGAAGAAACCAATGAATTTATTAAAGATGAACATGAATAAATGATTGAAGAAATAAATTGTCACATGTCACCAAAAAACGTTTTAGTTCTACTCATTTTGTTTTTCTTTTTACTTTCCTGAAATGGAATATGGATCACTTCCGAAACACTTCAATTAATATACACTGCAATAAATTTATCATTTGGCAGCTGTGGATCCAAGGGGGGGGGGGGGGGGGGGGCAGGAGAGGCATCGAAGAAATTCACTGACGAGCAAGCCGAAAACATCAATGATAAGCATGACATAAAAGGTCCTTGGCCTTATCAGGTGTTTAATGAATTTTCCCGGCCCATCCCCTTTGGAGGAGGATTTTTTTCTTCAAATGAATGTCTCATATATACAAGTATATTTATTTATTTTTGGGTAAGTGGAAGCTTTTGCATACTGACATTTATCTTTCATTTCACATTCTCATCCAGTAAATGGTTCTTCACACATACATGTAGATGGGCATTCCGTTCATCAAAACATAACAAAACGAACTATAATAACATCACATGATTTCAAAATCCAGACGACATAAAATTGTACATCATCATTCTGTACACTTCACATATATACCTCAGCATGTATTTGTTATCAATTTTTAAGCCAGTGAATGCAGTGCAATTTTGAATAAACATTGTCATATTTCTTCCTCCAGGAAGACCTATTAAGCGAGTACTCCCCCCCAAAAAAAAATTTAAAAAAAAAAAAAAAATTAAAAAATCAAAAATCAAAAATCAAACTTTAGAAAATATGTAAAAACTACTACAGGACTGGAAATAAAAAAGACATATATCTTTTTTTTTATAATTACACTGAATATTTAGGGACTCTAATTCTGTAGACCTATTCTTAAACTACCATTGCATTGCTAGTAATACAAGAAATGTTTTCATCAAAAGTTTTAATTACACAAAAATTACTCGAGTCTTGTCGGTACGGAGCCACTGATCTCTACACAGATCAGTGTACATAGTACGATCCCTACAATAATATCAAATTGGCAACGCGCTATTTCTCGTCTGTTTCATGGTAGCTATGACCGCCCATTTTTGAAACATTTTCATCCTGACGAGGTTTTCATTAGTTTTCTCAGTTCATATTTGCAAAATCATATTATTTACATCAGCAAATGTGATTAGCTTTGGGAAACATTTGAATGGATTACATAATTTCTTCGTACGACGGAGACGGAGAATGTGCTGCTTCACTCTCATCGCACGGTGAGTTTATACACGTGTACGAACGGAGAGTTGGCGGTCTCGTTCACGCACATTTCTGTTAAATAACTTGTCAATTAAACTTATGTTTTATACGAACGACAAGGATTCATTCGCGGGGATAAGCTGATTTGGGATCTGTGTATTTTTATCTTTTTATTAACATTATCTAAATCTTGTACCAGTAATCTATGCAACGGACTGGAACAAAAATCGCCCTCGGCCCACGGTCTAAGCTCGTTTAGGACATAAAATTGCTATGAGGGTAATTTTAGACCCCAAAATGTGTGAAATTTAGCCAATATGATCATACAAATTCAGCTCCACTTGAAGAAAAAAACACTGACCGTTAACAAATTAATGAATTAATAATAACAATATACGGGCCAGCTGGTTTTGCGTATCAGCACCAACACGAATAAGCCAAAAAAAATCTACCCAAGGGAAAGTTCATTATACAATTTATTGCCTACCGGGTCTAAATACGGCTAATAGTGTTGTTTGGCAGTTGCATCGACTTAAAGATAAACTTGAGTTCTGGTAAAAAAAGAAAATGAATTCTCACAGAATCTAACGAAACTTACACTTAATGTTCAAGATTACAAATAAATGTCATGTGCCAAACAATTTTGGAAGAAAATATATACTGGTTGAGTAATGAGCATAGAAAGATAAGGAAATCAGGGTAGTACTAGCCCTGACACCATGTGCGTTGTCCCATATACATCTTTTTGTGTAAGTGATTGTTACTTTACCAAGACTCTGCCAAATTTATGATGATTTTGATGACTCCAGAACCTTGCATTACACACCATTACTTACATGCTACATGTATATGATCAACTTTTCTGATCCATTCCACACCTTTTCTTTCACAATGCAATCGCATTACCAGAACTCAAGTTTATCTTTAAACAGAACAATTCTTCAGCGTTTCCAACCTTTTCCATCCTCCTTTAAGTACACTTCTAACTTACCTCTACAAGTGGCTTCCATACTATGTGATCTTGGAAACTTGTTCTTAATTGTTGGACTGATCTTGAGAGACTGTGTAAACATCTGGACAAGGAAGAAAATTATTAAGGGCCCAGTTTGAGTACTCATGAAGTAAAATGAGGAAAAGCACTCTTTTGAATTTGGGGTTCATATGGAAGAACTTTCTATTATACAGCTTATCGGTATGCTACATAAAAAAGTTAGAACAGGCTACCAGAAAACAGGTCAGGAAGTTTGTACAGTTTCATGTATAGTACATGTGTGTATTGAATTGTTAAGCAAGCATAAGGGCCGGGTTTGCACTACACAACATATAAAGACTAAAGCAAGATCCTTCATCAAAGAAACATAAATTCATAATCGGTAAGGCACAACGGATTTGATCAGCAAAGCGTCAACAATGCTGCTAGAATGCCATCCGCAAGCATTCTAGATTGTTACCATACAATGCATTTTAGAAGAAAAAAAGTCGTATTTTGCAAGCTACTCCGAATAAGAAACCGGAGCAGTGAATATTTGCCATATTGCCCTTTTCCGAGTTTTCCCCATAGACCTCTGTACTAAATCAGAGGGCAACATTCTGCCATATTCACTCTTTCTTGTCAATGCGATTTTATTAAAGTGCATACGCGCAGTATTGTGTACATGTTTAAGTGTACGCACGGTAACAATTTACGTCATAATTGCATTTTCATACATTTTATTTATTTATTTATTTATTTATTTCTATTCTTTTGACAGGGTAGCCCATTCACCAACAAGTAGTGGTCTTCCATGGGGCCCTGAATGAACATATTTACATCGTTTATAACATTTATACAGAACAGTTACAAAAATAATACTTGTTTGCAAAATAAACATATATCATTAACCTAGTAAACAGTAATGTCAATAGGAAAATATTAATTAAGTCGCAGTTATGTGAATAAGTCATGTTAATATTACAGAACATGCACGTAGTGTATGTTCGGCTGAGCCATTCACAAATTACAACTTTGTTTAAACAATCTCTTAAATGAATTGACAGAGGAAGCCGTTCTCAACGAATTATCTAGCTTATTCCATTCAAATATGGAAGAAACAATTGGGCTACACTTATAACAATCAGTGTGAAATCTAGGCACACGTAAACATCCACTGTCTATTTGCCTTGTATGATGCTCATGCACATCATTAGGATTGATTAAGCCTACCTGAAGGTAAGAAGGTGCTAAGTTATGAACGCATTTATATATCATCATAACGCGACTTAACTCAAACCGCTTGTCTAGTGTCATCCATTTCAGACTTGTGAACAAATCAGCCGACGGTGTGTCATACGTCTTGTTCAATATTATTCTTGCGGCCCTCTTTTGAATTTTTTGCAGCTTAGTTGTATGAGATTGAAATCTGTTCGACCATACAACAGAGCAGTAATCTAATCGTGGCAACACTAGACTGTTATAAAGTAACTTTAAGGATTTTTGAGGCAAAAAACTCTTTGCTCTCTTTATCACGCTAATGTTTTTCTTGGTAAGTTTACTTACGTTTTCGATTTGTTTAGACCATTTCAATTCTTCATCTATCAAAAGTCCTAAGCATTTGGTGAATTAAACTCTTTTGATCAAATTGCCGTTTAATGAAATAGTGAAAGATTCAATTTTCTTGAGATTAGTAGGAGAGCCTATTAACATGACACAAGTTTTTCAGTGTAAAGAACAAGACGATTTTCCTTAATCCATGCCATGACTCTGTTTAATGCAACAGTTAATTTTTCTTCCACAACAGTTGCGTCATTTGCACTGACGGTAAGTGTCGTATCGTCAGCATACATATCTATGATACCTTCAGGAGTACATTCAGGTAGACTATTAACATATATTGAAAATAAAAGGGGACCAAGAATTGAACCTTGTGGCACATCTAATTTGATGGTTGATGGATGCGACTTGGCTCCTTTGAATTGGGTCACTTGTTGTCGGTCCCTTAAATATGATTTGAACCAATAAATAGTCCTATTACTACAACCTATGCAAGCTAGTTTATGTAGAAGTAGCTCATGGTCAACAGTATCAAAAGCCTTTACGAAGATCTATGAAGGCAACTCCAGAAATTTCTTTGTTATCAATATTCAACGACCATTGATTTACAAGTTTTGCAAGGGCAGTAGCTGTTGAATGTTTAGGTCTAAAACCAGACTGATTAGGGTGTAATAATTGATTCTCGTCCAAGAATTCACTGAGTTGTTGGTGGACGACCCTTTCTATAATTTTACTCACGATAGGTAATATTGAAATGGGGCGGTAATTATTCAAAGAAGAAATATCTCCAGATTTGAATATTGGTACTACCCGAGCCTTTTTCCATTCACGTGGAACAACGCCTGTAGACAGGGATTTGTTAATAAGATAAGAGTAAGGATAAGAGTAAGGGAAATACATACATACATGGTGAGTAAAAATCATGCTTAAAGATAAAGACCAGTTATTGTCATGCGATTGCATTGTGAAAGAAACATTGTGGAATCGATCAGAAAAGGTTGATCATCTAGCATATAAGTATTGGTGTGTACTGCAAGGTTCAAGAATCATCAAAATGATAAGAAATTTGGCCCAGTCTTGGTAAAGTTACAAGCACTGTACATAGAAAGATATATATGGGACTATGCCCCATGTGCGCGACACGTGCACGACACGTGCGTTACATCTATCAGGTCCAAATAGATATGATGTTTTACCAAATATATCAATCAGTAGGCGGTTTCTCTGCAAAATTTGTATCATTACGTATTAGTCAAAACATATTCTTTCACATGATTGGTAATAAAAGCTTCCATTTCATGGAAGGAGGGTGTTTCCAAAACTGGTCTTTACCTTTAATACCAAAGTTGTACCTATATCATGTGTAAAAAAATGCCTCGTATAGGTAACAATAATCATATTGACAGGGCTTCTTTTGGGGTACAGGTACATCAGACATATTGGCTGCGCTAAGACCATATTGCCCTAGTCTTCAACTCGGGGCAATATGATCTTAGTAAATATTTCTGATGTACCCCTCAAGCCCAGTCAATATAATATAAATGAGAAACATGAGAATTTAAAGAAAAATAATTTCCCAATATTTTTAACAATGTGCACTTCCTTTCCAAAAGGATAAATAGTCCCGGTACCCACTGCAAAATGAATGTTTTATATCCATTGAATTGGAGTCCAGATATCTTGAATCAAATGCTTTTTCAAAGTCTTTGCCAACAGAGAACCTGGTTTATTCAGACATGAAGTATGGAAAATTCATATCATCTATCATTCCAATTGCTTCCTCTATATTTCTATCATTTTAATTTCCTACTTGATCAACTCATACAATTTCATTCCACACTTTTGTTATTCTTTTAGAAACTATCTTACTTAATCTTGATATCATCATTGGGTAGGAGATAGGTTTATAATTATGAAAACATTTTGGGTCTTTGCCCTCCTTTTGTATAAGTGTGATAATTACTTGTTTTTGAGAAGGACATATTTCCTTAGATGTTACTGTATCTCGAGTGGTTTTTGAGATATCGCGATAATGAGAAAGCAGGACAGACGGACGGACTTACGGATGGACAACCCAAAAACTCAGCATTTGTTGCCGTTGATAACATTTATGTTCTTTATCAGGTTGATTCAATTACAGAAGTGATCTCCAGTCAGCCGCTTGTAAGACTTAAATCGACCAGAATCTTTAGTACGGTGGCATTTCAATAGCAGCAATAAATATCTTTGATCTTCATAACCATACCATTGTAAATCTAAGGAAATCCTTAATAAAACCAAACATTGTTGAGAGTATCAAATAATGACAAGAAACTTTTCAGACACTGATAAATTCCTTCCCATTTCATACACTGTAACACATCTGCCAGTAAAATTTTGACTTGCTCATAATTACAAGCCAGGTGTGATAGAGTCCCGAAGCATTGCTAGCACAATAACAAAGCCGCCTAGGAAGCTCAGGCAGGGATGTGGTGGTGAGTACTTGGTGCAACTACAGTACAAGGATGCAAGTCACATCGCCTGATTCACATGAATCAAACATAAGTAAATGTAATGAAATCAACTGACACAGAGTGGAACCAACAAAAACGATGTTCAAGCAAAGTGCACCCAATTTTGTTTAAAGTGTTGAATTCTACATCCATTTGTACCCTGCAATTTTAACCAATAATTGAACATTAAATAATCATTTTCTCATACATGTAAGTACCTTGCTGATGCTAACTGAACCTTAAGATTCTCTTCTTCAATGCACTTTTCCATGGTGTCCATCAAATTATCTGTCTCAATGATCTGTATAAAAAATGAAAATTAAGCATTATTATTTCCTATAATCTCGGTAATATCACCACCTCATCATCAGTTATCATACTAATGTACTAGATAGGTCTGTTAAAAAAATTCAGGGACAACATCTGATCAGGTTATCTTTGTATGCCCATTCATACTTCATCCAAGCTTGGTTTCCATTTCTTTGATGATTTTCAAGTTATAACATGGCAACAAAATATTTTCTGAAAATTTTTAAAAGCTATGCCCATGTGACCTTTGACCTCTTTCATCTAAAATCTAATCAGTTCATCCATCAATGCTCATAAATACTTGATCCAAGTTTGGTAATCTGCTCAATGGTTCTAAAGTTATCGTGGAAATGAAAAGCGGGACACATGGACTGATAACCCAGAAGCATAATACCTTTGGTGGCGGAGGAAAATTTATGCAAACTGATGATTATTTAACTGTCACTAAGACCTACATCTTCTAACTTTCAAAAATACTTATATCTACACTTTCTCCAAAGAACATACTGGTCCGAATTCACAATGGAGGTTTGTCGACAAACCTAGGTTTATGTACGTCATATGACGCGTTTTGACGCGTTATTTACAAACCTGGTTTGTAAAAACGCACGGAAACCTAGGTTTGTCGACAAACCTCCTTTGTGAATTTGGGCCACTATGTCAAAGCTATTCTTCATATTTGATTATGCAAATTCATGCAAATTTTATAGATTTAGCTGGTATTAGAGCCTTAAATTCCAACTTCAATGGCACAATGTCATCTGTTCTTGTTCTATCGAGTATGGTAGAATCTATTTTTTTTTCTAGTACAATGACACCAAGATCATTAATTATGGATAGGGTAATTTGATTCTACGGCTATTTTTGTGAGGTAGTTTTTTCAAAAATTACGTCTTTTACAACTATAGTCATACAATCAGATATGCATGACTGCTTGCATTTACACACATGACGAAAATTCGTTTAAAATCGTTTAAAATTGAAACCCCCATTTGACTTTCACTTTCTCCTAGAGCTAAGCCTAAAGTAAACACTAGCGCTAGACAATGTAATCCTCCCTGCCGAGATCTTGGCGAGGTGAGAGAGAGGGAGAGGGAGAGGAAGGGAGAAAGAGTGCTAATTTTCACAATTAACATTGTTGTTATATCGCCGATTTTGGGTCATTTCGCTTCGTTTGAACTTTCACTATGGTCTTCATCTAAATTGTAAGTGACTTTTGGACAAGAAAATATCTTAAAACAAGTAAAATATATATTTCCTACTTCTCATTTCCTTTCAGGCAGAGCCCCAGTAAGAGTGTGTTTACACTAGTATTACGTAAGATGATGAAGAGTCCAGCTGCAATCCAATATCATAATCTCTCACGCAGAGCCTCAAGGCTCTGTCCAAGTTTTTAACGAGAGAAACAAAATTGGGGTAGTGTGCCATCAGAATTACATTGGTGCTTGTGTTATAGTAGTAGCTCTCTCAAAGTTTTAACGAGAGAACCGAAATTGGGGTTCTGGCACCCCACCAGATTACATTGAACAGTGTGTTAGTGGTGGGGTATAGTTTTAATGAGAGCTTTTCGTAATGTATGCATTTTAAAGATAAAGTTGAGTTCTGGTAATGCGATTGCCATGTGAAAGAAAAGGTGTGGAATGGATCAGAAAAAGTTGATCATGTCGCATGAAGTATTAGGGTGTACTGCAAGGTTCTGGAGTCATCAAAATCATAATAAATTTGGCCCAGTCTTGGTAAAGTAACAAGCACTGTACACAAAAAGATTCATATGGTGTCGGGCCTACTTACCTTGATTTCCTTATCTTTCTATGCTCATTACTCAGCCAGTATACTTTTTCTACCAAAATTTTTTGGCAAATGACATTTATTTGTAATCTTGAACATTCAGTGTAAGTTTTGTTTGATTCTGTGAGAATTCATTTTTTTTTTACCAGAACTCAAGTTTATCTTTAAAAGTTAAAATTGGAACGCCAATGATATACCACTAAAATTTGCATAATTTAGAATATAAATTGGTGGGTAGTATGGAGAAAATGATGCTCTTGGCCTGATATGAACCAATAGACAGTTTGGTGCTTTTTTGTCCCCAAAACTAAAAAAAACTGTGCAACACCCTCTAACAATGATTAACAGTAAATTTTCCCAACCATCTTTTAATTTTCCCAACTGTTTTTTTCCTTGAAAACAAGACAGGCTTTTAAAAATCTGTCATAACTTAAAGGGATAGTTGAGTTCTGTTTTCAGACTGCAAATGCATGGTTATTGCTCTTATTCTTATCTATGACATTGCTAGTGCCCTTTTAGAACCTAAAATTGCTATGAAGGTAATTTTAGACCCAACATGTGTGAAATTTAGCCAATACGATCATACCAATTCAGCTTCACTTTAAAAAAATACGGTGACCATTAACTAATTATTCAATTAAAAGTAACAATACATGGGCCAGCTGGTTGTGCATAATATAACCAACACGACATCGGCATTGGCTGAAATATGATGTAAAAGACGTTAATTCGTTTCATCAACGGCTTTTTCAAATTATCTAATATTTGTGGTGGTACACAAGGTGGTACACAATTATTAGAAAACGTTATATTTATGGATATTTCAGCCGTCTCTGAACCGATTTCTATCAAACAAAGATGATTTTGTCATTTAAATTGTATGTTCTTTCAAATTTGACACTGTTTTTCATTACAGTATCTCACAAAAAAGTTATTTTGTGTAGCGCCCTCTGCAACAGAACTGAACTATCCCTTTAAATTTCTGGCATGGTATATAGAGTCAATTCATTGCTTTGTAATGATTAACATTCACCTAAAATGTAATTAAATTGTAATAATAAAGTTGGGAGAATTAAGGAATCGATTAGATCAGTTTTTGCCAATTGCTATCATTAATAATGGTCCGTTTTCACTCAAACTATCAGATTTTCTTTAATTGTACATCTCGCATTGAATTCACATTAGCACCATTTTCTCTCATATGAACAATGTTACCAAGTCCCTTTAATACATTTTAACAATCCATGAGTTATCCAAGGTTTTTTAAATGAAGATCTAGGGTTACTCTTCTCTATTATTTTACAGTTATCATTAAATGCCTGTTTGAATACTTGAAAGAAACTATAAAATTATACCCACCTTTTTTCTGATCTCCTCTACATTTGCTCCTAATGATGCAAATACTTTGAAAGCAGCTTGCCTCAATTCAGCCTGTATGTAAACACTCTGTTCCTATGCATACAAAATAGATAAGAGACTTCAGAGACAGTATTCATTAAAGTACTTAACGCTAAAATTGCTGTGTTAATCAGTTCATGGGCTCTGCAAGATAAATACATGACCCAAGTTTGGCAGGAATCCATCAATGGGTTCTTGAGATAACGTGATCACAAGCTATTTTTTAATACATAATGAGCCCTGTGACCTTCGACCTTGGATCTCATGACCTTAAAATCTAATCAGTTCATTGGCTCTGCAAAGTACATACATGACCCAAGTTTGGCGGGAATTGAACAATGGGTTCTTGAGATAACGCGATCACGAGAACTGGACGTACCGACGGACAACCCGAAAACATAATGCCTCCGGCTACTTTGTAGCGGAGGAATAAAAATATGGTCCTTTAACCTATAGAAGATGGAACACTGGGGGCAGCATCACCAAAATTTATAGGTGTGTAGATTATACCAAGATGCACCTCCATACAAAATTTGAAAGAAAGAGTCCGTCAAGGAATGATACAGTTGGACTGCACATCAGAGTACACACATGCCACCTATCAGAATATGACCTTTGACCCTATAAAAGACGGAACACTAGAGGCAGCATCACCAAAATCTATAGGTTATTAGATTATAGAGAACCGAAGCTGTGACGTCATAAAAATATATTTTTAGAATTTCTCAATTTTTTCTTCATTTTCCGAAAGAACATCAAAAATAATGTCCAAATGTCGAAAACCAATTGAATATGTTAAATATTGGCTGAGATATGACCATCTGAATAAATATACTCCCCATAGGAACTCAGTGTTATATGCTCTGGCTCCTAATGGTTAGGAGCCAGAGCATATAACACTGAGTTCCCATAGGACATATATTCTTTCAGATGTTCATAACTCAGCCAATACTTAACATATTCAATTGGTTTTCGACACTTGGACATTATTTTGGGTGTTCTTTCGGAATATGATGAAAAAATTGAGAAATTCTAAAAATAGATTTTTGATGACGTCACACTTCACCACTCTATACCAAGATACACCTTCGTTCAAAATTTGAGCGAAATTCTTTGAGAAATGTGGCCTATTTAGCACACATAATCCATCCACAAAAATATGGTCTTTACCCTATAGAAGACGGAACACTCGGGGCAGCATCACTAAAAGTTATAGGTGTTGAGATTATACCTCGATACACCTCCATACAAAATTTGAAAGAAATCCGTCAAGGAATGTGGCAGTTAGAGCGCACACAAGAATATGACGCGGCGGCGGCATAACGCTGCTGAATCCAAAGTACCCCACCGGCATACTGCCAGGGGATACAATAAGGCACACAAAGTTTCATATCTACAGTGTATATCTCAAATAGTTATTGAATTATTGCTTATTGACTAATAGTCATTATCACATATCCGCAAATTCTGCAATATTGTGCAATACGTTCAGTTTGGCTGAATGCAGTGCAACAATTTTTGACGCTGCACGATACCTGTTGATTGGAATGTTATAAATTTGGTATCAAAAGATTTGTAAGACACTAAGCGACAAAGTCATGAAAGCTTGCGGCGCCAAAAAAATGTATCCTTGAAGTTATGGCAGGGAGCGTCAAAAAGGGAGGGGTGGATTCTGCCACCTGAACAAACAGTTAGGGACAAAAGACCCCAACATTTAAACCATCAAACATCAATAGCAAGCATACTTTGTTTGCAGAGTTGCTTGGTGAATACTTGAGAAAGAGAGCAAGGGTAGGGATGAGATGGTCTGTGATGCTTGCAGAAACCTGGAGGGAAACATCCTCCTCAATGAGGAAGGCCAATGTCTCTGCTGCTTCTACTCTTTCCTCCACCATTCTGTCCTTCTTACACATCCTGGCAAGGCTAGGGAGCACCTGTGGGGTGAAACATATATGCATACAGTCATCAGAAGTAATGGTATGGATTTAAAATCAGTTTGAAACCAAATTGTTGCTTTAGTGTCCTGACTCCTCAAAAACACCATCTTAAATGTTTAAATCCCTTAGATATGACATTAAGTTAGTGCTGTAGCTCGGAACCGAAAACCTGGGCCCGGCAATTCTCCAAATTTAAAAACCGATCCGGACACCCCGTTACCCGAACAGGGCGGGACTGACAAATTGATTTAGAAAAGGACAATTTATATATATATACACCAAATCTTATGTGACCTACTGACCTTGTTCTTAATTGCGGACAAACCATTACATTTTTATTTTGCCGTCTGCGGTCTAGAAATGCTGTTTGCCCATATTCCAGGATCAAACAAGAAGCATGTATGATGATAAGTCCCAGGTTAGCTTATATTATCATCTCATAATCCAGCCATCCCACAGACTCAAACACAACTAGAAATGCAATCGTGTCAGAACGATGTGCATGCAATGACGTCATGTTTTTACGTGTCAAACGTAAGAGCATCTTTTGGACTAGTTACGCAGAGTATGAAATAGCATTTAATGTCATGCTTGACAGATTTTAAAAATCCGGCTTCGAGATGCTCTGAATTTGGCCACTTAGAATGTGCCTGTAAAATTTCAAGAAAAATAAAGATCGTTCTGGGGTCCAAAAGCGTGAACCCGAGTTGCCCCATAGACAATGCGTGTGATGCATGGGCGGAAAACGTACAGGATCTGTATTATGACCGGACTTAAATTATTTTTTTTCTCTCTCTTTATGTCTCTTTATGGGACGTATTTGGTATCATTGGAAAGAAAATTGCATGGTTGTTATTCTAAATCACTCTCTTTTTTTCTATGATAGATAATCCTATCGAAACATGTGATGCAAAAAAGATTTATAGGACAAAATGATGTCTTTAATGGCCCCCTAGATCAATTTCTAAAATCCGACTTCAAGGTGCCCCCCGTATTGCAACTCGGGATGTCACTGCAAATTTTCAAGGAAAAAAGAGAACCTTAAGGGGGCGAAAAAGCAGTCTGAAAAAATGATGTCATAGCCGATACGTGTTATAATTGGAAACTTGGCGGAATTCGTATTGTGACCTTTGTTTAAATGCCATTTACTCACAATTTTCTGTGTGAACATATACCATACTTGGTATCATTCCAAAGGGCACTTCATTGCGGTCAGTTTGACACCATTGTCATCTGTGCGCAATGTTCTGCACACATTAAACGCGCTATTACGTAATGCATAGTAAATTTATCATTTTTGAGTGATTTCGAAATCGAAGAATGTAGTGACCTTGATGAGAAAGGAAAAGGACATGAGGAAAGCACCTAACTAGGAATAACAAGCACTGTGTGCAAAACGAATGCGATTCCTGACGATAAGGAAAACAAGGAGAAGGAGGAGAATATTAATGGGGCAGAATGTGAACGAAAACAAGGCAATGACGAAGGTCGTCATTGCAATTTAGTCCATTTACTTCTCTTTACCAGCCAATAGCAAATGAGAGTCAAAAGACCATGCAATGCCCCAGTCAGAGTACCCATCCCATATACTCTTCTACGTATGATTGGTACATTTGTCTGTCAATTATAAACAAGAATCACATGGAAAGTCCATGCTTTACACGCAACGGAGATTGCATACATTTTGGAATGTGCTAATATCCGATAATAAAGCCCTGTTCAAAGAAACCGCATGTAATTTTACACCCAGCTGGGCGCCAGCTGTCTGGCAGCAGTAATCTCTACAAATTCATTTGTAAACAATTAATTCAGACAAGAGCTGCATTTAATACGCTTCAAGCAAATTTCTACATGTTTACACATTTGAAGGTTTCGTCTCAGTCAGTTCCTCTCACCTCCCTTCTCCCCCAAGTCTCTCACTCTCTCAATATCAGTATTAATATAAATCCCTTGCCGACTCGGCCCCCCTAGAATAAAGTGTATACATGTATATAAATAAAATAATGATAACAATGATTTTTTAGAAATATTAATTGAAAACCAGAACGTCAATGACGTAGCGCTCATCCGCATCTCGCAACAACAAATATCGTAAATTTTAAGTGGTAAATTTTATATTGTACACTTTTGAACTGGTCAAAAAATAAAAATTTGATGCCCTGGAAGGGACATAATTTCATTTAGCTGTACAAGATTAAATAGAAACTAAAGGAAATGTAAATAGAAACTAAAGGTTGTTTTTGGAATAAATTTGCATAAATTACCATAATTAATTAATGGAGAACAATTTCAAAATTCTGTGTAAAAATTTAGTGTACCTGTACCAGAGTAAGCTCTACCAGATAAAGCAAACCAAATCAAAATCGGTCGAGAAATGAAGGAGAAGAAGCATTTTTTGTGATTTTGAATAAATTTGCATAAATTAGCATAGATAATGAATTTCATGATTCTGTGTAGAAGTTTTAAATCCCCCTCCTAGCCCTATCATATGAAACAATCAGAATCAAAATCAGTTGAAAAATAACGAAGAAGAAGCATTTTGAAAACTGTGGACGCATGGACGGTCGGAAGGACGGACAGATGAACGGTACGACCGACGCACGGACGGACGCCACGGCATGGCATAAGCTCATCAGCAATTCAGTGAATTCATTGTTAATAAGTGCGGCTTGGGAATCAACCACCCTTTCTATCTCATTTTTCTTACTTTTCACTCTCTCCATGGTCCATGCTCTCTGTGACACGTAATCCACCTCTAACATCGGCGCCCGAATACAAACTTTCATCTTCACACCCCGCACTCGATCTTGATGTATACATGTGCATGTACGTATGGTGAGGACATGGTTACCACATGGCTTCGGGACCTCCCAATGAGGTGCATGCACATGCGGTCACCAAACTGTGATTTATGCTGGTATCAAACTCCACCCACATAGCTAAAGAAACTTCTTGATTGGTCACTAATTTTGATCAGCTCATTATTGCTGTATTTCCATGGGTGTGTGCAGACGAGTATGAGGGGGGGGGCGGTTAGATTAACGGATAAGAGCACAGCTGCAGAGATTATTGCAGTCCTGATTGCACTTTTAAAATTTGACAATAAAAATTGTTGATCACATACATTGACAAAGGTAACGGTATACCCATGTGCAGATGAATTTAAAAAAAATTAAAGACAATGTATTAAACAAGATGCGCGTGCAGCCGACAGGCAAGGGGACAACTGTCAAACTCGGTGATAGCGTGGGAATTTTTTTATGTCGCCTTGTCTGTAAACATAAACAGCTGAAGCTAAAATGATAACTGCCCTGAACTTTTTTTTTACACCTACCATATGTCTGAGCTAAAGCAGAGCCTCAGAGGCATATTGATGAATTCTATTTATGAAATAGGATTTAACTAGTAATTCAGAAATTCAGAGATTAACAATTATGATAAATTCACCTTCACTTATAATTTACTTTACTTTAAAAAACAAATATAGAAACAAAAGTAAAGGGTAATTTTAGCATCTTTATACATAGGCGGCTAATTTGTTGTTATTATCTGTTTTTAAAAATTTGCCCCTGGTTCTTCAGAAATTACCCCTTCTTCTGGTTAAATCCTGTTGGAAAGGGGAAACTTTTAAAAATGAATTGCCCCTTGCTCCTGGCCGCTTACTACAAGGCTTGTCAATCCCAATAAACATAATGAGGGTTAAAGCTTCTTCCAGTGAAGACAAGGGGTCTCATTTGAAGTTCTGTGTGATCATACCAGGACATTACTCTGAGAATTCTTTGCACACAGGAATCGGATTGTTCTTGTCAGCCTATAGGAATGACAGAATTTAGTAGTCAGGTTAGGTACCAATATAAAAAATTAAGATGAGTATTAAATTGCTTACCCGTTGTACAATCAGAGGGCACCTGGAACTTATTGCACCTGCTCTACACAGGTAACACAAGCTATTCAATGAGAAGAAAAATAACATAAGAAAACAAAAACAATATCATACAGTATTTGCTATTTAAAAAATTCAATGCTTTTGGTAATCTATTGTCTTACTCCAATCAACATGTAGGCAGGAATAATATGTTGCTCTTTCACATTTCATACACACATTTGTATCAACTCTTTCATCATGGCAGCATGGGTTCTATCATTGTGATATGAATGACTTTGCAAAATATGAATAATTTAGTCACCTATTTTTATTTACATGAATAATTTCCCCTAAATAAATGTATGGACTTTAACTTTATATTATTTTATACTTCAACACTAGCAGGGCCCGCGGAAATCCGTGGTATTCTAGAGGGGGGGGGGGGGGGGGCGAGGGGTGTAAATAGATATATATAGTGCTGTAGCCAAACCGCCAAACCGAACGGAAGTTCACCGAACATGGCACTTCCGAACCGAACCGAACCGAACCGAACGCAAAGGCCTGGTTCAGATGTTCGGCAGAAAAATATGAACGTTTTTGCAAGCTAATAAACTTGTCATTTTGTACCTAATTTTCATGTCATGATTGCTCATTTTATATTTACTTTTTTCCCATTTTCCGCCTTTGTGATTTATGCCTATCCAGTGGAAGGCGCGACTTCACTGGCGCCATTTAAATCCCAAATCCTGACCACGCTACATGTACGTCGCGATCGCAAACCATAAACAAGGATACATGTGCGTGATCAAAACAAGTTCAGCTCAAACCCATTCAACAAAAAATTAATATTTGAATTGTAACAATATCGGACAAATTTTACAATATAAATAATGAAATAAATATATATTATAGTATGGTATTTATTTATTCAGGAAAAATAGGGATTTTATATTTTTCCTATTGAAAATAAAAACTAATAAACTAGATGGAATTCGACTGCGCGCAGTCGAAAATGATGCCTCCGTCGTAGAGCAATTTTACCAACCAAAACAGAAGAAATTTTTCAAATTCAAGTTCATTTGTAATCCATTAACAGGTTCTCAAAATATCGTGATTACAAGCTATTTTTGCATACATAATGAGCCATGACCTTTGACCTCATGACCCAAGAATCTACTCAGTTCATTGGCTCTGCAAGATACATACATGATCTAAGTTTGGCAGGAATCCATCAATCTGTTCTAATGATAATGCGATCACAAGCCATTTTTGCATACATAATGAGCCGCGTGACCTTTGACCTCATGACCCCAAAATCTAATCAGTTCATCGGCTCTGCAAGTAACATACATGACCAAAGTTTGGCAGGAATCCATCAATCTGTTCTTGAGATAACGTGATCACGAGCTGTTTTTGCATATATAATGAGCCCTGTGACCTTTGACCTTTGACCTCGTGACCCCAAACTCTAATCAGTTCATTGGCTCTGCAAGATAAATACATGACCAAAGTTTGGCAGGAATCCATCAATCTGTTCTTCAGATAACGCGATCACGAGCCGTTTATGCATACATAATGAGCCCTGTGACCTTTGACCTTTGACCTCGTGACCCCAAAATCTAATCAGTTCATCGGCTCTGCAAGATAAATACATGACTAAAGTTTGGCAGGAATCCATCAATCGGTTCTTCAGATAACGCGATCACGAGCTGTTTTTGCATACATAATGAGCCCTGTGACCTTTGGCCTTTGACCTTGTGACCCCAAAATCTAATCAGTTCATCAGCTCTGCAAGATACATACATGACCAAAGTTTGGCAGGAATCCATCAATCGGTTCTTCAGATAACGCGATCACGAGAACGGGACGTACGGACGTACGGACGGACGTACGGACGGACGGACAACCCGAAAACATAATGCCTCCGGCTACTTCGTAACGGAGGCATAAAAACAGTTATTGACGAGTCTGAGTCTCTATTCAAGATGGCAGCTTTCATGACATTAGACAACAACCGTCTTGGAAAATCTTTAAAAAATATCATTTATTGACAAATTGAAAACATGATTCTTTTAAAATTGAAAATAAAACACAATTCAAGACAGAAATACGAATGTAAGTAGTATTTTTCTTCACAAATAATGACGTGTAGAGCAGTTTTTTAATGTGAAATTCGTGCTGGTCGGAAGCAGTGTGCAGAAGTCCACCGTGCTGGTCGGGCCCGGCAGGCCAGCTGGCCCGCCCAGTGCCAACCGCCGTGGCTATAACGCTGCTTGCTATTATATTACCGAACCCCGAACCGAACAAAGTTCGGGGGAAAGATTGCCGAACTCTTCCGAACAGAACCAAACACGAACATAGCGTCTGACTTACAGCACTAGATATATAGAGACTCTCTAAATTAAAACCACCAAGATCTTTATTTGCCATTTATAAAAATAAAACCTGATCCAACTCTACCGGTAGTTATTCTTAAAGCCTCTTTCATACTGGAACGGCGTAGAGTTGCGTAGTGTGGCGTACAGACTACGCAGAAATTATGCTGCGTATTAATGGAAAAATGTTGCTTCACTGCGTAGGTTATGCATAGGCTGGTGTACAGGTTTGCTTATGGCTGCTTACGGTTGCTTACTGTGTGGAAAGCTTTTACTGCTTTGTCGATCTGGCATAGGGTAGCGTACTGTTGCGTAGGCATGGCGTACAGTAGCATAGTGTTGCGTAAAAAGGCGAACTTTCTGCGTCAAGTTTCTACGCCGAAAGTACGCGGAATTGTTTGCGTCCATCTTGCGTACCCCTTTGCGTCCCTCAGCATATAGTAACGTAGGCCAGCGTAGTTGGTACGCAACACTACGCAACTCTACATATGGCACTACATTCTTGCCATAATATCAATGTGCATCCTCCATCCATTTCAAGAGAAAATGCACTTAAAATGAAAGTGAATTACACAAGGGGTGTTTTTTCTTGATGACACCTCATCTATAATTTATAATTAGAGAAAGACTACCGGTATTTCAAAACACTAAATAACTTCAGTTTTTTGAGGATGAGAGTTTGTTAGAAGAGCAAGCTGGCTTCTGGTCCAACTATTCAATCACAGATAATGTACATGTTTTTCTATTATTGATGTTTATTTAAAGAATTCTTAACGCCTTTATTGTGCATTCATTGACTTTAAGAAAGCCTTTGATTTGGTTGACCGTGCAGCATTGTGGGTTAGAATGTTTAGAATGGGAGTAAAAGGCAAGATTGTTAATGTTATAAGGAACATGTACAGGTGTGCTAAATCATGTGTTGCTAACAAGGGAGATATGTCCATTTTATTTACATGCAATATTGGAGTGCGTCAAGGTGAAAACCTCTCACCTCTCTTGTTTGCTATTTATTTGAATGATTTCCAACAATCTATTGGAAACTCGTACAAGGGCTTGGAATTTTTTAATACTATTATTGCCTTTTGATGGTATTGAAATATATAAGGATTTATTTTCTTTGTTATATGCTGATGACACAATTATTCTAGCAGAAACTCCTGAAGAGTTGTAAAAAGCCCTAAACGCAGTGAAAGATTATTGTGATACTTGGCACTTAACTGTTAATGCCAGCAAAACGAAAATTGTTGTTTTTTCACGTGGGAAAGTTAGAAGAATTCCAGAATTTGTTTATGATGGTGGTGTACTGGAAGTTGCTTATGACTTTGTATATTTAGGAGTGACGTCTTATTATAATGGTAACTTTAAAAAAGCAATTGCTAAACAGGTCACACAAGCTCGAAAGGCAATGTATAGTATGTTAGTAAAGGCAAAAAGGTTGCATTTATCTGTTGATACACAATGTTATTTGATCACTTAGTTTTGCCAATTCTATTATATGCTAAGGTCTGGGGATATGAGTGTATAGATCAACTTGAAGTTTTTCAAAGAAAATTTTTAAGAACGATATTGTTTGTAAATAAGTGCACACCTGACTGCATGGTTTATGGTGAAACTGGACGTGGTAAAATACTCAATAAAATTAAGTGTAGAATGATTGGATATTGGGTTAGATTAGTTAAAGGGAAGCAGTCAAAGTATTCATTGATTCTTTTTTTAAATTTCTGTTGCAGTTGCAAAGTGAAGGACAAAGTTTAGTTAATATAAAGTCACAATGGGATGAGTTTCTTGCAGACAGTTTTGACTATGCAGGACTTGGGAACTTCTGGCGAGCTCAAGGAGAAGGATAGAGTGCTGCCTGGATTATGAATACTATGAAAACCAGGCTTTCTGACATGTCTATTCAGGAATGGAGCGCAGCTACCTGGTCAAATCGTATTTGCACGAGCTATAGGATGTTTAAGAATGAGTTGGTTTATGAAAAATACCTGCAGATATTATGTCAGAAGGAAGCAATAGCTTTAAGGTAGATATTCATTGATTTTAAAAACTAACTTTATTTTCATTATTGCAAAGTTGAAACTTTGATTCGACAAGGTTATCAAAATTCAATGCTTGGAAACATTCAGAATAGTGATTATTATAAATTACAAAACGCTTAAATACAGCCCCGGCATAGCACCCGAAGAGCTCTCCAAACGCTGCTGAGATGTGTGAGATCACAGTATGGACATGACTTGCACAAGCAGACGATGTCCCATGACATCTCACACATTTTCAGTGCCTGTGTTTTCATCTTCTCTCGAGTTCTTTCTCTTACTTCACTACCGTCAGGCTAAATGTATAATCTATTGCCTCACTCTAAACCCCGCGCATGGTTTTATTTTGATGAAAAATGCAGCGATACAAAAATAAAGGAATCTGTCGCTTGTAAACAAAATAAGACGCCATTGTATATTCAGCTGCAAACACCGGGGTATGTTCGGCGTTTCAAGAGGGAACAAATGGCGTCCTTAATATCATTCCGGGGGTTTTAAATTTGAAAATCTGGTTTCTTTGACTGTTAATTAACCCCTATCCTGTGTATTTACAAGCAAAAGATTTTAGTAATCACAATCAGGTCATATCCCCTTTTGAATGGTTTGACATGCCATTACATTTATATATACTAAACTCATCATAATTTGAGAAATAATAGCTTTGCAATTATGTTCATTCTCTATGGGATGCCGTCTGCTTGGGCAGTGTTGGTCCATATAGTGACGTCATTAAAACATCATTATTTTTCTGGCGAATCTCTCGTATATCCCAGCTGCTATGGAGGTGGTTGTATTTTTATATTTATAAATCACCCGATATGTAGTTGACCTAAAACTTGTACGATGGCCATCTGTTAGCTTACCAGTTTCTAGTGATACATTAGTTGAAATATTTGTGATCTTCTTTGAATTTCACCTTTAAGTAAATTTAGATGCAGAACACATAGATTACCAGTTAATAAAGGTAGATTTGATGCAAATGTAGTAGATGATTTGCAATGCCCATTCTGTACACCAACAGATATTGGTGATGAATTTCATTATATTTTTGTATGTCCATTCTTTCAAAATAAGAGAAAAATGTATATACTAAATAACTTGTGTGGTAGAAGCTTAAGACCAAGTGCGTTGCACATGGATAAGGTTTTTAATACAGCTCACGCTTGCCAGCTAAAGAAATTAGCCAAATTTGTTAGAATCATTATGTCATATATTTCAAAAGAGTCAAGGGTAGATGGTAATACTGTAAATGATAGCTCACAAATAAGCAATGTTAGGCACACTCGAGGGTGAATTGCCCAGTTCGCCTTGATTTGTAAATATGTTTATTTGTTCATATTATCACATGTTTATCATTGTTCATATTATCACATGTTTATAATTGTTCATATTATCACATGTTTATTATTGTTCATATTATCACATGTTTGTCTTTGTTCATATTATCTTATTATGTTTATCAATTTTCATGTTATCACATGTTTATCATTGTTATACTGTTGTTATATTGATACTATGTTGTAAATATGTTTGTACTCTCATACCCCTGAGAGGGGGTCGATAGAGTCAATAAAATCTTACTTATTACTTATTACTTGTATTCAATAACATTTTTAGACTTTATCACATACTAAATTTCAACCTCTGAATTTTTTCTAAAGCTTAATCTTAGTATCATTTAGATATTAATGATATATGCACCTGTTACAATTTTGTGTGCAATATCTATACGTTTTGACAGAAAAATGAGTGAAAACAGGGTGAATTTCTAATTATGAAGGAAATCCTGTATACTGCGAGCAGTGTAGGGAGCTTCAACGAATGAAACTTTCCTTACAACATGCCTTCATGAAAATCAATTTTAAGTTGGGAAAGTGGTGTTTGAACTGGAACAAACTTCACTGAAATGAAATGTTATGATATGGTCTTGACATTCCGACTCATATATAAATCTCTTTAAAATGTCCTATAATCAAATGGAAATAAGCTTCTAAAAATATCTCATATCTTTAACAGGTTGAATCAATTAAAAACAGGAATATCAAAGAAACAGAGGTAAAAGTTTGAATGCAGTTAAACAAATACAAGTAAAATGGCTTTAAATTTTGAAAAGTTGTCTCAACTTATACTGGTACAAATTTGCAATGACATTTAAATCGTTTGACTGTGACGTATTTGGGAACGACTCTCCTATTCATTATTGGTAAATTTTTCTGATGTCCATTTTTTTTTTTTTTTTTTTTTTTTTTTTTGGGGGGGGTCCTTTTAAGCATATTTCTCTTAGGGTACTTTGTAAAATACATACAACTGCGCCTCCTATATGCCTCTGCCCTAAAGTCAAATGGACGGAATTATTTGTGACGTATCACAATGAAAACAAAAAAGCTATCTTCCTATCATCAAGTTTGAAGTTCATATCTCGAGCGGTTCTCAAGATATCGCATTCGAGAGAAAGACGGACGGACGGACGGACGGACGTACGTATGTACGGGCATACGGATAACCCGAAAACATAATGCCTCTGGCACCATCTTCGGTAGGCTGAGGCATACAACTAATATTTTTTCATTGTTTGTGTTGGAACAAATGGGATAATTGTCCACCGCAAACATTACAGTGACATCTACTGATTCGGCATATAGAAATTGCTGTATGTTTAACTTTCTCATTGTTTCTCTGTTTTTGTTCTACCACTCTGGTTCTCTGAATTTTCTGCTCTATTTTGGAGCATCTTTGTTTTTAGGGTGGAATGTGATATAGAGGTATTAGTCAGTTATAAAATAACATTTTTCTCAACATCCATGAGGAGACGAGAAAAAATTCTGTGTTTTGAGGCATCTTTACATTCTACATTTTTACTCATTTTCTAGATATATTATTAAATATCAAGATGATTTGAAAAAGTGTCAATGATTCCCTTTACAGTGATGAACATGAACATGTAATTATTGCATTTAATCCTAGTGAAAATTTCACGATTCATGACACAAAGGTTCACAGGTCTTAGCTAGGAGGGTGTGTGGGTGTCCAAAATACACCCACTCTTTTTGCTAGATACCCTACCTCTATCAATTAACGGCACTTGTTTAAGGACACTTTATTTGCAATTTGAACACAAAATTTGAAACGAAAAAAACTCTGGGCCATGAGAATACCTGGATAAATCTTGCCTGTATATTTATTATATACACAGGCCTGAAGACTGAATGAACAATCTAAACTCCTTATTAGTACTGTATCTAAGGGTTTGAATGAAGTAAAAGAACTCACAAATTCCTACCATTTTGCTGCTGTAAGTTGGATGTTGACAGGAAGATCCCTCGCTAAGAGTCTGCTCAGTAATGTAGACATATCTTCTCTGTTGTACTTAGCTAGGGCAAAGAAAATAATATAAGGTACAAATTCACTTCAAACTCTATCATTTGTTTTCAAAACACATTTTTAATCTATTGGTATTCTTGAATGATTTGGGCCAAAAAAGCAAGATATACATGTATGTACTAGCTGCCTCAGTGCTTGGTGCACTGGAGCTACAAACCTCTGGGTCTCTTTACCCTGAAAAAAATCTTAGACATTTTAAGTTGTGGCGAGGGGTGGGAAGTGCATTACATTGACCAAGTGTAAAAAATTACATGTAGAAATGAAAAGTTATATGTACATACAGTACATGTGTGTATTTCGCTGAGCAAGGGGCATGTTCCCTCCATGCCCCTTCCCTGGATATGGCACCAACCTTTACCGCATTTTCCCACTCCATATGCATTGCCCTATCAATCCTGATCCATTCTTGGACAGGATATCTAGATATTTTGAATCCGAAATAAGCCTGACATCTATGACTTTCCCCCTAATTTTTGAAATATATGACGTTGGGTGGGGGGGGGGGGGGGGTCATCACAAAGTATATCACTTCCCTCGTTTCAAACGCAATGTAAAACTTCAAGGAATTTTTTTTAATGATGAAGCAAAAACATTCTAGGACACCTGCTCATGCAAAAATTGCTCTGTGATAAATTTCCTACTTCGCAATTCCTTTCTTCAACCTTGGACCAAAGACTACATGTATACCTAGCCTGCACCCTGAAACCTGACATAAAAACCAAATCACAACATTCAGCATAAACCTACATGTATAGCTCTAATGAAATAAAACAATTAACGATTGCTATATACCACTGTAAAATCAATTTAAGTGGATCGATTAATGAGTGGGACTGAATTGACTTATATACATGTATATATATATATATATATATATATATATATGCCAGAAGACTTGATAGTGGGCTTTCCAAATATACTGTGCTATAAATTTGCCGTTTCCAAAATAAGAAAGAAGTATTCATATAATTTTGATTTCCTTTCTCATGTACATGTAAACATATCAAGGATTAATCCTTGCCAATTCACACATACACAAATGCAGGGATTCACTTCAGTAAAGTCATCTTTTGTGTGAGCATATATCCTAGATTAGCGTTTTTTTTCAACCAGGGTGCTGTAAGACATCTCTAGGGGTACCGGGTAAGAAGTTTATTTGTCTACATTAAAGATTTATTTTGGAACAAAGTCAATATTTCATAATCAAATAAATCTCTATTTATTTTCATGAGGAAATAGCATTTTAAAGATAACTAGAAATATCGCAATCTGTATTGCTGCGCAATGCAAATGTTTCCCCTGGCAGTGGCAGCGATTTGTGTCATCCTTATGTTCGAAGGAGGGACAAAGATCCCCTCTCACCTCCCTGAAATAAAAGGAGGACATAGAAATCGCAACTACTGGCTCAGACTATTGTCAAGACTAGAAGCAGCATCACTGGAAACAATAGGTGTGTAGATTAGAGTATAATGCATCTCTGTCGAAAATTTGAAAGAAATCTGTCAAGAATTGTAGGATTCTTCTTGTTGTAAGCGCTTTGGGCCGCTCTGGGAAAATCGCAATATATAAATAATAATAATAATAATAATATTAATGTGGCAGTTAGCGCACTCAAAATACAGCCACCAAAATATGACCTTTGTCCCTATAACAAACGAAATACAGGTGGCAGCATCAACAAACACTAAAGATGTGTAGATTTCACTATTAAAGACACACCTCCATACAAAATTTGAACAAAATCTGTAAAGAAATGTGGCAGTTAGAGAGCATAAAAGGCATATGATAACTTGGGAAACTGGTGGCAGCATCACCAAAAACTTAAGACGCATACATTTTTACCAACGTACACTTCCATACTCAATTTGAAAGAAATCTGTCAAGAAATGATGCAGTTACACCGCACACTAGAGTGCACACAAGTCATCTATCAAATTATGACCTTTGACCCTATAAAAGACGGAACACTGAAGGCAGCATCACCAAAATCTATAGGCTTGTAGATTATACCAAGATACATCTTGTTCAAAATTTGAACAAAATCCCTTGAAAAATGTGGCCTTTTACTCTATAGAAGACGGAACACTGGGGGCAGCACATAAGAATATGACGCCGCAGCTGCTGATTCCAAAGTACACCTCTTAAAAGGGTGCAGTACCTTTAAACAAGGGAAACGCTCTCCGCGGTCTCGCCTGCATAACGCAATTCAATATGATAAACCAGAACGTCAATGACGTAGCGCTCATCCGCATCTTGCAACAACAAATATCGTAAATTTTATGTGGTACACTTTTGAACTGGTCAAAAAATAAAAATTTGATGCCCTGGAAGGAACATAAATTTCATTTCATTTGCATAAAGTACCATAAAATCAATGGTGCAAAATCTCACAATTCTGTGTAGAAGTTTAGTGTTCCAAATTTAGCTCTACCAGATAAGGCAAACCAAATCAAAATCGGTCAAGAAATGAGGGAAAAGAAGCAATTTTTGTTATTTTTGGAATAAATTTGCATAAATTACCATAATTAATTAATGGAGAACAATTTCAAAATTCTGTGTAGAAGTTTAGGGTACCAAAGTTAGCTCTACGATATAAAGCAAACCAAATCAAAATCGGTCGAGAAATGAAGAAGAAGCCTTTTTTGTGATTTCGAATAAATTTGCATAAATTAGCATAGATAATGAATTTCACGATTCTGAGTAGAAATTTCAAAACCCCCTCCTAGCCATCATATGAAACAATCAGAATCAAAATCGAGTGAAAAATAACGAAGAAGAAGCATTTTGAAAATCTTAATGTTGATGCCACAACAAAGTCTAAGTTTGTTGACCTTAAAATTAAATGACCTTTAAACTTAACTTAGTGACCTGAAATTCTACTCACATGATTGGGGAGACTTGATAACCCTATAGTCCAAGTTTCATTGACTAAGAACTTATACTTTCAAAATTATATTAAAAATTCAAAAACTTAACCTTAGGTTAAGTTTTCGATGATGATGCTACAACATAGTCCAAGTCTGTTGACCTTGACTTTGTGATCTGAAATTCTACTCCCATGATTGGGGATACTTGATTACCTTATAGTCAAAGTTTCATTGACTAAGAACTTATACTTTAAAAATTATATCAAAAATTCAAAAACTTAACCTTAGGTTAAGTTTTTGATGTTGACGCCGCCGTCGCCGTCGCCGTCGCCACGGTCACTGGAAAAGCGGCGCCCATGTCTCGCTTTTTGCTACGCAGGCGAGACAAAAACAATTTAAAAGCTGTCCTAGATAATGTCATACATTTACATGAGGCAACCCTAAGCTTTGCCTGAGGAGTTTGGGTAGAGCTTCAAAAATATATGTATCTCTTAAATCCTCAATAATGTAAAATTACCATAATCCCTTCATCCACAATCAAGATACAGTTGTCCAGGCATCTGTATCATATGCCCGATAAACAAACATACATTGTGAATTTATCACACACTATCACATTTATGTAAAGAGAGATATAATTGTTGTCTTCTTGATCATTACTTACCGGTTGATATTTCAAAGGAGACAAAACGGTTCTGGTAACTGAGAGCAGATAGACACTGAAGAGCTGGGAGTCGAATCTAGAAAGAAATACAAGATCTCATACTGAATGATCTAAAAGGACTATTCTTCAAACACTTTAATAAACAGCATACCGGTATGTTACAGGACAATACACTTCTTGAAAGTAATATCTATAAAAGCTGTTTGCAATAAAGGTATGATTCAAATGAAGCTGGTCTTTTCCTTGCCTAATGAGGCTTTCTCTGTACAGGTAGACGTGATGCATATAAACAATTTACTTTTAATGATAATCCCTTCATCATAACTTAAAACCTTTTTTTTTTAGATGAATCTATTGTACAAAGCTAACAATCTGAGTACATTCATGCACAATAAGCTAGTAGAGCAGCAGTCTGAGCTTTGAAGCAAAATAGAGTGCAATGGCCTTCGCGTAGGAATTTTATAAATTTCTTTTTTGCAAAGAGTGCTTGACTACATTGTGTGTACATGTATCTCCATTCTTCAGTATCAACCATTTGATAAATCAAATAAATCCAACAAGCTAACAGGTGGGCAAGTGGACAAATAATTAGTGTCTACAAGTGAGTCTACTAGTATGTCTAACATTAATACTGTCTAGTAATTCTTTCTCTGATATTACATCACAAAGTACAAAACATGATATTTTTATTTTTTTGTGTGTGATTTTTTTCAAAATATATAATTTTTTATCAAAAAACATTATTTTCCATATATCAAAATCAGAGAGGTGTCTTCTTAGTAGCTCTCCAGGAATTTGCTTGTGTACAAGGAAAATATTTTGTGCAAAGGACAATCTTTTGCAAGCGAAACATTATAGCAACCAAAAGCTATTGACTTGATTTCCACAATAACAAGATTTTTACCCATATGTGTCTCAAACAGCAAATGTATTAGTGTACTGAGGACGTGTTTGGTGTGTTCAAAACTTCAAATTGAGTTTTAAAGATATCTTTAAAGTTAAACCTTTAATCACCATGGTTTGATTGTCATATGATGGATAATTAAAATACCCTCATGTTGATATCAATTCACCAAACCCTTGGTGATTTGGGGTTGTACTTCAGAAATAATCTTTAAAACTCATTTCAAACACACCAAACTCGTCCTCAATACACCAATACATGCCTAAGGCTGAGCCTAAGCGTGTATTTTGGAAGTCGTGTACACGTCTGGACATATGATCGGTTACACTTGTACACGGCCATGTTCTAATCACGCACACACACTGTCTCTATCTCTCTCTCTCTCTCTCTCTCTCTCATCCTCTTTCTCTCCCCCCCCCCCTCCCCTCATCGGAACCCCCCCCCCCCTCTCACCAGCACCCGGGTCATGTGATCTAGTATCTCTGCTTGATCTAGTATCTCTTGTTCAATCTGAAGCAAGTAAACAAATTCAATATTCATGAATGTGTACATCATTCTGCTGCCAGATCGGCCATTCACTCCAGCTGTTAATATGCATCTACGATTTCATTTGCTCAGCCTCATACATACATGTAACGCCTGGCTGGAATGCTCCCCAGGGAGTGGAGATTGTGCACACATTGTGTCCGGGTAAGCACTGAATCCAATGACCGGGGTAATAATATATTTGTAAAGCGCTTAGAGACATTTGTATTAAGCGCAATATAAAAAATTAAATATTATTATTATTATTGTGCATGTGCTCACTGGGAAAGCGCATGTGTTTGATAGTGGCGTGTGTGTAAAACCTATCTTGTTACGTCCAAGCCGCGTTCACGAGCACTGGCTAGCGCTTGCGATCTACACAATTTCTGTCGCTTGTCATGTTTGCCGTTGCAAATTTTTACGTACCCCTTATGTCTAGTGTTGACCTTGGGCTGAAGTAGGGGAAGAAGCACATCGCTTGCAAATGATTTTAAGGAAGCGAGGTGTGTCTTGCTTCAAGTATGTTTGTAAACTTTGTAGGTAAAGAATAATATTCATGTCCCTTTTCTCATACACAAGTCACCGCATGTAGACATGTACGAGAAATAGTACACATGTACATGTACTTGTTGAACGGACGAGTACATGGAACATCCGTGTACACGTCACAGCCTTATTTAATACACATGTGGGCTAAAATGTTGTTTTTGTGGAAATTAAGTCAATAACTTTGGGTTGCTATAACTTTTGGCTGAAAGGAGATATACGCCTCTCCTTAGACAAAGAAATTTTCCTTGTACATGGACAAATTCCTGGAAAGTTTCAAAAAAAGATACCTCTCTGATTTTCGTATATGGAAAATTAAATTTGTTGAAAAATAATTTTAAAACCCTGTTTTTTACCTACCGGTATAACTGTTGATTAATCCCAATTCCATTGAAATAATGGTAGATGCTTTTCTTTTATATGACACCAAATTCATGGTGGTTCAAGGTCTTCTTAAAATATTATTTACAAAAAACTATTTCCGCAAAAAGGGCTGCTTTTTTTTTGGATACCCCTCCCGATTTAGGGGTGACCGCTACAAATTAATAAGAAATACCTCTAGAAATATTGTGTATTTTGATAAAACCCTTTTAATAAAAAACAAGGTGTGCTTAGATTGTGAAGTAGTGGCAGCCAACTCACATACTATATACCAGTAAGCATAATATTTGACTTTGGCACTACGCTTTTAAATAAAGAGCAAACATACCAACAAACGAGCTCAACAATGTTGCACAATTGCAAGTGCACTCACACATACACCAACAGAGGATAATTCTTCAGTACTACCGTATATATCACATTACCACCTTAATTTTCATACTCCTACAGGATATATCAAGTACCAAACTCATGATCATTTTTTTTTTAGGGAGCCACCCAGGCTTTCTTTAATGACTGTTAAGGAGCCCAGTGCTCAAGGAGCCATTAACTACTGGGCTCCCGCAGAATTTGGGTCCTGGTATTATGAATGAACATGCTTTAAAAGGCGATTATGTGAGACAGGCCTCAGATTACCTTGTTGATTTCTGAGCACAGCAAGGGAGCGAGAGCTTCAACTGCTCCATGTTGGTACAGTATATCCTGCTGTTTGGGTGCCTACATTAAAAAAAACAGTAGAAATGAAAACAATTGTAACGCACATGTAGGTTTAAATGCTAATATGAGGACTAATTGACTGTTTATTAGTATTAAAAATGCCCTGATCTTGAACCCAACTCGAACGATGAGATAACTGGCAGAGCAGCAGGTAAAATATGCAGATTTACACATAGAAGATAGGAATATATTTAACTGTGGTGATGAAAGGAGAAGAATAAGGAAGAAAACAAAATATAGCAAACACCAATCAGACTATGGTCAAGACTAGGAATAGTAGCATCACCAAAACAGTATGTGTGTAGATTGGAGTTTAATGCATCTCTGTAGAAAATTTGAAAGAAATCTGTGAAGAAATGTGGCAGTTAGAGCGCACAAAAGACAGCCACCAAAATATGACCTTTGACCCTATAACAGACGGACACAGGTGGCAGCATCACCAAACACTAAAGATGTGTAGATTGTACTAAGACACACCTCCATACAACATTTGAAAGAAATCCGTCAAGAAATGTGGCAGTTAGAGCGCATAAAAGACATATAAACGGTATGACCTTTGACCATATAAAAGATGGAACAATGAGGGCAGCATCACCCAAAAGTGCAGATTGTACCAAGATATAATTCTAATTCTCTATTCAAAATTGAGCTCGAAGTCTATGAAGGTATATCAAGATGTCAATCCCTACATTATTTGCTTCTTGACTGCCTATCACTTGCTATTGTGAATTCTTGTAGTTTGTCCTCGTTGACTATTAGCTTGGGGTCTACATCTGGGCAATATTCTGACTGTTGTCTTTATTTTGACTGATGATGTGAGCGACGTGGACATGCAGAGACTGATCAAAAGACCTACATCTTGGCCTTGAATTCATGAACATTTTCAGCCACTCTCGCACTTTGTAGATTTTGTATTGGTGTCTTCACTGGGGAATTGCAAGAGTAACCCAGGGGAAACACCTGAATGCTCACTGCACACGTGAGCAGAAATGATTTTGGGAAACAAGGGGCAGTTGGAGGGATAATAGTAAGAAACTGATCTTACTTTGACATCACACCTATTCTAGTAGAATTATGAATGATCACAAGAAGAGCTCTTGACCAATCCATGAACAAGATATTTTCTATGAGGGACATATTAAGTCTTAAAGGGAAATCCAACCCTAATAGCAAACAACTCTAAAAGAAAGCAGCAAAATCAGAGAAGCAGACTGGTGAAAGTTTGGACGAAAAATGACAAAAAATTAGAAAGTTATGAATATTTGACAGTTGTAATCACTATACGTATGGGCACTTCAAATTGGCTGAATCAAAATGTCTATGTGGTGTAGTGCTGGACAACTTTCCAATTTTTTCCAGCACACAAAATGACTATAATTTTTTTTCTTTTTCCCCCACTAAGTATGAATCAGGATGGACTTTTCTTTTTAGATGATCTGTAATAGTACATTCTCCAATATAGATTTTGAGTACCGGTAGTGCCCCAAGGGTAAAGCAGAAGGCCCTTGGAAGAAAACAGAAATTAGTGATATTTTTGTACACAACAACCTGGAGACTTATCCGCAACTTCATCACAATCCACTGAAAAACTTGCCAATTAGAGAATCCCATATATATATAGTGATCTCACATCTAAAACATTCACAACTTTCTTATTATTGGTCCAATTCATTTCAAACTTTCAGCATTATGTTTCTCTGATTTTCCTGCTTTCATTCAAATGAACTTATTACAAGGGTTGGTTTGCCCTTTAACAATGAACCTTACCTTACAACATTGCGACAGTATGTGAGCCACACATTCCTGTGTACACAGTGTCTTTGGTAGGAGGTGTATGAGATGTGGTATTACTGCAGCATCCTGATATAGAAAATACATTGTATACAAATATATTTCAAATTCAATATCATATGTTAACTTTGTTGAGCTGCTACATTCAAAATACTACATCACAAAAACATTACATCATCAAAAATATTTCAAAGGCATTTCTTCATAAGCTTTAACAAAAAATAATGTGGAAAACTGAAGCTTATCTTAATAATGAAAAAGCTTCAGATTTTAAAACCAGAACAAAATATTTGTAATTGGGAACAAAGTTTGATTCTGTTCATCTTTGGATATGATTCAATGAAATTCTTTACTTGAATCTAACTCTTTAGCCAAGACATTTTTATCTCGCTTTTTATCCAAACTATCTAACACTGAGAAAGAGGAAATCATCAGATGTACACATATCGAATATGACCAGCATTTTCATGATCTTTCAAAGACTGAAAATTCTCCCTATTGCATTTGACTATTATTTTTTACTGTCAAACACATAATAATTTTTTTCAGCTTGCAAAGTTACGACACCCTTACATACATTTACGTCCAGTCAAGCCTTGAAATAAGCGGCCAGGAACAAGGGGTAACTTTTTAAGTTGCCCCTTGCTCACAGGGATTTAAAGGGATTAGGTATCTTTGTCTCAGATTCTGAAATAAAATCCTGGATTTAGGTCATGCTGCAATGATAATTATAAATATAAACCTTTAGGTAAGTTAGGAACCCCATGACCTTTACACGCCGATCGCCTGCCTGATTATCAAGATATTTATGATTAGAAATTGGAATCAAATTTTGCGTTTTCTAGACGGTTTTCTTAACACTACTGGAGAAAACGAAAGTATGGTAAAACCGGTCACTTAAAGATTTTTACTTTTTTGAGGCACTTCTTGATCTTTTTGAAGAGCAATTTTTTTAGGACTCCAATATTACATCATATCACAGACACTGATAATACGTAGGGCCATGCATCTCAGATTTAACATTGTTAACGATGCCTTTAACCAGAACAAGGGGCAATTTCTGAAGAACTAATTACACAAGTTATTTAAGCTAAAAAATAAAATGTTAATATCGTAATGTGAATACGATCAATTTTCACAAACACTCTCGGCGGAACACGAACGGTGTGTGGTGGCAGCAAGCTAGCGGTCTGGCAGTTTGCCACTGATGCTACTGCGCCAGCAGTAGATCCGCTGCACGCAAAATTACAGGGACTCGTAAGGTTTGCGGTGGAAAGCTGGCGGGCTAGATTTTTGTCAAAACAATGTTAGATTGGCTGCTGGCAAAATGAAAGCAACTACGATCGAGACCATCGTTGGTGTTCTTAACTTGTCAATGAGAGAATTCTAAATTCTATTTAAGATGATTTAATAAAATAAACCAATAACGATCAGTAATGATCTGTAATGACTGTACAAATGCCAGTTTATTTCTCCATTTGACTATTTTTTTTTTCTTGATCCTTCGAGCCATTTGGTCATTCAAGAGTCAATGCAATGAATGAAGGGGCAACTATATTTCAGTATGTGTGCAACAGCGCCTTCTAGTGCTGCATAAGTATGCCTACCATCAGAAATTGCGCCTTGCCGTCTAGTTTAAGATGGGCGCAATTGGTGACTTTACGAGTGCAAATTTGCGCCCTGCACCTGCTTATTTCAAGGGTTGCTTTCAGTGTTCATTATTAATGTCAGCTGACATTGAAAGTTATTATCTCTTGTGGGGTGCAACTTTATGGAGAATCTTCTGATCCGGCGTAAACAAAAAAGGTGTTCTATTGCCCTTTGCGACCGACCCAAAAATCTTAAAACCTACGATCTGCTTCTTCTTTTTGTTGCTGTTTTTTATACAATGTATCATTGTACATACCTCAAATACTACATCATCAACTGGGGCGACTGAGCTAGTCAAAATAGTCCTAAGAAATCGTAGGCAAGCCTCCACAAACTTGATGTCATCACTGCCAAGACCTATAGGAATGTATACAATCACAGAAATCCAAATATTTGATAACATGCTGTCTTATTATCAATTTATCACCAAAGCCACCAAACATGGAATGAAATTCAAACTTGGCTTTCCTGCTCTGGAATCAAACAAGAGCAACTTAATTCTTCCCCATGATTCTCTCATCATGATGATTGTCCAAAGAACATCAAAACACTATATATGCACAATTAACATCTAAGATATAGAAGAATGTTGGTTTGTTTTATCTGACTACTTAAAAAGCAAATGTACACGTATTCTTGGAAGTACAATAATCAGGGGTCAAATGGCATTAAGCGCTCTCCGGAGGACTTGGTATTGAGGATTAATGCCCCTAGCCCATCGACTTGGTTTCAGTTGGGATGTCCCAGTTGGGAGTCCACTGCTCTACCGCTAAATCATTGACTACCTGCAAGTCTACAAGTAATGTAATAGTATCATAGATAAATATTTTAAATTTAAGCTTCACCTTGAAGCATGACTGCTAGGATGCGTTTGTCCATCAGTTCTCTCTTGTTGTCCACTGTTCCTTTGGCAAAGCTACCAAGTAATACAGCGGTCTCCACCAGGATCTCAGGGGGAACTCCTTCGCTTGTCATTATGTAATGTATTCTGTGGTAAGACAGAAGAACACACAAAACTTATTTGAACGCAAGGGGATGGGAGGAATATGAGGCAAAGAAATCATTGTAAGAATTTACATTTCATATTAAAAGAAGTAATCTGTACTGGAAATGATTTGACAAATTGACAACCTACTGGATTATTTTCATTAATTGTAATCAAATAACTTTCTGTTTCAAATGCAGCTGATAATGGGTGTGACTGATGTTACACACAGAGCAGGTCAGTAACTAGGATAGTGAGGGGGGGGGGCAAAGCCTCTGAGCGGGTGGTGGGTCCAGGGTAGGGAAAATTTTGGCATTTTTCTGTTTCAAAATCAAGTTTAAAATACAATTTTGAACAACGAAACGGTTTCACTAAAAACTGTGTCATACCTATGTTGTTTGCATTGCTGCATGGCTCTTTTCAAATATGTCTACCCCTTATTGCATGCATGTTACAGAACCGATACAGCAGTAACAGTACATGTACAGTATGGTACAGTACATACCAAGTAATGTACCGTTCCACACGTAATTACTCCCCATCTGCAGTAGATAAAAGGATAACAGGTGCGGGCTAGAGCTCACAGCACATGGGATATTTTTTAGGTGGCCTGATTGACTAAGAATCTATACTTTCAAAATTATATAAAAAATTCAAAAACTTAACCTTAGGTTAAGTTTTCGATGATGATGCCACAACATAGTCTAAGTCTGTTGACCTGAAATGACCTTTAACCTTGACTTTATGACCTGAAATTCAACTCACATGATTGGGGATACTTGATAACCCTATAGTACAAGTTTCATTGACTAAGGACTTATACTTTAAAAATTATATCAAAAATTCAAAAACTTAACCTTAGTAGGTTAAGTTTTTGACCTACTAAGGTTAAGTTTTTGATGTTGATGCCGTCGCCGCTGCCGCCGGAAAAGTGGCGCCTATGTCTCGCTTTTTGCTTCGCAGGCGAGACAAAACAGTAGATTTGATCAAGATACATCTCCATACAAAATGTATAAGAAATCCTTCAAGAAATGTGGCAGTTAGAGCGCACATAAGAGCAGCAGCGCACGCGGCGGCGTAACACTGCTGAATCCAAAGTACTGTACCTCTCCGGCAGTATTGCCGGGGGTACAACAATGCCTAATTTTCCACTTTGTTCATTTTTAAAAGATATACTATTTGTAGTTAGATATACATGTACCTGTCGATAGCTCCACATAGCATAAAGTTTGTCTTTTGTTTGTTACTGCCAATGATCACATTCTTCATTGATCTGGAAAGAAAAAAAACAACAAACAAACAAAAACATAGTGAGGAAAAATCACAAATGCACAAAGACAACTAGTAAAATGTATCTGCATGTACATGTGTAATTGGTTCATTCCTAATAATACAGAAACATTTTTTTTTTATGTGGTACTTGTCCACCAGAGGCTAGAATTAAGTTGATTTTATACCCAAATAATCACTGGACTGAAATAAAAGGACATGTTAAAAACATGTATGTATACATTTATAATTGTAAATACATGTATAAAGGTTTATTAATACAGTGCTGTGATTCTTGGGGCACATGACTCTAACCTTCGGCTGTTGGTCCTTCTACAAAATATTTTCAACAGACTTTTAATCATATCAGGCAATATAAATATATGATACAATATACCGGTATGAAAGATAGAAAATTCTGACAAAGTAGGAAGCATTCTGTATGTAGCAGCCTACAGACCACTCAACAGTAACAATAAATGTGAAATGTGCAAAGTTTGTCAAAAAACTCAGAATTTGTGAGACCATTGTGGGCATTGTGTGAGTACTCTGCATATATAATACAATAAAAATTGTGTGCCTCAATGTTTAATGAATACCAGAATTAATGTTTGCAAACAAATGACCATTAAAGGCCTCGTTTAACGATTGTTAAATCTGAGATATATAGCCCTACGTGTTATCAGTGTCTGTGATATGGTGTATTATTCAACGTCTACTAAGATTCTTGCAACCTCATTGGTCAATTCTTGATCACATGACATGCGCTAAAATTACTGTTAAACGACATCATTCTCTGGCCGTGCAATTCGAGTTTATCCTTTTGCACAATTGCACTCTGATGTCACTAACGATGTACAAAGTTTATTGTGAGGTAAGTGAAGTCACCGTGCAATGGTGCAAAAGATTCAACAGAAATTGCACTCCGCTTAACAATAAACATAAAACATGATACGCGCATGGTACCCGCATGGTTTGCTGCCTGCTTAATAATAGTGCGGGCTCACTATCAGCAATTTCATGATCAATACAAAACCAAAAAAAATCGCTGAGATTAAGGCCTAGGAAAACTGTTCTTTAAAAAAAAAATTGTTTAAATCTTGTGAACGTCCTAGGTGAAGTATAAAACAAATAGTGAATGGTCTTTATTATAGCAATGGAACAATATTTTGAATTCGGTGAAAGATGAGATGCTCCATTCAACTCGGCTGCGCCTCGTTGAATAGAGCATCTCTTATCTTTCACCTCGTGCAAAATCTTGTACCATTGCACTCATGGCCATTCACTATTTGTATAATATTGAAGCCCTAAAAAAATGATCATGAAGTGCATCAAAAAAGCAAAAATTTTGAGTGACCGGTTTTACCATGCTCATTTTCCCCAATAGACTGTAGTGTTAAATGTATGAAAACCGTCTGAAAAACACAAAATGAAATTTTGATTTTCAATCATAAATATCTTGATAATCACAGGCGATTGTAAAAGTCACGGTATTCGTGAATGACCTAAAGGTTTATAATTATGATTGCTGCATGAGCTAAATCAAGGATTTTCATTAAGGATCTGAGATAAAGTTACCGGATCCCTTTAACATATTTTCAATTTGCATCTGGCTTTTCTGGGAACAATGAAATCATACATGCATGATCACTATGGGCACATGTAGGAGAATGCACCGATTGTATAATCTGATTGTATAATCTAAAGCTTCTCCTGATTGGCAACTTTCCTGAATGCCAAGACTATTGAAATGAAGACTCAATTAGACTTACTTTAGGTTACAGAGAAGCTGCTGCTGATCTGTGACCATCAAATTGTCCACATACACCTGACTAAATCCATGATCCTATGAAATGATGAAAGGGAAATACAATGTTAATAGATAAATTCTATCATTAGAAGAAGTGTGATTTTATCTTCTGTTTTGTTTATGTTTTCATCAAACTTAAATATACACAATGACAAGTGATACTTTGTACACATACATGTAGCACTGACTTATCTGCACTCTGCTACTGAGCTTGGACCAACACTTACATTCGGCAGAAGTTAGAATCTACTCCATTCACCTGACTGGATTTTGCCTAAAGAAAATCACACCCAAAAGTTTTTGCTCCACCACTGTCTTTGGAGCAGAATACTCTTTAATTTTATATACAGTGCGTCCCAGAAAAAACGAAACCGAGAATTATTGATGTTTTATCATAACTTAGACATTTATAATTAATAAATGACACATATTTGGAAAGCTTAGATCCTCCTCTTTCATTTGATGCAACTCATGTGGTGCATATGTCAGGCATGAGTGATTAACATGAATTTGAAGAGAGGAAACCAAAAAGTCATTTGGCGGACGGTATCTGAATTGCAAAGAAAAAATCACATTTATAGAAAGTTGAGTTTCTGCCCTTTCATATGACACCTCAATCAGGAAAAATGAGCAAGGAATCACAAAGTTCTGTTTATTTAAAGTAGTGCTTGCATTTCCATAATTTTATCAAACGAATCCGTTTTCACTTGCTGCCTGCCATAGCAAAAAGCAGAATTGACAAAAGACTCCGTTTCGTTGACAATCAGCCATGCATGAAGTCTTTCGTCTACGGCTGATTGTCAATGAAAAGGAGTTAAGTCTTTTGTTAAAGGGATAGTTGAGTTCTGTTTTCAGACCGCAAATGCCTTCAAAGTGCATGGTTATTGCTCTTATTCTTATCTATGACATTTATGGTGCCCTTTAGAACCTAAAATCGCTATGAAGGTCATTTTAGACCCCAAAATGTGTGAAATTTAGCCAATACAATCATACCAATTCAGCTCCACTTTTAAAAAAACATGGTGACCGTTAATTAATTATTTAATTAAAAATAAAAATACATGAGCCGGATAATTGAGGGTAACATGAGCAACACGAAAATGCCAACAAAAAATCCAACATTGGCTGAATTACGACGTAAAAGGCGTTATTCGTTTATTTCAACCATTTTTTTCTTCAAATTTTTAAAAATATCTAATAATTTGTGGTGGTACACAAGTATTAGAAATCGTTATACTTCAGCCGTCTCTGAACAGATTTTGATCAAACAAAGATGATTTTGACAGTTTTTCATTATCTCACAAAAAAAGTATTTTGTGTAGCACCCTTTGCAACAGAACTCAACTATCCCTTTAAGTCCGTTTGTTGCTACGGCAAGCAGCCAGTGAAAACGAATTTGTTCAATAAAATTATGGAAATGCAAGCACTACTTAATAAACGAACAGAACTTTGTTATTCCTAGTTCATTTTCCCTGATTGAGGTGTCATATGAGCCGGATAGAGCCTTCTCTTCATCTGCTCCGCATCTTTGGAACTCTCTACCTGTCCAACTTCGAAATTGTAACAACATTGATACCTTTAAATTTGAACTCAAAACCTATCTTTTCCGGCAACATTGCGAATAATATGTGACATATTGAGGGAGCCAGGCGCCTTTGAATGCTTTTGCAGATAAATGGCGCTATACAAATGCTGTTCATCATCATCATCATCATCATATGAAAGGACAGAAACTCAACTTTCTAGAAATGTGATTTTCTCTTTGACATTTAGATACCGTCCGCCAAATGACTTTTTGGTTTCCTCTCTTCAAATTCATTTTGATCACTCATGCGTGAAATATGCATTATATGAATTGCATCAAATGAAAGAGGAGGATCTAGGCTTTACAAATGTGTGTCATTTATCAATTATAATTGTGATTAAGTTATGATAAAACATCAATAATTCTTGGTTTCGTTTTTTCTGGGATGCACTGTATACAATGTAGATCATCACTTTGGCTCACTGAGTGACCTACAAAAAAAAATGAGGGGGGGGGGGCTTGATATATCTAATTTTCCTGAAATTTTTTGGGGCTACTTTTTTAACATTCAGGGGCTGCTTTTTCCATTACTGGGACATCTTTATCATTACTTTCTAAAAGGATACATTTTGTTGAGTTTATTTACATGTAGTAGGCTTACTGGCCTATATCTTTGATTAAGGTTTCTGGCTTCCTGAAAGGGACAATAAATTTCAATTCAATTCATATTTAACCATTAAAGATAAAGATCAGTTCTGGTCGTGCGATTGCATTGTGAAAGAAACGTTGTGGAATCGATCAGAAAAGGTTGATCATTTAGCATATAAGAATTGGTGTGTACTGTAAGGTTGTGGAATCATCAAAATGATAAGAAATTTGGCCCAGTCTTGGCAAAGTTACAAGCACTGTACACAGAAAGATGTGTATGGGACTACGCGACACGTGCGCAATATCTATCCGGTCCACATAGATATACTAATTTACCAAATATATCAATTAGTAGGTGGCTTCTCGGCAAAATTTGTATCATCACGTATTAGTCAAAACATATTCTTTCACATGACTGGTAATAAGAGCTTCCATTTTATTTTTTGAGAGGGGGGTGTTTCCAAAACTGGTATTTACCTTTAACCCATTCAAAAAGAGAGCATTTTAATGAATTAAATAAATAAGTTTTAATGCATTGATTTGATTTGTATCATACTCATACTTACTCAAGGAGGCATTAGGTATTTTTTGTGTAGTAAAAATTGTTCAGACCACCTCTATTCATTTTGAAACACAACTGTACAAAACTCACCAGAATTCACTAAAAATCAGTACTTAAGTGACAATTGATGACACCTAAAAAACAGTGAAATACAATCTTATCAACTCATTAGTGTTGACAATTTTTTTTTTTAAATAAACAAATACAAACTCAGAAGTCTACTGCCAATACTGGTGATGGGCCACTTCGTATTCCTTGTGTGCATATTTTGGTCGCCACGCACACGCTGAATCTCTGTGTAAAAATCTTATCACAAATTTGGTCGTAAATAACTTGACCCATAACTTACCATGTGGCGCATACGTAAAAACCCGTAAATTTTTGTGGGTGCAAAACGGAGCGTAGGGACCAGGTTTTTGGTGGTCAATTTTGTTTTGATGGATGAATAGCTTGTAACTCGAAGATTCTCTAAACGATAGCGAAACAAGACACGACGGAGGAAAAATCAGTGGCAGTTTCTTCAGTTTTTTCTACATGATTTTGTGTATCAGCTGGAAGTTACAAAAACAGATTTATTACGGTTATTTACCGTACCGTAAATCTCTGTGTATAAGACGCACTTTTTTGCTGCCCAAAAAAATTGAAAGTCGGTGGTGCGTCTTATATACACAGGTACAAAAATAAAATAATTAAGTTTTGATTTATGCCCCTCCACCTGGCGCTATGCCTGGCAATGTCTCCCAGCTCAGTAATTGATGCGTTGACTCACCACTCAGAAACTAGTACAACACTCAAATTTGTCTGTCATCTTGGTTTGAAAGTAATTTTTCTAATAGATCTCAATATGTAGTTTATAATAATAATTCCTCCAACTTTTCTTCTATTACACATGGCGTACCACAAGGTTCTATCCTAGGTCCTCTACTGTTTTTTAATTTACATTAATGATCTTACACATTCAGCTGCACCTTGCAGTTAAATGGGGTTTTTTAACACGGACCTGGCTTGCTGCCGACAGATTCGGCAAAAAAAAAGAAAAAAGAGGGGTGCGGTTAATACACGAGGGCAGTTTATTACACCGTTAATTACGGTTTTGAAAGATGAAATAATATACTATTATTGTGCAAATACTGTTCATGTATGTCATGTAAAAGAAAATTAGTAAAGGAAATGGAAAACTAGAATTATTTACTTACCCGCCGAACATTTTTTTCATTTTTTTGCAAGCATCGGACGTTCATGTGTAGCGCACGTATAGCGCACACATAGCGCGTGGCTAAAATGGGGATAATACGCATTCATCGGAGGTTTGGAAACCGGATCAAAAGTCGTAAGACGGGGGTAAGTTTGACTGCGTTGTTTTCACGAAAAAAGTATTATTTTCTTGTTTTGGGTAGATTTAAGTTAGGTAGAACTATAAGAAAGGTGGTTTTCACAACATGAATTTCAATTAAAAGGGATTTGTTATTATTTTTGTTTATATAGTAAATAAGTAAGGTAGGCCTACTCAAATTTTCCTCATTTCTTTCACCCCTACCCTCTCTCCAACCCTTCTCTCCAACCAAAGGCAAACTGATGGCAATTTGGACTTCTTGAAGAGTGTATTTCTTTGAAGTTTAGAGCCATTTTCAAAAGCCATTTAAACTTTAGTTCAAGTAGGTCGATGGCTCAAAATGCTAAAAAGAAGTGAGTTCCATACCTTCTATTGATGTGCCAAAATTCATTCCCCTACCATTAACGGTTTTCAATTTAGGCAGACTTGAAAACGCACAAAAAAGCTTAAGTGTGCTTTAAAATATGAAGTTTTAAGAGTTTAGAGCCATTTTCAAATGCCATTTAAAATTAATTTAAATGGATTTGATGGTCCAAACTTACAGAAATAATTAAGCTATATTTATACCCCAGATATGCCGAAATTCAGAGATTCGAACAAATGCATACGCTTAGTTTTCAGGCCAGAACTGCTCTCTCTCTCTCTCTCTCTCTCTCTCTCTCACGAAGATTCAATCATCACTACTAAGATCACATGATCTCACCGCGCAAACATGATCTGTTTATAAATAACTTCTGAGATAAACGCATGTTGCCAGACACCTTGTCTCCAAAGTACCCTTTGTTTAGAAACACTTGAAACATAATATGAAAAATACGCTACGCTAGCTCTCGTCATTCAAACATTCAATTCATTGGTGAACAAATTAAATTTGGAATTGATTAATAAGTTCTCTGCTTGTTTCGTGTGTCTATGTTTGTTCTTCTTTTTAGATTGTCTTCTTCTTTTTCTTCTCCTTCCTTTTCTTCTCCCCCTTCTTCTTATTCCTCTCCTTCCTTTTTTTCTTCCCCCATCCCTCTGCTTCTTCATCTCCACTTCTTTTTCTTCCACCCCCCCCCCCGGACCCGCCCCTCTGCTTCTTCACCTACTCATCTTCCTCCCCCCCCCCCCCCACTCTGCTTATATATCTCCCATTCTTCTTTTTCCTCTCCTTCCTTTGCTTTCTTCCCCAATCCCCTCTGCTTCTTCATCTACTCTTCTTCTTTTTCTTCACCCTCACCCCTTTGCTTCTTCATCTATTCTTCTTCCTTCCCCCCCCCCCCTTCTGCTTCTTTATATCCCCTTCTTTTTCCTCTCCTTCCTTTTTTCTTCCCCAATCCCCTCTGCTTCTTCATTTTCTTTACCCCGCCCCCTCTGCTTTTCATCTACTCTTCTTCTTTTTCTTCTCCTTTGTTTTCTCCCCCTGCTTCTTCATCTCCCCTTCTTCTTTTTCTTCTCCTTCCTTTTCTTCTCCCCTTCTTCTTTTTCCTCTCCTTCCTTTGTTTTCTTCCGCAATCCCCTCTGCTTCTTCATCTACTCTTCATCTTTTTTCTTCAACCCCACCCCTTTGCTTCTTCATCTACTCTTCTCTCCCCCCCCCCCCCCCCCCTCTGCTTCTTTATATCCCCTTCTTTTTCCTCTCCTTCCTTTTTTTCCTTCCACAATCCCCTCTGCTTCTTCATCTACTCTTCCTCATTTTCTTCTCCCCCGCCCCCTCTGCTTTTCATCTACTCTTCTTTTCTTCTCCTTCCTTTTCTTCTCCCCTCCTTCTACATATCCCCTTACTTCTTTTTCCTCGCCTTCCTTTTTTTCTTCCCTCACCCCCTCTGCTTCTTCATCTCCTCTTCTTCTTCACCTCCTCTTCTTCTTTTTCTTCTCCCTCTCTCTGCTTCATAATCTCCCTGTCTACTTCTTTTTTTTCTTTTTTCATCTCATTCTCCTTCCGTTTTTTTTTCTTTAAATGGGGATAAGAGGCACGTTTTTTCATTTGTGAAAGGTAAATCGTTGGTTTAGGTGTAACGCTTCAGAAAAAATATATCCGTAATCACATGCTTGTTTTGATCCATTTCTATTGTTTGGGGCATCACCCTGCGTTAATCCTACCCCTCCCCGTCTAATTATCCCTCGGTTACTTTTAATCAACACTTATCACATGCACATACCAACAGTTATAATAATATACATATCAACTCCGTTTTAGTTGCATATCGAGGGGGGGGGGGTAGTTGTATTGTAATTTCATAATGATTGTCAATAACATTTTTTCAAGAAAAAAAGAAGAAGCATATTTCATGATTTCCACTCTGACAAACATGCACATATTATACTGACCACGGGAAGCTTCCTTAATAAAATGGAATCCATCCCCGGAGTTCATTCAACTCCGTTTTTGTTCCAATCGGGTGGGGGGGGGGTGTCAATTCTTCGATTTGATAGGCAAAGAATAAACATAACAAATAATGATGATACTAAATATAATTGATGTTCAATTGATGACGAATTGAAAAAATAGTGTATCAGGACAATTACCACTGTCAATTTTCTTCATGGATGTCAATCTTGACCCATAATTTCCTGAAAAGGGACCCCTGATTAAACGGATTCAAGTAGTCAAGTAGTCAAGTTGGTAAGTGGAACCGAAGTAGTTAAGCATTTAGCTAATTTAAGACTTTAAATGCATTGGATACGCATCCGGTAAAATATCAAAATTAGGGATTAAGTTTGGCCAAGTTTTGTGTAACGTTTCTTTACACAAACGCGCGTCCACTACAGCGTATAGGTAGGGTGTCTGAACGATTTTTCTATTTTCAATTTGGGATCGTTTTTCACCATTTTTGTTTGATATTTGAATTAAAAATGTTATCAGAATAATACATTTCAAATTTCAAGTCTCACCGATGTTTCTATCAAAAGTTACAGCCCCTCCAAAACGCTGGTATATTCATATCATTTTGGTCAAAATCGACGAAAAAGACGTCCACGCAGAGTGATGTTGTTTTGCTTAATTCAGACAAACAGCTGTATCGCGCGATATGCAAGCGTATGCATATAGTACGCATGTTGCTAAGCCAATGCGCGACTTGCAGCTTGAGCCACGCTGTCTCCGCGATATGTGCCATTGACTAGTATGGGTGGCTGTTCGCGCAGTAGAAACCGGAAGTGAATACATGTTGTAGTCAATGGCAATATCGCGGAGACAATGTGATATTGCTGTCTCCACGATATTGCCATTGACTATAACGTGTATTCACTTCCGGGTTTATCGCGCGAATGACAAACCATAATTTTATTCACTATAATGTGTAATTGAATTTGGGGTTTCGTTCGTACGCGGAGATGTTACGCGATGTAACCATGGTTTGGACTGAGCGGAGCGCACGCCCCCTAATTAGCTGATCCACCAAATAGCGAGAAGGGTATTTTTAAACTGTTATCAGTTGTGATCCCTGGGGGCTAGCGAAAAAATAAGCACATAGAATCGTTCCTTAGGACTGGGACTACTTATCGATCGGGGCGTCATATCTCAAAAGTGACAAACCTCAGAGTTAGCCAGGACACAATGTTTCAATTGCTGTTTTGACCAAGATATTTTTAGAATTTCGGGGGCTACGCCCCTTTGGAAATATTGGAATTCACCTGCTCTTTCATATGACACCTCATTTATTGAGTATCACCTTCAGGATCACAACAGATAAAGGTTTGAATCTCGAATTGAAAAAAAAAAATTGACTTTTTTTGCATGGTCGCGCAATGCACGTAGACTGCATAGGGATGCGTGTAATCTCTAGACCTATGGTAGGGAGGCCAATGCCCGGGCGTAAGGCTTCTACGCCTACGATTTGTGCGCTCGTCGTCCAAGTCAGAAAATTACCAGAAGAAAAAAAAAGGGGAAAAAAAAGAAAACAAATATCTATGGAATAAAATGTATAACAAATACACAATTACACACTCCACAACATACCTATAATCACGGATCTGTAATGGTCTTTCACCATTTGTTGACGATCCTGCAGATTTTGATGTATTTTGATCCAATAATTGCGCTAGCAGACGAAAATAACGGACGCACAAGAGAAACTAGACGGGTCCTAGAGGGCGATGAGGTTAGCTCACTAAAATCCTTCTCAATGACTGAAGGTAGCGCCTAAAAATATGGAATCAATTTAATATCAAAGAACTTTTGATAGAGATTAACATATCAGTTGTGCACAAATGTCACTTTTAACAACTAGAAAATATAACGAAAAAGGATTATATCTTTTTAATTGCAGATTTTTACAAACTGCACAATCAAAGGTAGATAGAGTACGATGTTTTTGTCAATCTTGCGTTGGTTTGAGCCCCATAGCTAGAGCCATCTCAAATTGGGGAGCAAAACTGTGGACAAAGACGTCATTGTTCCAGCCCAAAATAGAAGTCTTGCGACATCATAATATGAATATGTATGAGGTCCGGTCTCATCGCGCGCAAAACAAATTTGACGTAGTCTCACACATAGTACCTTTTTCTCAGCACTAGACACCAGTGTCGTGCAGTAATGTATGAGAAGTGTAAAAAAATGACATTTCAGTAAAAAAAAAAAGTCTACGTGAGCAGTCTAATACTCCAATTGAGAAGTGTAATGAATGCCATGATTTGAACGTGTGTGTTTTAGTGTATGATATCGTCATGGTTAGTGAGAGAGAGAGAGAGAGAGAGAGGGAGAGAAATATCTCCGTCAGTACACGTCTATCAATGCGTGCAGTCCTATTGACTATGTTTGATTCTTGATTCCTTATTGTGTTCGCTGCAACTGTGGGATTTATCGATCGTATTGTGTTCGCTGCAACTGTTGGATTTTGCAGTGTCAGATTGATCTTTACTCATGAGGAAATAATTGGAATACATATCAAAACTAAGGTAGGCCTATTTATTTATTTCAATCATTTTCTTAATTTACAATGAGTGGTTTTCGAGCTTTCTCTCATTATGGCATGGCTAGCATGGCTCGATTGCGGCTTGCATGCAATTACCGTACCTGGACGGCCTGTAGTACTGTGTCGGTGTGTGCGACTAATTCAAGGCTAGCCGGTGATGATGAATGTACTTTCGCGCGAAGTTTTGAACTTGTTGTCCGGGCAATGACCATGATGACACGCCCATTCCCTCGGGCCTGTCTAATTCTCGACGTAATTTTTGGGACCATGAAATTGATTGTTTCAAGGCTCTTGCGTACGGCCAAGCGTAGAAGGAAGGGAGTGCTTAAAAGCTGGATATCTCCTATTTTATGGAACTTCTGGAGTCGGCAGATGGGTGAGTTTTCTTAGTGAAAGTAAATGCTTTCTTTTAATCTTTGTTTTATTTTAAACAAATTCGTAATTAAAAAGTTAGATTTGGGCATTGGCCTCCCTACCTATGCTATGGGAAGAATTTTAGCACACAACATCGGGTGCGCGATCAGACACCCTACATGTACCTGTAGGCCCTACATGTACATCACGCTGCTGCTACTCACGTTTGAGTTCTCGTGTTGTCTGCTTCACGTGCGCGCGCTATCCTCGACGTGACGCGCGGAGGAGCTAGCCGAGGCGAGGTCATTGAATATTCATTAGCCACCATTTTGATTTTTGTCGGTCAATGCTTGACGTGGGTCATCGAGAAGCAGCCAAAAGCTCGGTAGATCTAGGATCTACATGTAAGTCCTTTTATTTCTTTTATATTTATATTTCGTGAGGAAGGGGGGGGGGGGGTAAAAAGGGAACTTTTAGGGACTGACAATTGCCTAGAAAATTACTGCAATTGAAGATAAATGATCTAGATCTAGATCTAGATCTAGATTCTAATCTATTTCCCCTTAAGTTTGCATTTTGTCATGTTTGTGGGAGGGGCCTAGCCCTAACGGCTAATATTAGGGTGTCTGAACGATTTTTCAAATTTCAATTTGGGATCGTTTTTCACCATTTTTGTTTGATATTTGAATAAAAAATGTTATCAGAATAATACATTTCAAATTTCAAGTCTCACCGATGTTTCTATCAAAAGTTACAGCCCCTCCAACACGCTGGTATATTCATATCATTTTGGTCAAAATCGTCGAAAAAGACGTCCACGCAGAGTGATGTTGTTTTGCTAAATTTAGCCAAACAGCTGTATCGCGCGATATGCAAGCGTATGCATATCGTACGCATGCTGCTAAGCCAATCCGCGACTTGCAGCTTGAGCTACGCTGTCTCCGCGACATGTGCGATTGACTAGTATGGTTGGCGTTCGTCGCACAATAAACCCGGAAGTGAATGCACGTTATAGTCAATGGCAATATCGCGGAGACAACGCACGTTGTCTCCGCGATATTGCCATTGACTATAACGTGTATTCACTTCCGGGTTTATCGAGGGAATTTCCAACCATAATTTCAGTCACTATAATGTGTAATTGAATTTGGGGTTTCGTTCGTGCGCGGAGATGTTACGCGATGTAACCATGGTTTGGACTGAGCGGAGCGCACGCCCCCTAATTAGCTGATCCACCAAATAGCGAGAAGGGTATTTTTAAACTGTTATCAGTTGTGATCCCTGGGGGCTAGCGAAAATATAATCACATAGAATTGTTCCTTAGGACTGGGACTACTTATCGATCGGGGCGTCATATCTCAAAAGTGACAAACCTCAGAGTTAGCCAGGACACAATGTTTAAATTGCTGTTTTGACCAAGATATTTTTAGAATTTCGGGGGCTACGCCCCTTTGGAAATATTGGAATTCACCTGCTCTTTCATATGACACCTCATTCATTGATTATCACCTTCAGGATCACAACTGATAAAGGTTTGAATCTCGATTTGAAAAAAAAAAATTGACTTTTTTTGCATGGTCGCGCAATGCACGTAGGCTGCATAGGGATGCGTGTAATCTCTATGGGAAGAATTTTAGCACACAACATCGGGTGCGCGATCAGACACCCTACTAATATCTAGCCGTGATATCTTCAACATACGATGGCATAGGCGATCGTTCAGTCTCTAGAAGTAGAAGGTCTATATCCGAAGGTCTAGTGGAGCCAGACGTAGTCTCAGTGGAACAACCGACGATATACTTATAGATCTAAAGTTACTTTTTCTAGGCCTAGATCTAGTCTAGGCTAGGCCCTAGTCGTACCAACTACCAAAGATCTTCCATAAGTTGTGTAGTTCTCAACTCACCATAGCTGCAATATTTCTTTATACTAATGTCTGGAACAACTGGTCAGATAAACAAGTCCCGAATTTGTGTAAACTTTCGACGGATTCCTCACACTTTTGTTTGATAGATCTGAACATGCATCATGCACAGTGCACGGGTGGTGGTATGCACTGCACTGCGCCACTGATCTCTACGGATTTTTCCGTAGAGATCAGTCATCGAACTTGGTTTGAGTTCGTTGAGATCAGTGCACTGCGCTCATTGAAACTGGCGACCAATAAGGAGGAGGCGCTAGCCACCAACAATGGGGACTAAAGTGTCTTTAAGTCGTACAATCGAAAAGGAAAAAAATTGTGCACGTGTCGGCTGACGTTATACCGTATAAATTCAGGGACATAATTATGCAGCGGCTTAGCAAGAAAATTGTGCACTTTTTGAGAAAAGCACGAAACTTCTAGCATAGTTAGCTTTAACCATAAGATTTATTTTCAGATGTGGAGGGAAGTCAGATTTGACCTCTGATGACCCTGAGAGGTCAAATCCAAAATGGCCGCCAGTTCGCATGGTCTAATTAATATACAAACACGCTTAACTTTTGAACCAAATAGACCAGAAAAACGTTTAAGGTGTCATTTCCAACTAAATTGGGGATGCCAATTCATTTGGTAATACTTTTGAGATCGCCAGAACTGAAGGTTTTGCATTGAGGTCAAGGTCAATTAATTGACTAAAAAATAGCAAGTTTTGAATGGTTACGAAGGTTTTATTTTGGGGACTTATGTCATGATAAGATGGCCATCGCTGATTAATTCAATTCTCATTTTACAAATGTGGCTGCCAAATTAGTAAACGACTCCCCCATTCCAACGACTTTTTCAGCGCAGACAATGATTATATTCGTGAGTTTTACGATAGAAAAGGTGTACGTGAAAACAGCTTCGAGTTGTTACCAATCAGTGAACAATTTGTTTTCAAAGAGTTACGTAAGTTGAATGTATCAAAAAGTACTGGGTTAGGCTTGATTCCAGCTAAATTTCTAAAAGATGGTGCGAAGGTTTTATTTAAGCCTCTAAGTTACTTAATGAACCTATCTATCTTGACGAGTACTTTTCCAGAGGATATATAGCAAATAGCAAAAGTGACTCCACTTTATAAAAAGAAAGATAAAACTGATGTTAGCAACTATAGACCTAAGTATTAGTGTTTTAAGCGTAGCATCAAAGATTTTAGAAAAATCGGTCCGTGTTCAAATTGAAAGATACTTCAAAGAAAATGATATAATTTATGAATTTCAATCTGGTTTTCGACATGATTATTCGACTGAAACATGTCTAATTCATTTGACTGATTAGGAGAGAAACCTCCCAAGGGAGCTTTGTTGGTATGGTACTGCTCCTTGATCTGCAAAAAGCTTTTGATACGTCTTATTGAAGAAGTTACAACAGATTACTAATGGGTTTTGATAAGGCAAGTTTAGATTGGTTCAGATCCTACTTATCTAATCGACACCAAGTAGTGGCCATTCATGATATTCGTTCTAAACTAATGCATAACATGCGGTGTTCCTCTGGGAAGCATTTTAGGCCCGTTCTATTTTCAAGTTATATAAATGATACGTGCATTTGTAAAAAAAAAACAGACGGTGATCATTTCCTTAAAATTCTGAAATTATCCCGAACTTTAAACCAATCTGACAAATTTTGAGTAGAGTGTTCCAGAGCTGGACATATAGGGTTCTTGTGCACCATTTCCCCTATCTCCTGGTGTTAATATCTAAGAAACAGAAATATCGGCGTAAGGTAGGGAGGGAGTGAAAGTTCCCCCTACCCCGCGACCGCTAACCACCAAGACGCAACCCATTTCCTGAAATATCTGAAATTATCCCGAAAAACTACCAATCTGACAAATTTTGAGTAGTTTTCCAGAGCTGGACATACATGGGGTTCTTGTGCACCATCTCCCCTATCTTCTGGTGTTAATAACTAAGAAACAGAAATGTCGGCGTAAGGTAGGGAGGGGGGTGAAGTTCCCCCTACCCCGCGACCACTAACCACCAAGGCGGTGATCATTTCCTGAAAATTCTGAAATTATCCCGAACTAATTAAACCAATCTGACAAATTTTTGAGTAGAGTGTTCCAGAGCTGGAAATGTATAGGGTTCTTGTGCATCATCTCCCCTATCTCCTGGTGTTAATAACTAAGAAACAGAAATGTCGGCGTAAGGTAGGGAGGGGGTGAAAGTTCCCCCTACCCCGCGACCGCTAACCACCAAGACGCTACCCATTTCCTGAAATATCTGAAATTATCCCGAACTTTAAACCAATCTGACAAATTTTGAGTAGAGTGTTCCAGAGCTGGACATATATGGGGTTCTTGTGCACCATCTCCCCTATCTTCTGGTGTTATTAAATAAGAAACAGAAATATCGGCGTAAGGGAGGGGGGTGAAAGTTCCCCTACCCCGCGACCGCTAACCACCAAGACGCTACCCATTTCCTGAAATATCTGAAATTATCCCGAACTTTAAACCAATCTGACAAATTTTGAGTAGAGTGTTCCAGAGCTGGACATATATGGGGTTCTTGTGCACCATCTCCCCTATCTTCTGGTGTTAATAAATAAGAAACAGAAATATCGGCGTAAGGGAGGGGGGGTGAAAGTTCCCCCTACCCCGCGACCGCTAACCACCAAGACGCTACCCATTTCCTGAAATATCTGAAATTATCCCGAACTTTAAACCAATCTGACAAATTTTGAGTAGAGTGTTCCAGAGCTGGACATATATGGGGTTCTTGTGCACCATCTCCCCTATCTTCTGGTGTTAATAAATAAGAAACAGAAATATCGGCGTAAGGGAGGGGGGTGAAAGTTCCCCCTACCCCGCGACCGCTAACCACCAAGACGCTACCCATTTCCTGAAATATCTGAAATTATCCCGAACTTTAAACCAATCTGACAAATTTTGAGTAGAGTGTTCCAGAGCTGGACATAATATGGGGTTCTTGTGCACTATCTCCCCTATATCTCCTGGTGTTAATAACTAAGAAACAGAAATGTCGGCGTAAGGTAGGGAGGGGGTGAAAGTTCCCCCTATCCCGCGACCGCTAACCACCAAGACGCTACCCCGCGTCCACTAAGTCAACATCCGCTATCATTTAATTTTAGTAACATGAATATAAACGAATGGGGCTTTAAAGAATCCTCGCGCGCACTCTTCGCAGTCTATTGTTTATATATATCAGTCCAATGGCTTCAATTGGTAAATCAATAAGGATAAATCAAAATCGATTTTAGCAAGTACTGTCCACCAAAAAATTTATGAAAGTTCGTTGACCTCTTAGTGGTCGCAAAAGTAGCGGTCGCCAAAGTTGGCTCAGTGTACGCGTTTCCCGTTTCCACGAAAAATCGAGCGTAGTCTTAGCTCCAGATATGCTTGAGTCAACTCATTCAGTCAGATTAGCTGATTGAAGCTTAACCCCCCCCCCCCCCCCCCAGCCCCCCTCTCGTCCCGTGCCCCCGTGAGAATTTGAAAATATGTCAAATTTCTGGCAGCCGTTTCTTCATTTTCTGGCAGTAATTAAGGTGGTCCTTGTTATGTCTTATCAATTCTGCATATTGTGATTTTTTTTTTAATTCCCTTTTTTCTTTATTATGGGCCTACAATTCAATGTGTTTCGCTCACTTTCAGAGAATTGAAACAGAGAAACCCAAGGACAAGGAATAGAAATATCTAATCTGTATTTAGGTATTCTGATGTCAAAATGTCAACAGTAGGCTTTAATTTCCCGCTCCAGTAAAATTTGCTTGCTCTCAAAAAAAATTAAACTTAGAAAGGTGGTTTTCGGGCAAAGAACATCAGCGCCCGGCGTGAAATTCTGATTGTTTCTAAGTTAGCAAAAATACAATGACGATGACGACGGGGGTGGTGGAAGCCTACTGAATATTCATTGATAAGGAATAACAAATTAATTAATACGAAGCATTGAATGTAACACCTTTATTTTTGCCGACTAATCAAACACAAATAAATAATAATGTATACCTGATTACAATTCAACACATAAGCTCATAATACTGTAATATTTTTTCGAAGATATAATTTTTTCCTGAAAAAAAAAATAATCTAAAGCTATTCCGTACAATTTTGTAAAAAATAATACAAAATCTCAGTGCCTAAACTTAACTTCTTGGTGATTATATACAACCTTTTTTCTTTACAGGAAAAAATAATTGCATCTTTTTTTAACACTAATAAAAAAAGTGTTTAAGTAATGAAAATAGAATATGACAAATAGACAAAAATGTATATAGATAGATAGTCATAATAATGATGAGGGAAAGACTGGTATATATATATATATATATATATATATATATATATATGTCTTCATGTATATTCATATTCAATTTCGTACACACAAAAATATTGACGTTGAACACTATTAAAAAAGTTATCCATTATTAATGAGTACTAGAAACGTTGAAATCCAATTGGTAGTTTTTATTGTCAAATCAATAGTTATTTCGCTATCTTTTCAGGAGATCTCTATTCGTATATAAGAGATAGGCCTAGTGCAATTTTGCAACTTGTATTAGGACATATTTGTATAAATTCTAACAAACTAAACACTCACTTTAAGACACAAATATTCTTTAAGATTAAAGATTACAATTATGTAACTAGGTAAAGTTCTCTTGGTTTAAAGTCATTTTATTTCGACAGGTATACAAAAATGAAAGTCTCAAAGAATATATAAAGATATATAAGTTCATAAACAATTTCAGTAATATTTTCTATTTGAAACAAAATTTTTGGATTTTGGAAAAAGAAAAAAACTCAGAGCAGAACTCTTCTCAGTTATTATCACACAAACAATAGACTTATACTAAAATTAATTTATTGCATAAAATTAATTTATTGCACAAAATTGATAAGTAAACATTTTTTAAATTAAAATATACTTCGTTTCTCTTGAGTGGTCGTAGATTCACTTTCATAGCCAAGTTTACAAGCAAAAAATAATGGAGCTCTTGAATGCAGGAGACATTTTGGTTGCAACAATAATTCATGAGAGATTTTAACAAAAGGGTTTGATTTCCACGCGCAGTAGTCAGATTATTCAATGTTAAGAGTTTGTTAAAAGAGGGCGTGGTCTGGTTGGCGAATACAACAATTCCTGTGAGCTTGAGAACAATGGGCCAATCACAAGCAGTGATTTCCTCACATTCCATGACGTGATCTGATAGGTTTACTTGTTGGCGAATCACAGTGGTTTCTCATATCCTCCCCTTGTTAAGAGAGAAAGAAATGATCTGATTGGCTGATTGGTAATAAGATGATTCGATTGGCTGATTGTTTGACGAATCACAAAGATTCCTCAGCTTCTATCCGAGAACCGTCCTCTGAAGATTTGTCCCACCACTGCAAGAGACTGTTGGTCAAGGAGGGGAAAAGGGGAAGTTAAAATTGAATGGACGAAAAATAACACACAACATAGTGACAACTGATACAGGTACGAGTTGAATAGAGAGGGAATCATTGTTTTTCTAAAAATCTTCCATGAGACTTATTCTTTATTCCCCCCCCCCTATTTTTCTTCTTTCTTATTCTTTTCCGCCTTCCTTTCTTCTAGCATGAAGTTAGGATATTTAAACTCGACTGTTCTTGTTTCCTCATTTGTCTTCTTTTTCCTATTTTGATAACTTCTTTTCCTTCATAAAATTCAACTGATTGTTTTGGTCTCGTAATACGAATCTGCGCGTGGAGAAAGGAAGAAAGAAGAAAGAGTAGAAAGTGGAAAGATGTTGAGTATTTTTACCCAAAGAAAATATATTCAGTTGTCTGTAGAGGTACATAGTATTGATTGTATGCTTGGGTTTTTTCTTTTCTTTTTCAGGAAGAACTAAAATATTAAAAAACGCAGTTGGCTGAAACATGCAAAGTCACATGATAAAGAAAATAAAAATGTGCATGCAATGTGAGAAACTTTAATAAGAATCAACCTATATTCGACTACTTACTGTTCTGTATCTCTTCCTTCATAGCTCTCTAACATCACCTGGCTTCTATGAAACCAAAAAAAAATGAATATCGTTGTACATCAAATATCATAATTCTTTATTTCATACCTGATTATACGATTAAAAATGAATACAGTATATAGACTTCAAATATCTGTGAAAAGGGTGCTTCTCGCCGATTTCTCGTTTATGGACGAGTCTGGAGACTAGAGTCCTTATAATGAGGACGATAAGGAATAGAAGAGCATGAATAGAACAGAGGATTAGTGAAAATAATGGTTATAGGCTTACAGTAAATTACAGTCAACAACTATATTATTCATACCCTTACCAAGTTGTGTATTTGTTTAAGTATGTCAAAATTTGATATGTCCCGATTTACGTTTCTTAAGAATGTGACATATTAAAGCTCACATCTAAAGTATTCAAAAAGGGCAATACTGAATTCGATCAACCAGTCCACCTTTTATTCTTGAGTTCCGAAAACACACACAAAAACATCAAATTTACCAGGGGTATGAATAATTTAGTTGTTAACTGTATCTGCTGAGTTCAAAGTCTGTATTGAGATGATATTTCTCTACCAAGTACCTCGTGTCATACACGCGTGTATACATATAGTGCTCGCTAAAAACACTAATACACTATCACAACATCGTCAGGTCAGTGAATTGTGAAACACAAATAGTGTTAATTATTCAAATAATGTGGAAGAAGAGCAGCACAACTGAAATACAGGTTAGCTAAAAAGTACACGACGAAAGTTATCATTGTCGATGAGATGGGAAGGTTAGTAATATCGTCGAGTTCTGACAATGTCATTGTATTTCGAAAGAATTATTCTGAATCTACTACTCCTGCTACTACTACTACTACTACTACTACTACTACTACAGTTAATAATCCTGCTACTACTACTACTACAATTACTACAGCTGCTTCTTCCACTACTACTGTAACCAGGCGCGTACGCAGGGGGGGGGGGGTGTTTGGGGGGTTAACCCCCCCCCCTTGGTATTTTTATGTGTATAAACCCCCCTAAAAAAAACCTAAACCCCCCCCCCCCCTTTTGTTTTTTTTTTGGTTTTTTTTGTTTGTTTTTTTTTATAAAAAAAAATAAAAAAATATTCTCATGGCTGACCTAAAAAAGGTGACCTTACCCCCCCCCCCCAACGGAGCAAAATGTCAAATTTTCAAATTTCGAGACTAAAAAAAAAAAAGTGTCCTCTTACCCCCACCACCCCCCCCCCCCCCCCCCTTGAAAAAATCCTGCGTACGCGCCTGACTGCAACTAATATAAAACTAATAATAATAGTAATAATATTAATACTCATAACAATAATGCATGCTAAATATGAAAACACAATACTTACACTTGTTACACAATCTATTCAATTTTTACACAAATTTACACAATCGCACATCAAAACTTTCAACATAAGAACGTTCTCAAATCTGACATCAGTTTGTGATTGGAACATGCAAAATATGGAATATCAGAAGATATATGCTTTCAACTCTAGCTCTCTCTCTCTCTCTCTCTTCCTTCCTTCTCCCTCCTTCTACATCTCTCTGTATATCTCCTATTCCTTTCCTTTCTATATAAACAGATTCTCCTTTCTCTCCCTTTCTTACCCTCTCACTCCTTCCCTCCCTCCCACTCTATCCATGTTGTACTGTCACAATCTTTCCATGACTGTTTATAACTTCTTAGGTATCTTATTTTCTTAATATAAAAAAGGTCTCAAAATTGAAAAGTTTAAAAATAATGCCCCTCTCAACCCTTGATCGCCTTCTCGTTGTATTAGGTTTTGTCTTTTGGTGGCAAATGTGATAAAAACAGAGGGGGCAAACAGACTATTATTTTCAACACAGCAGTCACAGGGGTTCCAGGTAAGAGATACCATATGTGAAAGAAGAGAGAGAGAGAGAGAGAGCCAGAGAGGGGTATACATGTAGTTAACAGGGGCGGATTTAGGGGGGGTTCTGTGGTTTAAACAAGCCCCTTGGGCAGCCAAGTGAAGACAAAAAAAAGGGGGGAAAGAGAAGAAAAAAAAAGAAGAAAAAAGTAAAACGGCGCAATTTTTGTGGATCCGCCACTGGGTAAAACACCCGACCCCCCCCCCCCCCCCCCCCTTGGCGAAAAGCTAGATCCACCCCTGGTTACTGCATACACGAAAAGTAAGAAGGAAACACACAAAGCAAAATACAAGTAGCTGGAAAAAAGAGATACATGTACGTTCAGCATTTGACTGCATTCAAAACATTATCCGGATATATGTCATGGTAGAAAAAAGGTAAAATCCTTCAATAAAACACAAAAAGATCAAATCCTTTCTCATTACACGATTCAAAACACCCTGTTCAGGTTTGTTAATAATGCATGCTCATGCCATATCATTCAATCATGCATAAGAACACCACGATAACAACAAGAGATCCAAGATACTTACTTAGGATTGTATATCCTGTTATGCTATACATGTACCAGCTGAAGTGAGGTCACTGAAATACGACTCTAGGCGCTCTACAGGGGCAAAATAATAGATGAACCAGTGGCATAGCCATCAAGGTTCATTGGAGGTTGGGTGGAGTGGGGATATGGGTAGTTCTAATTGCTTTTGATTTATGAGAACAACATCAAATAAGGATAGAAACTGATAGCTCATAATGCTACGTTTGCAAAGACAAAATGGAAGAATTTGTACAGCCAACACAGAGGTCAGGTTAAATACTTGGTATTCTAAAGCTTTGTTAATAAAAAGATTCCTTTATAAAAGGGGTTCTTTAATGTTGAAGGTTTTATGAGGATCATTAATTTGAGAATTTGAAGCGTTGACCAAAATGTTTGTTAATCTGAAGGTAAAATTATACTAATGTTACTTGGGATAATAATGAATGATATTGATCAACTTAAGCCAACTCTGTAGAATGATAATTTTTTCTTAGTCTAGACCAGCCTTCTATGAAACCTTAACAGAATTGATTTGTAACCTTTTCTGTTCACAATGGTCCCTTGTTCAATACTATACCACACACTTTAAATCCTATATATTTGTCACGCAGTGTGTTATGGAGTATGGGTGACAATTATTTACGAACTTGTGGTTAATATGTTAAGTAAGTATGCAAACTTGAGGTTTTCTATGAACTCAAGACTTCCAATAAATCAGCAAAACATAAGATCTTCATTATTTCTTTGTTCGTTTTTGCAGTATTATTTTACTCGTTTGCACCATAATCACATGATCATCTTTATAAAACTTACAAAATACACTTCACAAATAACTTTCCATTTCGGGAGATACAAAATGTTTAGCTCATTATATCAATTACAAACTTTGACCCTAACAATATGGTACTGATCTCAACGACTGCATAAATATAGTTTTCAAACTATTAATATTTACATACATTTAGACATCTACATTATATAATGTAACATCTCTATCTTTAAAAAAGCACTGTACTGTTACTTTAAGGCGGGGAAGACCCCAGTAAAATTGACATAAATAATGGATATCTCCATTGAGAATGTTGAAAGTGTGACTCCACATACCGGTAAATAATTTACAGGATCGAGCAACTAGGACAAAAACTTCACATATAGTTTTTTATAAAATGTCCTTCTCACAAAAATGTCTTGACATAATTTTCCATTTCTGTCCATATAAATTGGAATTGAACCAGCTTTTTCGGTATTAGTTCCAGCTATCATTCTACATTTATGGCAAAAACATGTGTGTTAACATTAAAAGTAAGCTTTTAAATGTGACTCTCAATTCATATTAAAATATCAATTACAGAAGTCTTTCAAACTTGACCTTGTTTGCATCTTTTTCCCCCTTTTTTCCAAAAGAGATTCTGGGAGTAACAAAATGCCTCTTTGTGTATTTTGTTTATAACTTACCGGTAGTATTAATCTGAAACCACAAGGTATTGTGTATATTTGTCTGAATGAAATGGAAATAGGAATTGTATACCTTAGCAAAATATAAAATTCTCTCGATATGAAAGTCTTGCTTTTAATGATGTATTCTGCTTCAACAAAAATAACTAGAAAACATGAGAATGGTTTATACTGAGTGGAATTAGAGACAGACACATTAATGGATTTGTCATGTGCCATCTAAATATGTACGAATACATAGTTTATGGGTTAATCTGGGTTCATGAAAAATACAGCAAAAAAAATTTGACTGCAACAAAATTTTGAAAGAAAAAGAATTATACTGTAAAGACATTCAAATGACCAATACTGCATCATCTAGGGAATGGCAAAGATATTAAAGCTTATTAACCATGTTAAAGTTACACACTGTAATACCACGCAGTAATGAAATATATGGCAAAAGAACTGCAAAAAATATGTATGGCAAGGAAGGACTAAATTGGTCAACTTACAAGTAAATGCAGAGGGTTTCAACATACAAACCACAATCGATGGTTGATAAGAAGATCTAAATAGGTAATGGGTCATTAATTTCTGAAGTTCATTCTTAGCATCTGATTCATGATGTATTACCATTTAGTTGTACCTCCATCAAATAAAATTTGGTTTCATATATCATGAAAGGGAGTCTTAGGAATGGAGTGAAAATATTGCTCTATTTGGTGCTAATATTTCCTGTCTTTAGCTTCAAATGTTTTTCTCCCGGTACATATTAATGAGAGGAGGTGCTATTGCTGCTATCAATCTGTTCATTTTGTTTGGTGTTTCAAATAAAAGAAACTACCTTTACTCATAAATATTTTATATATTCTTACACAAAAACAGAACTGCAAGATATACAAAAGGATAGGCCTACTTTACCTCAAAATGCAAACTGAAAAGACATGCTGACCAAAAAATTTATCCAGTTCATTTCCTCTTGAAAGCAACAAAATATTAAATCTGGGAATATTTTCACGAAACTGTCTTTAGTACAAATTTGTCGACTGTGTGTTGACTTAAAAAACATGCGTTTCAATGGGATGTTGGCGAACTTGTATTTCCAAAGGTTTCAGAAAACAATGATCAGGGTATTGCAAGTGGCTAAAACCAACAAATCTCCTTGGTTTTACAGGTTATGGTAAGACAGAATTAAAAGTATTTGGATGATCAGAGGTTCAGAATTCCCAGCAAACTAGCCAAGGAATGAAATAAGTACATAACGATTAAACCAGTGTCAAATACATATGACTCTGAGATGATGAAAAATATACTATCTGACAATTTGCATCAAATTTTTTCAAATCAAAGTTAAAAAGGAAAAAAACCTAGAAAGCAGTCCTCTTGCATGCAAAACATACACAAAAGAGGATATAACAAAACATGCATGACTTATAAAATTTGCCACTTGGGGTTTGAGGTTTTCCACTTTTTGCAATACCCTATATCTTACATGTGCTTTCAAAGTATTACAAAATGCTGGTCAAAAATTGTTTAGTTAGAAAACAAAATAGAGATCAAAATACATTCAATTACTTTTTGCCACTTTCAACACAAGAATAAATTTATACAAAATATAAAAGAATAATGTCATGAGTTGTTATTAGAGCAGTTGAAATATTTCAAAGAATAATTTATATTATAAAACATGAGAACTTATCGGTTATGGCATATTAATCTTTCCTGCATAATTATTAACCTAGGAACTTAGGCACATAAAGAATTCTTTTATTTTGGCAACTTACAGTATTGACAAGAATAAAACTAATGTTGCGCAATGGATGGACGGTTTTGATTAAAAAAGTGCAAGTTAAAAGCAGACGATGGCTGACCCTATTCTCTCACTGTTCCATGATTGGTGTATGAAGTACACTGACAAAGTATAAGGAGTTCAAATTTGTATCATGAAGTAGACAGAAAAAAATGTTGCTTGATGGTTTAAATTAAGATTCCCACTATGAGATCATAACCATGATGGTATTATTCTTTGTATTTCATTATTGGACCATCACAGTTGGTTTTTACTGTAAAAAATATAATAGTATGAAAATTAGGAAAAGAAGGAGTTGGTTCTTCTATTTTATATTTTATAAATGAGTGATCTATATATCCACATTGAAGGGGTGGAATACCCTGGTGACTGTTTTATAAATTCGTATCGCTTTATATTTCATGAACCTACTGTGACTCAACTGGAATTTTGGAAGTATAATAACTGTGACATAATTCTGAAGTAAAGTTTTTCCCTCAATGCATGTATTAAATGAAATATAATTACATGTAGATGAACATGATACACCTAGACAAATGATTTCAACAACAAATGAAAGTGTGCAGTTGGATTAATTTTGTCAACAGACACCTAACAAATGAACAAATTCAACAACATTTTGGTCGTGAAATAGCTAGAAGATTCAAAGATGGATCCTTTCCTGGAAATAATAGCAAAGTTTCTATGAATTATGGCACTTAAAATAATAATTGTCATTGCCCCCTCCCCTTCCAATAAATAATAGCAGTGTTAGTAATAAATAAAAGTAAGCAAGATGCATGGTTGAGCAGGTCAAAGCACAGTCTCTTTCTCCATATACTCGGAGGGGGGTTTGTACCTTCTAACACGAAGCTTGTCTTCTGGTAGTATTCGTTCTTGGTTCTGTGGGAGAAAGAGAGAGTGATATTACGATCAGTGATGGTGGTGATGATGATGGTGGTGGTGGTGGTGGTGGTGGTGGTGGTGGTGGTGGTGGTGGTGGTGGTGGTAGTGATGATAGTTATGGTGGTGGTTGTAGTGGTGATGGTGAGGATAATGGTGGTGGTGAATGATCATAGTGACGATGGTGATGATGGTGATGAAAATGACAATGATGGTCACAATGATGATGATGGCGATGATTGTGACGATGGTGGTGATGATGATAGTGATGATGATAGTGATGATGATGGTGATGACAAAGATTAAAAATAAAGCAGTTTAAGTAATATATATCAATGAGATACAGATTATAACAATTAAAACAAATACAAATAATATCCAAATGATAAAACACAATGATGAAAATAGTCATTATAATGAGTGCTGAACAGCAGATCATCAACTAGTTGTCACCAGGAAGCAAAAGCGAGCATCATCATTCTGAGGGGTATAGTACTTGCACATGTGTGTCCAGAGCCATTGTAAACAACAGCTTCCTTGCAGGTACATGTGAATGTGTGTATAACGAGCAGCTACGTCTACCTACAGAGGCAATAGCTGCTCAACTCACACATAGCCTATACGGTATGCTCTACATTCCTTCAGCATCTAATGTAAGACTAGAATTAGTGTATTGGTTATAACAAAGTCCCACTTTATTAGATGGATGTATCATTGTATTCATCATTGCTTGGACTTACCGCTGGGTGTAGCCATGTGTCAATCTGTTTGAGCTCCCTGGCCCTTTTCTTGTCCTGCAGAGGGAGTAGATACAAAATATGGACCAAACAGGTTTAAATAAATACTTCTGTGGACAGAGGCAGTATTCTATTGTGATAGTTGAACTGATACATAATAATAACAATAATGATGGTAACAATTTCCATAACAGTAATAATTGATGCCTCTATTGATCTATAATAACATGGGAAATGCATGGCAGGATGCAATTACCATCAACCAATTAACATCTCCATGTCATAACTCTGATACCATATTTGGTAGCAGAGGTGTATTTTTTCCTAAAATTTCAGACTTGAAATAATACCTGGAGCTTCCGAATCACAAATGTGTAATACAAGCAAAGCCAAAGACTGCTTATATCCATGAGGTCAGTGTAAATTACACCTATGAGTATCTTGTAAGCCTTCTTCTTATTATTATTACTATAACTATAGTCCATGTGACTTTACAGAAATGATATCAACTAAGTTGAAACTAAAGAAGTTTGACATATTGATTTTCAGCCTTAACACCACTGTACATAAGAAAAAAGAAAACAAATTATTTTGTATTCGGCCAAAACAAAGAAAATCAGTGAATACAAAACAAGAGTACATCTGGAAAAGAGTCACATGGATGCCAGGAAAAGAAAAAAATTAACTAAATAACTATAACCCGATAACTATAATCCATATGACTTTACAGAAATGATATCAACTATGTTGGAACTAAAGAAGTTTGACATACTGATTTGCAGCCTTAACACCACTGTACATAAGATTTATAGAAGACATCAATCTTGAAAGCTTAACTTTGTGAGGAGTGAAAATAGAAAAGCCATTTTTTTTAGATATTTTATTTATTATTTATTTGGCATTTTTCAAGAAATATGACAATGAAACAACATAATCAAGGTGATTACAAAATTAGAATGACAAAAATTATACAAATATAACTTTTTGTAGCAACTTATCCATGGAATATTTGAGTAGAATTCAATGTTTGAATGGCAAGGAACTCACCACATAGTGAACCAGACAGCTACATGGGATCCAGATGAGAAGAGAGATAATAAGCGTAGCTCCTACTACATTATCTTTGATGATTCGACCTGAAGAATAACAAGAGAACAAACTTCAATATAGTATACAACTGGTAATGATCCTGCAATTTTTTTTTAAATGCATGGGTTAACTAAACAAATTATAATTCGTTTTAAAAGAACATGAACAATTTGAATTGGCAATACAAAATTTTGGCCTCCTAATCCATGCTTCATGTTACTTCTTCAAGTTTTGATGAATCAGAAGCAAAAACAGACGATAGAATGTACCAACACATTGAATGGAGTAAGATATTAGAACTTAAAATGCCATTTTATCTATCAAAATTACAGTTCATATGCACATGTCCTGCTTGGGTTAAGAATTTCTCAACTATCATCAATCCCGCTTGTTCATATTGTGTCTTTATGTTTGGTCACCTAGTGATTATAAAAAAACATTCCATTCTATTTACAAAGAATTACAGAATTAGCATAATGTAAAAAATACTCACCCACTGTGCTGATGGTGAATCCTTCAAATACATCAAAGAATCTGGCGATTAGATCCTGCGTCCGACCCTCACAATGGCCCTACAATAACAAAAACAACCATGTTATCATCTCAAGCACATATGTTGTAAAGGGGATTTCCAATGGGAAATGCAATTGTTTGTCCTTACTGTAAACACCACAATAAATCATGGAATTCTAACATGAGATCTAAGAGTCTTTCCCTAATTCCAAATACTACTACTACTGCTACTACTACTATTACTACTACTACTCATAATAATAATAATAATAATAATAGCACTTTCAAATAACTATGTGCTTGTAAAGGGTTTCAGACATTACTACCTGGCATTAGTTTTTGCAACTGTTATCAACACACAATGCATTCAAGGAATAAATCCTAAAGGTACTCGCCTTGTACAAGGATGGAAATGTCCATAATATTCATTCTCTTGACCAATTTTGTTCCTATTTTCACGAAGTGACGGTAGTGAGGAAAATCCGCAAGCAAATTGTATGCGATTTTCATTCACTACCGTCACTTCGTGAAAATAGGGACGATTTAAGTCTTTGCTGAAAGCGCACCTTTTTAATTCATGAATGATATTCTGCAATTGTGAGTCGGTCAAAGGAGGTGCACACCGTCTTATTTCTTTTTTGTTCGATCTTATGTTTGATCCTATGTTTGACCTTATGTATGTTTGATCTCACTCTAATTTGTATTATTATATATGCATGATTTTTTTAATAAAGAACAGATGTATAAGTTGTGTGTTTATTATAAGTTTTGGTAAATAATTTGTTAGTCAGACTATGGTGTGCTTAGATACACCCGCATTAAGCGCCTAATAAATGTTGTGTATTATTATTATTATTACATGTATATTAATGTCTCATCAAAGATTATCATTGCAGTACCAGGGATTGAATCAAAAAGCTTTACTTCCCCAATAAATTGTTAACAGCACTTGACCGCGACACATTTAAAGAATAGCATTCATACACCAGACACACCAAAGAGACCAACACCAGACCGACACCTGACCAGATAAATTACATTGCCCAGCATAGCCAAGAAGCAGTCTGTTTGGAGTTGGTTTGAGTTTGGTCTGACAGTGTGACTGAGTTCTAACCTTACCTGTACGCAGCCGCCTATTTCACACGGTTTACCATCTGCGACTGGTATCGCCATTCGAGTGTGGCGGTCCAGAAATGGCTCACATGGTCCGTTTGGTTCAAACACACAGCAGAAGTAACATGATTGCTCCACTGGGCATATACAAAAAAAAAGAGAAGATTCATACACAACAGTCATCACCACAGACAATTAGAAGATTTTGACCCTTTCCATTAGGTTTCTACCCCATCCATGAACTTGACTGTATTGACCTTTGACTAGGATCATCTATTTTTTTCTTCCTCCTCAAAAATAGAGAGGCGCTTTCTTTCTGAAATATAGTCTTAACAAATACTTAATGCCCACTTTAACAATGACATAAAAATCATTCCAACAACAATAAGGAATATCATCTCGGTAAGATTGTAGACATTAAGTTTTTTCTTTTGTTGGTCAATACATGTATTTATTTATAGATACTACATACTAATATGCATAAAATAAGATAACAGGGGCAAGATATATGTCCATGTTTGTCAGGAAACAATCATCGATCATCATTCATGTACCGTAATATAAGAAAATACCCCAAAGGAATGCTGCATGCCTACTTACACGGAGAGCAGATGCATGATCTGAAATTATTGACTTCACAGAAAGCAATGCAATTCCCTCCAACACATGTTCCACTGTAATGGGAAAGAAGAGAAGAGTTACTATAGCATACATGGCTAACCAGTCACCTCCCACACACTTTTGTTTAGACATGTTGCTAGCATTGACAGGGGGGGGGGGGGACCTCAAGATAGCTTAATACAAGTAACAGAATGCAAGATGTAATCCAACAGGAATGATGCATGGTCTATCACATCTGTAATTTGTCATTATTAATAAAAATATGTACAATTGATCCACAGTGATGAAAATATAGTTCACCCAGGCGTTATGCACATGAGTTACATGCAATTGCTATCTGGGGTACCATACCCAGAGATCACGGATACTATAAACTGTTTATGACATCATGGACAATGGGATTTGTACATATAATATTAGCAATAATAATAATAACAAAGTTAATATATAGGTTTCTAAGCGTTTTCAACACAATTAAATGTATCTTTGCATAACTAAATTTACAAAGGAAGTAGTAAGCAATATCAGACAAAACATAAGGAATGGACAATATGGAAGAAAACCAAAGTTAATAAAATATTTCATGTAATACATTCTTAGAACTACCGTACACAGACAATACATGATGAAGCATTGAAAATTTATAATGGAGCTTACAAATTCAGTGCCTTATATTCTTCTATGATGTTTCATTATGCATCAGCAAGAGGCACCCTTCTTGGTAACTGGATGACAAACATAAGTCAATGCTCACAAAACTTCTAAATCAGGGATCTTTGCAGCAGGCCATGCCCTACATAGTACTATGATACAGTCAAACCTACTGTAGTGACCACCTGTCTACAAAGACCACATTTTTTGTTTCCCTTGAAAATGGTTTCTCATTGAAACATGTACTAAAGGAACCTGTCTTCAACGACCACTTTTTGTGTTTCCCTTGGGAGGGTCACTATAGACAGGTTTGACTGTATATATCTTGCTGGGAACCAAAAGGGCATAACTCAATTCTTGAGCTAGTGCCCTTTGGTAAGGCATTAATCATCATTACGAAGTCCCTCGGAAAGGACTGAAAGCGATCGGTCCCCTGATTGCTTACTTACAAGGATACACATGCTTTCTTAGCAGTCAGGTAATACAAACAAACCAAACCTCAACCTTGAAGACTACTCACTTGTCAATGCATCCTGCTCCATCCCTCAGATCAGGAGGACTTGGGCACCGGATGTCCCTTCCTGTACAATAAGACTTGGCCTTGCAGTATGCATTCTGCTCTGTAGCATCACTGCATACTTTAGACGGTGGTGCATAATAGCAGTTCTCACAGCATACAGAATTCTTGTCACTGATGAATGAACATATAAAGATAAGGGAATGTCCAGTGAGGAAAAAGACTAGGAAACCATGCAAGATTTGTTGGCCCAATTTTGCATCAAAATCGACATCAGGAGTAAATCTTAGTAGAAAAGAGTTCAAGTCTTATATTCATTATTACAATGGAATAGTAAAAGGAAAACAGAAATTACATATTCATCATATCAGCATTTTGTTAGAAGCGACCTTGCTATACCTCTTGTACACACAATGAAGTGAAGTAAAGTTAGAGTGGCAATAGAAAAGAAGGCATATGATTTCAACATTTTTTAAGCAGTTCTGACAATGACTTCAGTGACGGAGACGCAGAGGTAGTCTAATCTTCGCCCCAGTGTAGACCCCCTTCTAATAAGAGCATCCCCATGAATGTAATACACAGACAGGTAAATAAAGAAGACAAGATATAGATGATCTTCATTGCACATACCTGCAGAGTTTGCCTGGTTTGAGCCTGCAGTTAGCTGTACAGCATTCATCAGGGTTATTGTTATCCACAATGCCTACATCACACTGCTCTCCTTGTTCTAGACGGTAGTTGCCACACAGTGATGTCTGCGATGGCTCTGCAGGGAGAAGATAACAAACAACCATAAACCATGGCATGTTCTCAAAGCCTCTGAAAATCAACTTGAGTGGGTACCTCAAAGATCTAGACTTGAACGGTGGACCTCTTACACTTTGTTTCCTACATGCTTAATGCCACTAAATGGCTGATACAGAACAGGTCCATTGTCTATCATTCATTCATCTCATCATCATCATCACCATCAACATCATCAGGCCTCATCATCATCATCACCATCAACATCATCAGGCCTAAAATAAAAACTTGTTGTATTGCCCTTTGGGTGCCAAAACATGGGTCGGTCGGTCGGAAAAGTTTTTTTTGGTCGCCCTCTTTGGGCCGATATTTTTCAGATTTAAATGTTTTTTTGTTTCTTCTTTTTTTCGCACTCTTTTGGCTGATATTTCTCAGTTTTTAATGTTTTAATACATGTGTTTCAATGTCATTATTCCATTGATATCCCTTTCACCTAATGATCATCCATTGTGTGCACGAGAGAGAATTTTGGAATAATTTGATTTTATGCATTTATATCCCATTTAAACAAAAAAATACATATTTTTTCATTCATTAATAACAAAAAATCTAAAAAACGGTTAAAAAAAAAAAATGTTTTAAAATGCCGACTGTAGATTTTCTGATTTTTGGGTCGGTCGCAAAGGGCAATACAACAAGTTTTTATTTTAGGCCTCATCATTACTCATCTCGAGGGATAAGGAGACCAGGCATTTTCTTCTATTGCTCCTTGCCTGTGGAATTCCCTCCCATCATCTATTCACAAAATTGACAACCTGGACCACTTCAAAGCTTCACTCAAAACTCACATCTTTCTTCAGACATTTAAATGCTAATTTTATTGGAGGAGCTCGCGCCTTTGAATGTTTTCTGAAACAGATATATGGCACCATACAAATGCTGTTCTTCATCATCATCATCATCATCATCATCATCATCATCATCATCATTCCTCCTCCTACTCCTCCTCCTCTTCCTATTTTGTGTCATGGCTCATTCTCTCAATACTGAATATCTTACAGATGACATGTTTCTAATTGTACTATTCGCAGATATCACATTTTATAGATATCATACTATCCATGTTGTTACTATTACAGTAGTCCTAAATAGGAAGATAAATTGATATTTCGTTTCAGGTGAAGTTAACCTAGACCTATTTTTCTGGTTATAGCCTTCAAAACTAATTCATTAAGGATAAACTAATTACTGATTGGTTTTAACTGACTAACTAGATGTTTAATGAAATGTATTTTCACAAAATCCATGACCATGATCAACACTGTGTATTACTTTAACAAAGATTGTACAAAGATTGTATTTCAGCGAAACATGTTATGTTTTCTGGGGGTTCTTACCGACAAAGCAGCGTGCAGATTTTTCCCTCAGTACTGGTGAAATCAGCCTCTTACTGCAAATTGAGAATTTCTGTCATAATAAAAGGAGGTATTACAGTTTTGTTTTAAAAAGTATTCCAGTATCATAGATTGCAGTTTAATTAATTGTGCCACATATTGGATATTTTAGGAAAGTATGAAGTAACTGTTCCTTTATATTAACACATGAGAGAACATTACCGTAATGTGCAGTAAAAATGAAAAAGACAAGACAAATAAATTCATTGAATCCTCTAACTTTACTTAATAATTTATACACCTGTTTTGTGATTTTCTTAACCCCTTCCATGACATGGGTGGCCAATGTTAGCATTGAACATTGTGTTTTTAATCCAAACACCCACTTTCTTTTCTGAAACAAACAAAAAAGTTTCTTTAATTTGTAACAAGTGCTATAAGTCAAAATGGTCTTTCGACAGTTAACTTATTACTAATGTCAATTTTTTTTTACTCAACCTTTCACTAATTTGTTTCTCTCATTTTCAGCTTTTATCAAACCAACTTAATATAAGGGTAGACTACCCCTTTAATGGCTCGTTCACATACAATGTTGCAAACCCTGCAGGTTTTATTTTTCCTTTTCTTTGTTTTCGTCTTTACTTGTAAATGAATGGCAAGTGGGGATGAAAAAATGTAGCTGCATGCTACAAGGTCCTCTGCATACTCACTTGTGTGTTTATTATAATAAGCCAGTTCACGGTTGCAGTCTGAGCATGAGTAGTTAAAGGTCATTGCAGAACAAATTGTGAAATACACTGAGAAAGAATACTGGATACGTGCTCATGAAAGTTATGTAATCATTATTCACTTATGCACAAGCAGAGCACTCTATGATACACAGGTGGAAGTATTCTTTGAAAAGGGGAAACAAAGGCTAAGTATGTAGCATCTCTATCGCTGTAGGAGTGATTATTTCAAAATGTACAAAGTGGGACCTCTTCATGTTTTGAAGATCTGTGGATATTCGGGGTCATTGCAGCCATGTGCTAACCGTGAACTGGTCTATTAACAAGAAACCTGAACTGCATAACCCTTATAACATATTAATTTTGCCCTGGCATATTGAAGAAGGCTTGAAAGTCTCACCCTATTATTGTCATAAGAACCAGTCACAGAAGCAGGGTACATGAGAAAGTTTCCACCACGGGAGTTGCCCGGGGCACATTCATCACCCTCATTACCAGGATCGTGCTCACTCCCAAAGTTATGACCCAACTCTGTGTGGAAAAAAAAGACACAAATAGTAAATACAAAGAGGCTCTCTGACTCCACCAATGGGACGATATTGTTTCAAGGCTGGATCAGTGAGTTACAGCAACTTGCATGAAATGATATGCCATAAGTAATTACACTGAACGTACAACTGGTATTTTTCATAATACCCAGTACTTGTTATGGCTCATGAATGTATTTTAATCATCATATTGATAGATAAACTGAAAAGAATGAAATCTGATGTTTTTTATATTTGGAGATGAAAACAAAACAACTTTGTAGCAGAAGATTTGTCTCATTACCATTACACTGCATGTGGTATATTGTATTTTACAGGTATTATTACTTTGAGATGACTAAAAGTATGTAATGTTGTTTTTTTTTCCTTTTTATCTGTCACAACCAATCAATCGCGGAAGCATATATGTGCATTGAAAGAGTCCTGAAATCACAAGTTATGTTGTGATGGAATAATAGTCGCACAATTTTCAAATGGGGCTAGGCCCTGTTCCTTTTTTGACGTTTCATTTGCTTATTCTCCTGCTTTCATTTGTTTAGCTCTGTTTAATGTTGAATAGAGAAAAGATCCTACATGTCTATGATATCTACCATTTTCTCAATAAGATTTCAGTAGCAGCATATATAATAATGATTCTTAGATACTTAGAATACTTGACTCATGCTTTAGACATGCATATAATTTGATATTTATACATGTACAGTTTACAACTAAATTATTCATAGCATTACCAAGTTTTTGTAATTGTTTAAACAGTACAACTCACCATGAGCAGTCACTAAATCTGCTTCTTCTGTTAATACACGGCGCCCCCAATTGACGGTTGTGGTTAAGCCTGTGTTCAGGTATTGTCGCTTCCCATTGCCAGCATAATATACTGCAATAACAAGAAAATATATACAGGGTTATGAGATTATTTGCATTAAAACTAATATAAAGAAAAATAACAGTGGAAAATCGGGTAAATAGCCACCCAAAACAAATCTATCTTGTTAGTTGAATTGAGCATTATCTATTTCAACAATAAAAGGTAGATCTAATGAGCCAAATTTGGATATACAGGTTTGATTTTAATTCCATTTTGGGCACTTTTAATTTGTACCTTTATGTCCCAGACATAGTAATGTGCAGTTCGCCACATAGTTTCTAGAAAAGCTTCCAGTAAAATCATGACCAAAACAGACATGTAATCATAAAATAGATTTTAGGTGTCAAAACAAAAGACAAAGAGCACTGACTCTGACATCACCATAACCCACTCAAGCACTGCAGGCTTCACTCACCTGATGTACATATGCCTCCTACAGCATTGCTTCTTGGAGTGCCTATGTATGCAAGACCTAGGACACCATTAGAGAAGTCTTGATAGGTGAAGAGATGTGCCAAGCAGAATGCACTGTGATCCTCTTTACTGTATACCTGCAGAAAGAACATTATAGCTACCGTTAGGCATTCATCAAGCAAGAGTGGTGAGTGGCTTTAATTGCTCCGGAATGCTCCTAACAGAGCACTGGTAAACTAAACAAGAACTAAACAGGAGTGCCGTGCTGACACAGCACCAATATCCTTTGGCAAGATATTAACCTGCACTTGCTACTCTCCACCTAGGTGTTAAATGGGTACCCTGTAGGATGCGACCGTCATTGTTGGTCAAACAATTTTTGAGCGTCAAGTACCGTCTGGCTGGAATACTCCAAAAGGAGTGGAGATTGTGCACACAGTGTGTGCGGGCAAGCATTGAATCCAATGACCGGGGTAATAGTATATCTGTAAAGTAAGGCGCTTAGAGACATCATAGATGTATTAAGCGCTATATAAAAGCGGAACATTATTATTATTATTATCATTATTTGGTAATAAAAATAAAATAAAAAGCAATGTGAAATTTGTAATAATCAAACATTTGTAATAGTTGGCAGCTATGTACGTAGTCATCAATTCAATACTGTAGATCTAGAAAATCCTTGTGCTAGATAACTTGAGATTCTACTCCTACATGAGAGGATGGTAGTAATGTTATTCTTAACACAGCCTCACTCACCTCCAAGAGTTCCTGCACACCCCAAGGCTTGCTGTCTCGATCAACGTTGTAGTTATCTGCTGAGGTTGGGGAGGGATTCTGGTGTATGACAATCTTCATGTAGGGCAAACACACAAAAGAATGAGAGATCATCAATGTAAGAAACATGGAACAAACTTAGAGTACCAGTACTTGGATGGTACCATGATCCCTGCTTATGAAAGCGGCAAATTTTGAATCATCAAGTAAATTGAACTTGAAGTGTAAGAATACAAAACATGCTCAGTGATATGAACTAATTATTGTAATACAATAATCTCTGTAGCCCGAATTCACAACCCATGGTTTAAACCCTCATTTACTTAACCCATGGTTAACTAGATGGAATTTTGACTGCGCGCAGTCGAAAATGATGCCTCCGCAATAGAGCAATTTAAACAAGTTTGGAGTTTAAATCTCCAGTGGTTCTTGAGATATCATGATAACAATCTCAATGTATGGAATTTCATAAGTTGACCTCTGTGACCCTTGACCTTTGACCTACGTGCTCCAAAATCTAATCAGATTGTCTTCCTATGGTGATACACACTATCATTAAGTTTGAAGTTTAAATCTCTAGTGGTTCTTGAGATATTATGATAACAATCTCAATGTATGGAATTTCATAAGTTGACCTCTGTGACCCTTGACCTTTGACCTACGTGCTCCAAAATCTAATCAGATTGTTTTCCTATAGTGATACACACTATCACTAAGTTTGAAGTTTAAATCTCCAGTGGTTCTTGAGATATCATGATAACAATCTCAATGTATGGAATTTCATAAGTTGACCTCTGTGACCCTTGACCTTTGACATACGTGCTCCAAAATCTAATCAGATCGTCTTCCTATGGTGATACATACTATCCTTAAGTTTGAAGTTTAAATCTCAAATGGTTCTTGAGATATCGCGCTAACAAACTCAATACAAGGAATTTCATAAATTGACCTCTGTGACCTGTGACCTTTGACCTACGTACTCCAAAATCTAATCAGATCGTCTTCCTATGGTGATAAATACTATTCCTGAGTCTTAAGTTTAAATCTTAAATGGTTCTTGAGATATTGTGATAACGGTCAAACGGGACGGACGGACGGACGTACGGACGGACGGACGGACGTACGGACGGACGTACGGACGTACGGACGGACAACCCGAAAACATGATGCCTCCGGCACCACCTTCGGTGGCGGAGGCATAAAAATAAGCTAAAAATAAACGTTAAAAATAAGCTCAAAATGAATCTTGCCTTGCGCTCGTTTAATATTGGACATCTGACTGTTTCACGGTTATTTTTGCCCTAATTTTAGACTGTGGGATATGTAAATAAGGGTTTAAACCATGGGTTAATTTTAAACCTCTTTTGTGAATTCGGGCCTTTGGGTTCATAATACTTTCATTTGTATATTCTGCTGCCTCATACAAGAGAAGATATATCACAAATAGACAGTGTCCATTTATGCTTTGGTTATACAGTCAAACCTGTATATAAATGTTACTAACGGGAGTCTTTATAGACGGGTGGTCTGCAATCACCTACATGGGTAGGTGATTGCTAAAGCAAGTTTCCCTTGTACCATGATCCCTATTCATAAGTGCCAATTAAACTGTTTTAAATTGACTGATCCCATCATAAATTCTATATGAAGTGAAAGAAAAATACTTGACAATAATACTTTAGTGTGGTAAGAAATCAGAGAAAGAGAGACGCTGTGTCGTCAGCTACAATGCCCTTCTTGTGCATTTACCTTTTTGATTTGGAACTGGAAGCCTGAATATCCTGGTTCCCATTCGGTCGTCTTGTAGATGACATCAACCCTGTCAACCAGGCTTACCTGAGAGGGATAGAGAGAGAGAGAGAGAGACATGGAGAGAAGGAAAGGAGATAAAGCAGATGCCAGTTGATGATTGGGATAAAAACAACTCACAAAAATGACATTTTGTTTTCCCAGGTACTATACTTACAAAACATTTTTGCACACAAGTTGCCCAATCATGTGCTGCTCAATTTGTGGCCCTACTATAATTTTAAAACATTGCGAAAGTGAAACCCTAGTGAAAGTAATGGCGTACACAGTAAGTAGTGGAGATACTCACCAGGTAGTTCATAGATATTTGCATGTTACTCTGTCCCATTGACTGGTAGAATCTGTAATCAGCAGTGAGAAGCATTGGACAGACATGATAGCGTGGGGGCGCTCTCCTCTGGCGGGAGTGTGATGATGAGGATGACTCTGATTAACAACGAGACAGGAAACAAAAAGAGAAAGATGTTTATAATAGTAAACAAATATACCATGCACTGAGATGCTCTAGTTGCTCCAATATGACCCTACCGATTTCAGTGCTAGCAGCATTCATGGAATTTCTTCCTACCGGTGCCTATTTAGCAATTGGGTGGAGAATGGCAAATATAGATCAATGTCAAGTTAAGGATAGCATGAAGTGATTGGGATAAAGAGAAAAAGAAATGTTTCAAAAAGACCAATCAATAAGTGTTTCTTTTTTTGTTCCTCTGTTTGATTTGATGTTCTATTTAAATATACTCCATTTACAATATCAGCTTTAAATATGACTTCTATAAAGAGACATTGCAATTGTAGAACCTCTGAAAAAGGGCAGCCTGAATAGGCTCACAGAAACTGTAAATATAGGTAAAAGAACAGGTTCAATAAAATAATATAAAGAAGCAACTTGATAAAACATTTCTATGTGCAATATTTACATGACACAACTAACACAACTGACACATGCAGACATTTGACTTACTGCTTTTAGGCGCTGAGCTTTGCCCTTTGAGCTGTTCTTGTGTCTTTTCATACTTGAGACCTTCTGGCAAGTGGTGGCCATGTGGACAAAATGAAGCCCTGGTCAAAGAAAAGGTACAAAAGGTGTGTGTGATAATTTGAACTACAAGTAATATTATAAATGATAGGTTGTCATCAGTGATTTTCAGTTTTAAAATTGTCAATTTCACTGGATATTAACTTATTCCCCAAATAGATGATCATTGTCAAAATGATTAAGAATTGACAATTTTCATGGAAGTGATAATACAATCTGATATTGGACATACACATGCAGTTAAAACAGAAGTTCAGATGAGAATAGAAACTTCAAACCAGATTATATACAACTTACACCTATAAAGAAAGGCAATTTACATTGGTTTTACATTGAACAACCTGTAAATAAAGATAGATTTTAATAGATAGTACTTACGTTGTATTTTGTTTGATATCTGAGCTGCGATATGCTATCATGCTGAAGTTATGTCGTTCTTTTATGTGTCTCCAAGATGGCTGTTAAAGAGATAGAAGCAAAGAGGTTTCAGATTTTTTTTTTTCTTTCTTTCTTTCTTAAAAAAAGAAAAGAAGATTCAATGGACATGTTGTAGCCATTGAAAGAAGTCAAGAGCAAAACTGATTTCTAGCTTCATACCCACTTACCCCTGGCGCTGAAGCAGAGTTTTCGTACCGTCACAACATTTGAGCATATAAGCCTGGAAATTATACCCTTAAATAGCCAGGCTGAAAAAAAAGTGTTTAGTCTCCACATCAACATATGCAGTTAATAGTTGTGTAACTTGTGTTGTATTTAAGGGAAATAATGATATCATCAGAGGACATTATAACATTGTTCTTTCCATGTTGCACTAAAACTAGCATTCACAAGAACTGAACAGTAATAACTACCTCTATTAAAAAATATTTTAAAAATGAAGCTCAAATCCTTCAATATTCACAATCAAATTCTAAATAAAGCTGCTCACAGATGCACTGCATCAAGGCACAAATAGCTTAACATGCCATAGATTTATGATCATAATTACAATAAATACTAATAGACTACAGATGAATGTTGATGACGAAGGTCATGGTGAGATGTTGAGGATAGCAATGACGATGACGATGACAATGACGATGATGACAATGACAATGACTACATACACTCTCTGTATACTGCCCCTACCTCAGTTTCATTACAAACCCTTACCTCAATGGTATATTGCTCTTCTCTTGTGTATATTCTAGCTGTGATGTCATCTCCTTCTAGGTGCATTTTCACCACACTGTCAGGATCATCTACATAAAGGGAATGAGAATCAAATGCAGTGGTGTATCTACTATCTACAAGGGGCAATTGACTAATTTGACTATAAATATTGTACATATATAATGTAGACAAAAGTTTTTGTAGTCCCATGTACCTGTGTACTAAGGCTGTGCACAACAGTATAATGAGGTACCCGAGTACACTCCAAGGCTTACAAGCGAATACTCAAATATTCGGACGCCATGTTTTTTTAAAAAATTTTGATTTTTTGATTTTTTGATTTTTTTTTTTGGCCACCACCATACATACCACTGGAGCAGTATCCCAGTTCTGTCGCCGAAAACGCATGCAAGTTTACTTTGAGTTGCAGTTGAAGGCGCCGATTTAATAATAATAATAACAGTAAACAATGCTGTTTTAAAAACCAAAGATGGCAGAATAATCCATTTTCCTCCAAAGTCCAAACAGAAATCCAGACATTTGGTCCCAGTTTCTGAGTGATGAGTTTGACAGTGCTTGAGTTGGGAAACATTTTTACCGACGGCAACATGCCAGCGGCTGCCGTTCACCCAGGCACGGGTAAGCTTCGGCCTGGACAGATTTTTTTTTTTTTTGCGGCCGAATATTCGGGTACGAGAAATTGTACCCGAGTAGTTGTCAACCGTGCGGGTACTCAAGCATTCGACTACACGTCGCAGCCCTACTGTATACCTTTCTTTTCATGGTTTCAAACGTTTAGCCAGATTCATTCAATTGTTTAAGATATTTAAGATACCAAATAACACATCATATATACATTTATTCCTATATACATGTATACAGTGCGTCCCAAAAAAAACTATACACTTTTGAAATGGCTGCCAAATAAAAAAATATATGATTCTGGGGAAAGATTTTGATATGTATGGAAAGCTCATAAACTCAACTTTCATATGACACCAAAAAGTCTAAACATAATTTATGCTTGAGTGAGCACTGGTCACTTTTGTAAAGGATATGAAAATTAGGTTGCGCAGGAATTGGCCTTCCAATTTGTGAGAGGTAAATCCTTTGGAGCTTACGGAATTGAGGATGATATGACCAATTTATGATCAATTGTGGTGATTTTGGGTTTGGGTGAAATTTGTGGTTTATGGGATTAACATTTTATGCATGAGTGAACAGGAATTGCATTTGTTATTACCGTAGACTCAGTGGTGTGTTAATGGGAGTCAGGACGGGGTGATGGTACATGGTGCAGGGGAGGTGAAATGTAGGGTAGGACTTTGTTGGGTAGATGGGATAAGGGTCAAGAGGACACCTATGCCCCTACCCCTCTCTCTCTCTCTGCCTGGGTGTGCTTTTGCATATCTTGATAATTCATTAGACAATCAACATTCAGCTTACATCACAATCAACAATGTACGGTATCAGTCAATCGGTCAATCCATTAATCAATCAAGCATTCAATCACTGTTCAGTATTTCAATCAATTTAATCATTCAATAAATCAATCATAATTAATCAATAACTCAGTCAATCACTCAATCTATCAACCAACCAACCAGTCATTTTAGCACTTGAGTTTCTGTAAATGGTAAATGGGTAACCTGAAGAATAAGTAGCCAACATCTGTGATATTCCTTTTTCAACAAACCGTATTTGAATAATCAATTTACATAATCCCCAGCTGGTTATTAGGTAAATCAATGAGATGTTCAACTAATCTTACAATAACTGAAATGTGGGTTGAAGGATTTTATTCAAAGCCACAGATGTAAAAAAAAAAAAAAGAGTGTGTAAGATGGAAATTACAACATGTACCATCACCCCATCCTGACTCCCATGAACACACCACTGAGTCTACCAGAGAAAGTTACAATGCTACAATAAAAAAATGAAATTCCTGTTCACTTGTGCATAAAATTTTGGTTTAATAAACCATGAAATTTACTCAGCAAATCATGAATGTATCATATCACCCTCCATTTTGTAAGCACCAAAGGATTTACCTCTCACAAATTGGAAGGCTAATTCCTGCGCAACCAAATTTTCATACACTTTACAAAAGTGAGCAGTGCTCACTCAAGCTTAAATTATTTTCGCACTTTTTGGTGTCATATGAAAGTTGAGTTTATGAGCTTTCCATACATATAAAACTTTCCCCCCAGAATTACATATTTTTTTTATTCAGCAGCCATTTCAAAAGTGTATAGTTTTTTTTGGGACGCACTGTATAGTACATTTCCAAACATTCAGCATAATTTCTTGACAGTTGCTTTCATAATGGCCAATCCTCAACATGTCTAACATACACATGTAGCAGGTGTAAAATGTTAGTCAAGGAAGAGGCAGATGTAAAAAAAAATCAGTCCTTTTTATTTCAATAAATTGTAAAACCTACATGCACTACCAGTATTTACCTTCTAAATAACCCATGTAATATGAGTCAACTTCTAGAGAATGTGGTCTCTCCAAACCATCTTGCCCCACTGCATACACTGAAAAGTCAGTGGTAAAAAGACCTTCTCGCTTGGTTAGCTCCATGTTGAATTGTCTGTTTGATTGTCGTCGAAGAAGGAAGAGATTGGGGCAAAAAGGAAAAACAGAGTTAACTCAATAGTTATAATGATACTGTATTGGGCATTCCCATAATTAGTTACATTACATTTTTAAGAGATAGGATCAACATAACACTGGTTTATGAATTAGGGTTAAAAAAGTGCATAGAGAATGATATGAATCATATCTGCTCTAGCTATAGGCACTTTCCATACGTAATCTAACTGTGAAAGATGCATTTACACTGCAAGCAAAATATTGTTGATTTTTCTCAAGTTCAGGTGTTTCGTCGGAAGTTGCATAGCAACTACCAGCAAAACACGACGAAAATTTGGTATGATTCCACTTTTTTGTCACATGACTCTCCTCGCTTCAGTGCAATTGCATGCATGCAGAGAAACCAAAAGTCATGCATGTGCACTACTCACCAAAAAATCGCAATGAGCAAAAACCAACATTTTTTAAACGGGTTTTTCCAGTAGTCCGAGTAGTGTAAATGGCAGTAAATAAAAATGGATGATTTTTTCAAAATGGTGTTTGGGCTGTGTAAATGGGCCCTGTACTACATCCTGTATGAAGCTCCATACATGTAGCAATTGACTACTGAGTGTGTAACATAATCTAGCATGAAGCTAATCCTAATAACAAATCTCACACTTGTCATGAAATCAGGTCACAATGTCAACTCACTCAGCAAATTCAGCATGTAAATGAAAATATGAACGATCAGTTTGAATATGATGTTTCATGCAACAAAAATGAAGATTGAGCTCTGATAAGATTGTCCCCCGGGCAAACATGTATTAGCACTCTATAGGTTAAATGCATTTAGGTTTATGAACATTTCTGCAGATATTATCATGAGAAACTGAGAAATTGGTTAAAGATTATTTTTAATCCGTTTCAATGTACTACAATACTACATGTTATTACAGACCATTGTAAAAATCGTACACTTCTTGAACACTGAAAACAATTTCAATGCAAAGAGACATCATCATCCTTCCATACAGTCATGTACACTGTATGTCTTACTTGATACCCAACAATGTTGTGCATTTGTTGTTGTTATTGCTGTTGGATTGTGGCCTAGCTGCTTCTTTAATGAGATTTTAATATCATTACTATTAAAATAACAAATTAAAAATGACACAAAGTACTCATAATATAGCATTTGATTAGTTATTGGTACAATTGTACTGAAAAATCTGTCACTTTCTATAAATAGTAGGCCTACAAAATGTACATGTACCCTGAATGCAGGTCTCCTGTATTTGAGCACACTGTTTCCTCATCAGGAAGCAATCTCAAGACATTACACATCCAAAGTTCTCTATCAAAACTCCATAGGCTAATGACATCATAGGACTAAGCCAGCAGGATGCCCCTAAATTTGCCAATTTTCCCTCTGCTGTCCCCATCACCTACTAGTCTAACATTACAGACCTTATAATGACTTTCTTTTTCTAGTACACTGAACAGCTTTTATTACAGTCCAGTGAGTCCACACTTGCGTTTAATTGAACTTAACAATAAATACTCTAAATTCTGACACAAGTCAATATGAAATTTGGTTTAAATACCGGTACACTACATATATACATGTATGTACTGTACATACATGAAGATTTGCACAAGTAGATAGACATTTAAATATACAGTATACTTGTATGCTGGATAATTTTGAAAGACTCACTCAGAGGTCTGACATATAAGACTATTTCCATCCAAATACATTTTTTGGTGAGGTTCAGGAGTAGTTGCATTAGGATAACAAATACTGGTAACCTTTTCGCACACAAGAGAGGGAAAAAAATACGGCGTACTGTACTTGACCATGTACTTGTACTTCATGTAAATAAAAGTCATCTTATACCAGGGAAGTTGGCCTGGTTGTTTACCAAATTTTGATATGAAACAATGCCAACACCTCCATTTTGTTCTACACACACTGTATTTTCCCAATACAAAATAACACAAGTCTTAAGACAAGATACATGTACATTTTTAAATTTTGTACAGCTCTAGAGTTCAAGAAATATTGAATAGCTTTCCACTTCTGAATGAAGAGGGAGGGGGAGGGGGAGGGGGAGGGGGAGGGGGAAGGGCAAGCCCACTATTTCCATATTTTATTAAATTTCAAATTGGTCTTCAAGTCAAGATTCCAGACAAGCATTTTAATTAGACATCACATTTTTAGGAGGAAATCTTGTGAGCCTGGAAGACAGGCTAATGGTGTACGAGTCTCATCCTGACAAGTGATGTGAATGAGTCATGTAGGATCCGCAACTAATCTACACTACGAGCTACGTACAACAAACAACTGCAAAAAATTTGTTGATGTTGATAATATGTTCAAGTTCCATTCAGTTTAATACATTACTAGCTAGCTACAATAGGCAGCATTAAATTGTAACCATATACCGTATATGATTTTGAATTTGAGATCAGGAAAGCGGGGGATGCATTTATGTCAAACAACAGTGTTCGTACATAAACCATTAAGAGAAACGATACTTATTAAATGGTAGCTTTTTTTTTTCTCCATTAAAGTGGGGCTTTTAAAACTGTTCATGGATATTGCCCACAGCTTTTTCTTTTACGCTTTATGAGTTAAATTGTTAAAAGACCTGACTTTGTTTACTTGTAATATACTGATACACTTGTACCATGGAAGCATGTACACACAATTTTCTAAATTATATTTGTGTTATAATTATCTGTAGGTGATGTCAAGGCAGGGCTCAAATTAATTTTTTGTCCACGGGGGCTCTTCCCCCCCCCCAAAAAAAAAGAGCCCCCGTGAGCCTTCTCACGGGGGCTCTTTTAGTACTGACGGGGGCTCTTTTTTATACAAATATCCATTGAAGTGGTACCTATGATACTCCTCAATTATTTGCTATTTCATCATTATCATTCCAATCAGCATTTTCCCTCTTACAAATTTACAAGCTACATAGCTGTTACTGGCCTGTGTATATAATATATACGCATACAACACTGATCTTTATGATGTCTTTAACGTGACATATCTTCTTCTCCCCTTGCAAACGAGAAAGAAAACAAGGTCATTAACTCTTAAGCTGCCCCTATGCAATTCACCCAGTGCCACAGTGCTAATCCCTATTGTGCCCGCTACTAATCTCCTGTCTGCTAAGTTAATTTCGGGTTGGTTCAAGTGCGTGTAGTTTAAATTGTTACTATGTTTGATCCACTATAACATCTCATCTGTATATTGTATAAAAAAGAATTGTACGTTAAAGTTGTAGGAAATTTAACCCTCTTTCTGTTGATACCAATATCATTTCATGAATCTGTAATTTTGGTACAGTAAATAAGCACTATCAGTCAGTTGTCAAACCAATCCGTTGTCTCATTTCCCGCACACAATCTGAGGGGCCATGATCAAAACTGACAAATTTGATGATAACATATCGCAATTTTCTCAGGAAAATCCAATGTAACGGTATACGTGAAGCACGCAAAATCAAAACAACAATAAACCCCCTCCACAAATACAGTAAGCATTCATGCGTGCACGCAATGCGCATCGCACAATAGGCATAAACAATTAGCTTGTGTACTTATGCACGAAAATGTGTCCGTGGCACGCGAGCGGATGAGAGTTTATGTGTCCATGGCAAGTCAACAGAAACCCAATTATGTGTGCGTGGCACGCCAGCGCATGCACAGAACAGTGTTCTTGGCACGATAAGAGTTAAAAGGGATTAAGCGACAAATAATGATTGTGATTCAAATTGATGCGAATATTTGTTTGAATAAGCACTGCTATTCACCCGAATCTTCTTTGTAAAAACAACTTTTACAAATCTCAGTCATGCTTACTGAGTTGAGACGTTCCATTCAATGTAAAATACTCATTAAAGAATACACTTCTCCTAATCTGAAAGTGATCTTACAACACAGTGGCAGATTTGCATGGCTGAGATTTGTAAAAGTCGTTTTTACAAAGAAGATTCTGGTGAAAAGCATTGCTTATTCAAAAAAAATCCTTGCATCAATTTGAATCACAATGATTATTTGTCGCATGATCCTTTTATTAAATAACCTTGTTTTCTTTTTTGTTTGCAGGGGGAAAAGAAGCTATGTCACGTTAAGAAATCATAAAGATCAGTTGTATTATGCGTATATACATTATGATACCAGAACAAATGTTGATTATCAGAATGTCATTTTGGAATACCTCTAAACAAATACCACATTGTCTTTAGCCCGTATCAGTATTAGTATCATGCAATATAAAGCTATTATTCTTTATTTAATTCAGTATAATGCTTTTCCTCAAAAATAGTTTTGCCATTTTGTTAGGGTTGAGACGCTAGGAAATGGTTTCAAATGTACATTACACGAACCCTGAACCATTGCAAAATGATGGTGGTTCTCTCTCTCTCTCTTTACTTTAATCATGCATTATCAACTACATATAAAGCAGCAACCAAAAACTTAGGGTTATCTGAGATAGGTGAAAGTAAGAGTTAAAAAGAAAGTCATGCTAAAACGGCGCTTCACTCCCCCCCCCCCCATGAAAAAAATAAAATAGATTAGTAGTCCTCCTCTCCAGCACCCCCCCCCCCCCCCCCCCGCTTTAATATCACATTTTCACTTGGCAGCCCAAGGGGGCCGGGGTGGGAGGAGGGGGGTTAAACCCCTAACCCCCCCCCCCCCCCCCCCCCCGTAGATCTGCCCATGTTACCATATCATTCCACGACATCTTGGTCTTCCTCTTCTTCTCAATAGGGACTTTTAGATTTGCGTGGACGTGGACGTGTTACGTCCTTTTAAGGCACTGGCAGTCACATGTCACGTCCTTTTAAGCACTGGCACTGCCTTAAAAGGAGGTCACACGTTTCAGTCCACGTTCCCATCGTGCAAATCTAAAGGTCCCTAATATTGATTTACTGGTCGAGGTTCATTATTTGCTATTCATTTGAAATCACCAGATTTCAGCGGGTTAACGCTTTCACAACGAAAAACTTCTCCATGACCATGTTTCTGCCCTTGCGCGATCGCCTCCAGCTCCAGCAGACATAGCGCGGCAGCGTGCACACGTACCGCTACTAAGGGCGCAGTAGGCCTATAACCACTGCTGACGGCGGCACTGCACTGTGAGCTGAATCGGTAATAATAGGCCTACTCATAGAACGAGAAATCTTGCACGCTAATCTAAATTCCATTTCATTTGAAAATTGAAACTCAATATCGTGTTAAAGTTATACCAGAAAAGAAAATCTTTATATTATAATTCCACGGGGGCGATTTTTTATTTTGCAATCGCCCCCGTGAGCAACCTGACGGGGGCGATTATGTAGCTCACGGGGGCGAATCGCCCACCGCCCCCGTGTATTTTGAGCGCTGTGTCAAGGGGAGAAAAGCTGTTGGGTTGCAAAATGCAAACATTTGAAGTAAAATGTGATTAGTGCCATTTTAGTGCTATGGGATCCTGTGTGTCAGACACACACAAAACAAACAAAAACACAGGTGTCTCCATTCTTGACAGAATAGCGCACTAATAATCCTAGGTACAGTACAGGTATTGTCTTTGATAAGTAAACTTTGAAAAGCAGTATTTCTTTAGAAGTTGTAAGTAGTTATTAAGAACTTACTTTTTGGGCTGTTTATATTTTTAACAAAAAAAAGTTTCAATGGGAAATGAGAGCCGGTCTAGCGGTAATTAGGTAATGTTGATGGTAGTACGGTCAGCTCTGTCTGCCTACAAACTGACACACACACAATGGCATGCTATTGGCAACTGGGTCCAAGGATATGTTCCCAGGCAGAAGCAGATTGTGTTTGGGTGCCCTACATGTATCTTCATGCATATTACATTTTAGCTAGTAAAAAATAGTCATTCAGCATGTTTCCACAGAAAAAAGTTACATGGTATTACCCGTGTAATACCGTGTAAGTTTCCTGTGGAAACACAAGCAACATGGTTTATTGGCAACCTGTGTCCACCGAGATACGGATTATCATAACCACCTCTGGGAGGTTGGTTTTTGGCCGTGTCGATTAGTGTGAAATCGCTGTGGAAACACACTGTGACAAACCGTGTCTAGCGGATCATTATAGCGCGCGAAGCCCCAATCACCACTGCAGCATGATTGGTTGAAAAATACTTTGAAATACGCTTATACAATAATATGTTTATATACGCGCTGTACGTAACAATGAAAAATGTACGTCACAATAGAATAGCTGTGATGTGAGCTTACGTACGTACATCGGTCGAAGCGCGCGCGGATATTTGAATGGAGCTAGCATACGTACGTGCGGGAGGGAGAACAACTCGTTCAAACCACATATGATCGCGTGGAATCCTGTGTAGATCTGGATCCACGATCGAGGTCAAAGGTTGATTCTTGACTTCTGATTGACACAGTATTTGCCTGACTTGGAACATGGAATCGGGGCTAATCGGAATGCTGCGCTCTGTAGAAACAAATTGGTTTATTACCGTGTCACCGCGACACGGTATTTCAATTCTGGAAAAGATAATCTGTGTTCCACTTTTTTTCTGTGGAAACACGCTGATTGTCAGGGTATTAAATGGTTCCCATTAGTTTCTGACAACAAGTATCCAATAATCAAGCTTTTTCTTTATTGGTTACTCAAAAACGTATTCACAATGGTTGTCTTATTGATATGCAATTATGTATACCGTAATTAACGGTGTATTAACTGCACCTTTTTGCCGCTGAAAAAAATTCAAAGTCGGGGGTGCGGTTTATACACGGTACACCAATTTTTTTTTTTTTTTTTTTTTTTTTTTTTTAAGTAAGTTTCGATTTATGCCCCTACACCTGGCGCAATGCCTGGCAATGTCTCCCAGCTCAGTAATCGGTGTGTTGACTCACCACTCGGAAACTAGAACAACACTCAAATTTGTCTGTCATCTTGGTTTGAAAGTAATCTTTCTGATAGATTTCAATATGTAGTTGATAATAATAATTCCTCCAATTTTTCTTCTATTACACGGCGTACCACAAGGTTCCATCCTAGGTCCTCTACTGTTTTTTAAGTTGGCAAAAAAAAATCGACAAAAAAAAAAAGTTGGCAAAACAAAAAAACACTTTCTTTTTTTTCTTTTTTTAGGACGAAAAAGAGGGGTGCAGTTAATACACGAGGGCGGTTTATAAAACGTTAATTACGGTAAAAAGTTTATGAAAAAAATGCAAATACAAAATTTCACAAATGTTGCCATGTTTGACCTTGTTCAGTAACAATAACATACTCTGATTAATATTTAAGTTTGATAAAAAGAGAGAAGAGATTGAAACTTAGGTTCATCTACATGTATATCAAATTTACACTGTTACATCAAATCAATACAAATAATCAGGCTGTTTTGGAGGGTTGGGTAGAAAGTTACCAAGTGCCTAGAATTACCTGCCAAGCATTTGTAATGACATCCTCCTGACTCCCATCTCCATCTCGTCTGCACTCCTCTTGGCATAGTGATGTCTAACGCTGGAGCTATGGATGCCTTCATAGTGGTGTAACACATGGTGTAAGCTACCTGTTTGAAAGATTTATAAGTAAATAAGAGTTCAATTAGTCATTTGCAAACCACATTACAAGCATTTATCCTTTCTTAGCAGTCAGGTAAAATAACCACCATCACCATCTATAGTAACCCTGTAAGTTGGGGCTCTGATAGGATCGGAAGATCAGAGCGACATCCTCGCACCTTTGATCGGTATCGGATCGGAAGATCAACGTTTTTTGTTTTTTTTTATGACAAAAAATTTCAAGTTTGGATTTCAAGTTGGATTATAATGTAGGTATGCATTATAATCCAAGATGGCGGCCTACATGTTTTGCCTCTTCTCTTAGACCAATATAATTAATTTCAAAGTCATGAAAAGGCACTAAATATCAACAAACATGGTCTACAACAACTCCACATGACAAAATAATCCCAGCTATGATTTTTTTTTTAAAGCATTTGATAGCCAAAAACTTGAAAATTTTTGGCATTAAAAAAAACAACAAAAAAAAACAATTCTGATGATTTTTTTTTTCTGATCATTTTAATTGATCGGCGATCGGAAATTATTATCCGATCACCCCTGATCGGTTCTGTATTGGCGTCCGATCCGATGATCATTTACAGGGTTAATCTATAGTAGCGTGTCTGATCGTGCACCAGATGTTGTGTGCTAAAACCCTTCCCATAGAGATTGCACGCATACCTATGTGGTCTACAGGCATTGCGCTACCATGCAAAATTGGTCAATGATTTTATGAAGAAATTGAAATTCAAACCTTAATTTCTCGTGATCCTGGAGACGAAACTCAATAAATGTGGTGTCATATGAAAGGGCAGGTTTTTCTCCATATTCCCCATAGGGGGCCACCCCTGGAATTCTAAAAATATCTTGGTCAAAACAGCGATTGAAATGTTGTTTGCATCCTAGCTCCAAAATTTGCCACTTTCCTGAGACGCGCCCCCGCGGCTTAAGTTGGGCTAGACGTAAGGAACTAAGGATAATATCCAGGTGCTTTTTTTTTCGCTAGCCCCAAGGGATCATTCTCCGCAACAGTTGAAAATACCCTTCCCACATTTTTTGAATCAGCTAATAAGGGAGGCGTGAGCGGAGCTCAGTCCAAACCATGGTTGTCCGCATAACTCTGCGTGTACGTCTTTTTCATGGATTCTGACCAAAATGCTATGAATATTGCAAGTTTCGGAGGGGCTGTATCTTTTGATAAGATAGAAACATCGGTGAGACTTGAAATTTGAAATGTATTATTCTGATTACATTTTTAATTCAAATACCGTATTTGCCGGCGATAAGGCCGCACCGCCGCATAAGCCGCAAGAATATAAAATACAAGAAATGGAATTTTCCTGCAGAATCTCGAGCCCTAAAGTCTGAAAGTCAAAACAAGTGACCGGTTTGTTTACAGATCAGCAGAATTAGATTTCACACATTGAAGCTATGAGTATAGACCGCCGCACAGAAGTCTTTATCAACGCAGTGATTTACCGTGATTTCCAATACAGATATGTTGAAAATACTTACATGATTTTTAAATGAAGGATACAATTAATTCATAAAAAAATATGAATAAGAAATAAATTAAAGTACGAGAATAAAAACAGAACTAGTATGAAGACTGCACTGTACTGATCTTCGCAGCGGCAGATAGCCTTGCGGTGCCCCCTTTGCTGGCCGGTCTCATCGCGTCAGCTACTAGGCCTAGCCGGTCGGCATTATTATAAAGCTAAGCTAAGTCGTCAAGTGAATAACAAGCGTCAGCGCAGCTGAGCAGTATGTGAGGCTGAGCTGGCTGACGGTGGTATGCTCTGGTATGCTCTGGCAACAACCAGGCAATTATTCATATAGGCCTACCGATATATTATTATTGGTCATTCTTTTTTCATTGTGAGAGTGCTATTTGTGACTGTGTCTGTGACGTGTAGGTGTGCTTGAGCTCCGGCTCTAGCATGGCCGCGGCGGCATCACCAGCAGTAGCATCTGCACCTGCAGCTTGACGAGCAGCCTCATTTAAATCGTCATCTATTTCACCTATTTTGCCCTGTCTATCGTCACTACTCATACAACTATGAGCTCATACTGTCCTCATCATCCTCCTCCTGAACACTGTCAACTTCAAAATCTAATTCTAAATCAAGATCGGCCATAATCGTAATATTGAGAGTACATTCGTAGAGACAGCAAAGTGAATTGGAGTAGCACAGCGAAGTGTTTTGCACGCAAGCGATCAATAGTCTTTTGCGCTCGTTATCAATAGTGGTCCATATAGTGACGTAACTCGATAACGTGACTCCGGGACCCCAATCAGGGGCGTTTACCGGGGTGGATGTTTATCATCATTGGATTTGCGATTTCTGCGTTCTGTTTGCCTCTTGGACGCTGGAATTAGTCTAATATTGATGTAGACATATAACCTTTGCATTGATATGAGATTTAACCACATTGAAAAGCAATGAGTATCAACTTTAAACAAAAAAAGAATCCCAGAAAAAAATCACGAATTGCCATGACAATATTCATTTCAATTTTCCCAGTTATAGGCATTGCGAACCAGTTTTCAGCCGCATGTACAAAGTCAATAGGAATCCCGCACGCGCGCCGTGCATTTCTGCGCTGATCTATAAGCACTAGCGGGCGGAGCAGGTATCCCACGCCGGAGCTCCCCGGAGCTCGCCAGGCCAAAAACTAGTAACGCGTCGATCGGAAATTGGAATCTGAATTAGACAGAGGTATCGTGTGTGCGTTACGGTGTCCGGCTGCATTGATTTGATACATGCGGTGAGATACTTTCGAGCTTGCGACTAACACAAAATCAGGCTCTAAATCTGAAAAATAATTGAAATAAAGCTCATATTATGGTACCCATATTTCTTACAGATACGCGTAAGATACTCAATTTTTCAGATTCGGGTAGCAGGACCGCCGATTACATCGCTAAAATGTGATATTTTAGGATATATTTTCCATTGCAAATGTGGTTCTTCAGTGACTCTGGCATGGTATGGTATGTGTGGGATATGTGATATGCTGTTATGCGATGCATTTTAAAGGGATTTTACCATGCATCCAACGGATCGGCTGATGGTCGATTACCCCCTCCTTTACTCTATAGGCAGTATGGGCGCTGGTCCGAGAATAAAGATCGTCCGCATAAACGAGGGTCGTCTTCATAAACGCGACCAGACCGTCCTAAAAAAATAAGGATCGTCCGCATTTTCGCGGAAGATTCTCATTTCCGATCCGCGCATTGGCGATTCGATAACAGGATTTCTGATGATTTTCTTGATTCATTTCACATTAACTTTGTACAGAGACTTTCGCTTTATGAGCGATAGATCCTCGGGAAGACTGAAAACCCATAAAAGTAGACGGAGTACTGGGGATATTTTGTTTAATACATGGAATCCGTTTTTTTCATTGCCAGCGCAAGGATCGGGAACCCTATACACGCAGAGCGCCGAAGAAAAAGAACATCCTACGATCCTCATTCTCAAATCATCCCCCAGCAGTGGACCAGCAAAGCACAGGCGCACACGCAGTTTCCAAGCTAGGATCCGGGCTAACTCGGACCAGGGGACAACTCGGCCCAGCTGCAAAAACTGTCATTTTTTGTCATTTTACCCTAACTCTAACCCTAAATCTAACCCTAAACCTAAACATGCAAAAAATGACCGTTTTTGCAGCTGGGGCTGGGCCGAGTTGTCCCCTGGTCCGAGTTAGCCCGACTCCGAAATATATTACTAACTGATTACCTCGACACGACCTAAAGAACAAGACTAGACTAGGCGTAAATAGTCAACTTTGATTGAACGCCCCAAATACAACCAACAACAACATTAATTAGGTCTTTGTACGGCACACAAATGCACAGGCCAGTGAGGGGGTCCAGACAACTCGCCACAAAGACAACCCGCCCCAAGACAACCCGCCACAATACCCTGGACAACTCGCCACAGGCGAGTTGTCCAGGGTGGGGTGCCTTTTCGGACAACTCGCCACACTTTTTTCCCCTCATGATTTCTAGATCTAAAATCCCTCATCTTAGATGAAATTGTCATTTTATGTATTCATTATTCTTTTATAAACACAGTCATGACAGGAAACATGAGAATAACAACAAATAATAACATAACATAATATTGAGCAAGAAATGCATACGTAATCATATTTAATGATAAAGCATACACTCTTTTCCTGCAAGATCGATGAAAATTTCAAAAGGAAACCAACATTGTTTTATTATTATTATTATAACTTATTATTATTAACATTAACAGGGTTAAGTCCGTATATTTTTCTTTGCTTTAACAAAGAGCATGAAGTGTTTTCAGGTGCAACTTCATACTGCAGATGTCTGAGTCTTTAATATCACTATCAGTCTCACTGTATACCCCCCCCCCCCAGGGAGGGGTACTCACATAGAAATAAACCACATTTCAATTTTATTTCGCGGGTCAAATAACCACCCCTGCCCCCCCCCCCCCCATCAGTACACCAGTGCTTCCAGTATCATACCATTAAACAATTTCTGAGACAGAAAAATGCAGCTGATTACAGACCTCTAGATCTAAATACCGAGTTATCCCAATGATCTGGCGATCGTATATGCCTTCGGTTTGTCAAATATATTGTTGCAAGGGAAATCAGCTTTATTGTTTATTCTTTGTAGACTCTAATGACTGTTTTTATAAAAGCAAGAAAATCATGAAAAATTACAATTTCATCTCAGATGAGGGATTTTAGATCTAGAGTAGAGTCTCCGGTTTGCGGCATCGCCCGGTTTGCGGCCAGGGGTATTTGTTTTAAAAATAAAATGAATATGACTCGATAATAATCATTGAAACCTACTGTGGATTCCACGGTAAGTTCTGCTTTGCCGAAAACGTCCGTAGCAGGTGCTCCTGTCAGTACGGAGTATCCGTCAGCGATGTCGGAAATCTACGGCACAAGTCGCCAATGAAAATTCCAGCAGGTGCTAACTTTTAAGTTAAGAGATCGAGGCATGACTAGATCAATATTGTAGCTCTATTTGTCCAATATTTGTCCGATTGGAGGTGAAATTTGATGTTTTTGTGGAAGTATGATGGCTGTGGTCTGTCTCCTATCGCAGATATTTTGATTGTGCCACCGCATGGCCAGTTGCATTGGGTGGCCGCAAACCGGCACGTAATTACGTGTTTTTCTGGTTTGCGGCGGAGGGTGTTAATACACACATAACATGCGGGATCGTGTATGATGGTATGTGTGCTGATGTGTGTACCCGCTATGACCCAATAGTTTCTAGTAGTACGTACCCCCGTATGGGATGATCCATTCGAGGAAAAGGTGAAATTGTTTGAAACTTGACAAATTTACCGTAGCAACAGATAAACATGAGAATTTGGGTTACCCGTAGTAATTTGGTACATGCTTTCATCGTGACGTAGCGCATAAAGCTTTGTGACGTACGCGTACCGCAAACCGGTAATGCGTGCCCGCAAACCGGGGAACTCGAAGCATTTCAAAACGTGGTCAATGCTGACCACGCTGTGGGTCAGTTAGGTTATTTGTGACTTCTATTTAATAAGTAAGTATATGGACTCTTTATTGAGGGTATTGAAGTATTCTGTGAGTAGATCTAGTCCAATAAAAATAGAATCGGCAGTTCCCGCCGATCGGCCGCAGACCGGAGCCACTACTCTAGAAATCATGAGGGGGAAAAAGTGTGGCGAGTTGTCCGAAAAGGCACCCCCACCCTGGACAACTCGCCTGTGGCGAGTTGTCCAGGGTATTGCGGCGAGATGTCCAGGGTATTGTGGCGGGTTGTCTTGGGGCGGGTTGTCTTTGTGGCGAGTTGTCTGGAATTCCCAGTGAGCAGGTGAGGCCACACTCAGTCACACACATTATCGGCACAAGACAGCAGTCACTCAGACTCAGAGTCAGAGACACCGAGGCAGACAGAGACTAGGCTAGAGAGATGTAAATTCTCTTTAATTAACTTACCTAAGCAAGGCCAGGTTATGGATGATAAAATCATGAATATGTTGAGCAACATTTTCAGTTCAGCTTCCTCTGACCGCAGCTAGCTCGCAGAAGATCAAAGAACGTTGGCCTCCGCTTCAACCCTAATTCTTCATTGGCAATAAGTGAAGCTAGCACCATATTATTATGGGGGAATTGCTGGAACTGGATCGAGGAGCTAGCTAAGAGCGCTACTTTTAATGGCCAATTTGACAATGGATGCGTAATATAGAAACTTGATAACCAAATTGGCAATTTGTGTAATGATTTCCATTGTTCTATAGTTTTACATACATTTTCAAAAATTCATAACTTTCTTATTAGTTGATAATTCGTTTCGTTGGGGGGGGGGGGGGGGGGGGTAAGGTCAGCTTTTTGGGTCACCCATTAGGCCCTTATAACTCAATGTTGAGTTTCCCGTCGCCCGCCCGCCCGCACTGTGATTTATTGGCCGCGTTGGCGATCGAAAATCTGAAAATAAACTTTTTCTGTTTAAAGGTAATACAAAGTTTTGGGAAATTTTGAAAATTGGGTGGGTAGTGAATCTTTACAATTTTGATATATTTGGATGCCCCTGTGGATGTATTATAAGCCCTCAAAAAAATTAGCCCCTAAAACACTTCTGTTTTCGAGAAACTGAATTGAATATAAAAATTTACCGGTGCTCCCGGTGAATTTTGATAAATTTCCAATAGCGCCTATAGCCGTATAGTTGGGATACATAATTTCCAAACGGGAATAGCTAATCGGTCGATTTTAGTAAAGAAACATTGTTTTATAGCTTAATTAATATCTTGACCTTGAGAGGGAGCTAAACAACATAAAGAGTTTAATTTCATAACTTTAGACTCGATTTCAACCGCGACAACGATCAATTTATATTGTAGGAACGCATATGCTTCCAATATGTTAATTTGAACCAAATTCATGACCCCATACCAAAACTTTGTAATACCTTTAACTTTTTTTTTTAAACTTTTTTTTTGGTAATATTTTTTTCTTTCCAGTTCGACTTCTGAATTACCGTTGTGAATTGCAAACTTTTATTGTTTTATATGGACTCGTTTTTTGTTTTTTGTCTTAAAATTTATATATTTTTTTAAATACCAGCTTCCACTGTATCATAATTCTTTAACAAATCTATCCAATTGAATTCAGCATAATAATAGTTACTGTTCATCCTTTTTAATGCGTGAAGGAACATTCCCTGAAATAACAAAATTTGAGGTCAGGAAAGAATAAAGACATTTGAAAAATGAAAACAAGCATTTAATACAGAATAAGATACTTTAGGTAATTCATGTGTAAATGTATGCTGTGTATCATATATATATCTTGGAAGTAATAGTACATATACTTAAATATATTGTGAATTATGGTAGAAAGGTTTGTCACACTTATTACTATCAAAGTATTCCTCTATTTGGATTAATAGCATATGTGTGTGTGTGTGGGTTTTAAAAAAAAACAATATTTGATGTTTGTATTCAACTTGCAAAGTACCTAGGTCATTATTTACTGAGGAAATGCATGTGTGATGATAGAGATATACAGTGTCGTAAACTTTATGCACAGGGGGGATTCGAAAATTTACGAATCACGCCGAAAATTTCGCAACGACTCAACAAGCTGCTGAATAAGCGGGTGGGGTGGGGGGGGGGTATAATAAGAGCACATTTAACAAATAAAAAGAATTGGTCCAGCTGGTGAATTATCAGGGGCAAGGGTGGGGGTGGGGGGGGGGGGGGGTAAGAGCACTTTTTTTCCTGTTTTTTTTTTTTTTAATATTTATTTTTTATTACCCCAAAAATTGAGGGGGGGGTTCCTCCAAAACACACACATAAACTAAAATTGAGGGGGGTTCGACCCCCCCCCCCCCCCTTACGAACGTGCCTGCCCAGAGTAATATCTCTTTGGTAATACATTGTGCAGAAAGTTTCATATGTGCTTTAGGGATTTTCAGGGGTGGGGGCCCAATTTTTGTTCTGTTTGCTCCTGAAAATTTGAAAATCACGCCGGCCGAAAATTCGCTCAGTGGGGGGGGGGGAATTTGCATTCCCCCCCCCCCCCACCTTGAGCGCCCATCTCCCAAAAAAGGTAAAATTTACGTGTTTTTATATGTTGTTTTTTCAGGGGGGCCCTGGACTCCACCCCCCCCCCCTGGATCCGCCACTGTCTGTACTAGCTTGTTGTCACAGTCGACAGGGGTTGGTTAAAGTAGTTTAGTTTTTATTTCTCGTATATGGATTGTGTGCCCCTCTTAGTTTTGTTCATTGTTTCTACATGTAAATATATCAGATTTAAGTAACATGTTCCTCTCTTATTCTTGTTCGTTGTTTATATCTACATGTTGGGGCCTATGTTATATGGACCCAGGCGCGTACGCAGGGGGGGGGGGTTGGGGTTGAATCCCCCCCTTTGGTAGTTTTTATGTGTGTATTTTGGAGGAAACCCCCCCCCTTTGGTAATTTTTTTTTTTTTTTTTTTTTTTTTTTTTTTTTAATAAAAAAAATATTATACCAATGGCTAACCTAAAAAGGTTGACCTTCTTCCCCCCTCAACGGAGCAAAATGTCAAATTTTCAAATTTCAAGACCAAAAAATGAAAAAAAGTCCTCTTTGTCAATTCAGCAACATTTGTTAATCATAGGTATCGAATTAGAAAGGAAAAATACACATTTAGATTTTATTTGGGGGGCAAAATTTTTCGGGCATTGATTTATACCTATCCCAACATTATAGTACGTATATTTGTACCATCCAAAAAAATTCCTGCATGCTTGCTTGAATCTTTGGAGATGTGAGACGGTCATCTTCTCCTTGGCCTTTTTGTTACCTCACTACGAGACCCCCCCCCCCCCCCCACTCCGTGAACGTAGGGATACCATGTGTGTTCCAAAACTCTCCGGCTCGTAACAAAAGTAAAAGGTCTGTACCCGTATTGACACAGGGGCGGATCTAGGGGGGCACAGGGGGCACTTCCATCCGCCCCCCCCCCCCCCGAAAAAATGATTGTGCTCACTATTTTTAAGATTTCACCCTATGCTATTTTGTGCCCCCCCCCCCCCCCCCCCGGTAAGAAATTCCTGGATCCGCCACTGTGACTTTACACATGCACCGGACTTTTGCTGAAAGGGGGGGGGTCGCTGAGAACACGCATATGCGTACCCTAAGTGGGGGGATACGAGGCCTGCTATAGCTACACAGCAAACAAAAATTAAATGGATTAATTATTATACACAAATCGCAGCCCTGTCATTACCATTGGCTCTTTCACAACTCAACTCTGCTAGCTAGCTGGATCCGACTCTAACACGAACATCCGCGCACGCACGCTCGCGCTCGCACGTGTATTTTGCGATTAGTCATCTACTTGCACTGCATGATGAAGGGCAAGGCTGAACGAAATTTGTAAACATTCACGCTCGCGCCTAGCTAGCTTAGCCTAGTGTAGTAGTACCGTACAGCGCCTGGCCTTTACTTATTATCAGACATCAGACAGAATTGCCAGTTATCGTCAAAGAGCCGGGGTGAGTTAAGTCACTATCGTACTCTGTAAGCATTTACCGTAGTCCTAAGATTCATATTGTAGATCTAGTTGGCATGGTTGTAACGATATCTATAATCTAGTGACGTGACTGAGAGTCCCTTCTCTAACTTAGGCTAGCTCAAGTCAAGCTCCCTGGAGTTTAAGTTACTTAAATTGCATGCAGCATGCAGTCTGCTCTTAGTCTTAGTCTTACTTAGTTCTTCTTGGTCTTGGACATCCCATTGAAACGTGTGTTATAGAATTAACACGCGTTTTCTGTGGGATATCAACTTAGACTTACAAATTATGAAGGTTTCGAAAAACTGGCCCCTGCACACATCATTACTTAGGTCTAGTGATCATTGAAATTTATTTTTACACCCAAGAAGCAGTCCTTCAGCAGAAGCAACACAAATTTTGAATGTTTTAAACTGGTTCAGGATCAGGCAAATCCGAGTTATCCTGTGCAGCTCATACTAGTACTCGGGTACGTACGCAATGAGATTGTATTTTACTGCTATTTAGGTGTCATCAATTCAATTGTCATTAAACTTAAAGTACCGATTTTTAGTGAAATCAGTTTAGTTTTGTACAGTGGTGTTTGAAATGTTGAGAATCGAAAGCACAGCTTTTCACAGCCAGGATAGTGATGCTCCTGTGTGTGGGTCTACTATGTGTGTGTACTACCATGCATGGACCCTACTACAAATGGACTTTCGACGAAGCAGTCCCTTTGATCCTATGAGTTCCACCGCTAGGTTTGAATTTCGTGCCGATGCAAAAACCCAGCGTGTGGTCCCACCACAATCTGACAGCTGGATGCGATCACTTGCGCAATCTTGCATAATCGCAACAGCATGCTTGCGATTTGGGGTTGTCTACGTCTACATCTATGCTGGTACTCGTCAAAAGCCTTTTCAGCAACTAAACGAGGATATTGTGGTGTGTTGTCTCTCATAGTGGTCATGATTGATTAGTGCATAGTGCGTATATACAAGTTGTGCGAGTAAAAACAGTTCCTCCTATGATTTAGGCACTGATGGCTCCCTTGAACTTCTCCACAGAGGGCAGTTCAATGAAGTTGGTAGGGAGCTCATCCCAGTCCCGGAGTGTTCTTGGGAAGAAACTTTGCCTGTAGCTGTCAGAGTTGGAGCTGGGTCTCATGAATCTGTGTCGGTGTTGCTGACGTGTTGAACGGAGTCTTGGTTGGATGTAGTCTGGAATTGGTACTGCGACTAGGTGGTTGATGGCTTTGTAAAGCATGGTTAATCGGGCTTGCCTGCGTCTCTCCTCTAAGGGTTGGAGTGCTAGATCTTCTCTCATTTTGGTGACGCTGGCATCTCGTTGGTAGTTTCCGCATATGAAGCGTACTGGCCTTCTTTGGATTTTCTCAAGCTGGTCAATCTGTTCGCTGCTCCTTCAAATCGTTGAGAACCTAGTCTTAAATTGTATGAGCGCTCTCCGCCATGCGGTCATAGCGGACATGTTTTCGTCTTTGTGCCTGATGATATCATGTTATTGTTTTCAGCGTTGTATTTATACTAACAATTATTATTTATTTTGATGTGTGTATTGTTCCATAATACTTATTTTTCGTACTCATGAGTCATGTGTTGTTTATAAAGTAATTATAGGGGCAGGATTATCATTAGATGATATAAATATGGAAGAATTTTATATTATCGACATAGTCTAGACGACGGAAATGTTGAATATTTTGCGATGGTAATGTCAATTCCCAAATTTACGGACACAGATATTTATCCTGATTTCTAGATTCTAAAAAAAAAGTACATATATTAGGGAGGCCAATGCCCGGGCGTAAGGCTTCTACACCTACGATTTGTGCGCTCGTCGCCCACTTAAAAAAATTAGCAAAGGGAAAAAAATGATGTAAAAATAAAAATTGAAGAAAATATGAAAAGAAAATACAATTATACATTTCACAACATACCTATAATCACGGATCTGTAACAGTCTTTCACCATTTGTTGACAATCTTGCAGATTTTGACGTTTTTTAATCCAATAATTGTGGTTGCAGACGACCTTGACGCACTCGCACCACCGACTAAGAAAATCCTAGAGGGCGTAGAGGTTTGCTCACTAAAAACCTTCTCATTGGCAGAAGGTAGACCCTAAAAATATGGGATCCGTTTTGAGTAAAGAACTTTTGATAGAGATCAACATTTCAGATGTTCACAATTGCCACTTCTAACAACTAGAAAATATAAAGAAAAAAGATTATATCTTTTTAAATACAGATTTTTACAAACTGAACATTCGAAAGTAGATAGAGTACGATGTTTCTGTCAATCTTGCGTTGGTTTGAGCCCTATAGCTACATCCATCTCAAAATGAGAAGGAAAACAGTGAACAGTGACGTCATTGTTCGCGCCAAAAATAAAGGGTATTGCGACATAATCTGAGCTCCGGTCAGATCGTGCGCAAAGCGTAGTCTTATTTATAGACCCTAGTACCTTATTCTCACAGCACTAGATACGAGTGTCGTGCAGTAATGTATGAGAAGTGTTAAAAAAGATATTTCAGTAAAAAAAAAAGTCTACGTGAGCAGTCTATACTCCAATTGAGAATTGAAATGAAAGCCATGATTTGAAGGTGTGTGTTGTATGATACATGGTTAGTGAGTGTGTATGTTACGTATAGCGAAAGGGAGAGAGAGAGAGAGAGAGTGAGAGAAATATTAGTACACGTACGTTGCATGCATGGATGTGCGCTATGATTGTGTTCGCTGCAAGATGGATTTTAATTGGACCTCGTAACTTCTCGATCGTTGATAATAAGGAATACTCATGAGGAAATCAAATTATTGGTATACACATCTAAGGTAAATATCAATGAATTATATATATTTCTTTCCTTTTTTGAACCATCGTCTTCGGCTCGTAGTAGTAGAAGATGTAATCGTTCGCACATTGATGGCTGGACTTCAGCCTGCATCGGGGCTTGCCTGTGTCGGTGGAGGGATCAACTAAGAAGAAGAAGGTGTGTACGTGTGCGACCGATTCAAGGCTAGCCGCTGTTGAGTGATTGCACTTTCGCGCGAAGTTTTAAACTTCATCATGAACTTTGTCCCTCGGGCCTGTCTAATTATGAACGTAACTTTGCGACATGAAATATAATTGTTTCAAGGCTCTTACGTACGGAAAGGCGTAGAAGGAAATGGCTACAAACCAGCTGGATATCTCCTATTTGATGGAACCTATGGAGTCGGCAGATGGGTGGATTTTCTTAGTGAAAGTAAATGCTTTCTTTTAATCTTAGTTTTAGTATAAACAAATTAGTAATTAAAAAGTTAGATTTGGGCATTGGCCTCCCTACATATATAGTAGGCCTACATCAAGATAAAATAACACAAAATTGACATAGTATTTAACTGCGCATGGGCAAAAGGCTCTCCTGTCACGATTCATTCATGAAATGAGAAGCGCAAATCATGGGAAGCATTGGTCAGTGCGAAGCGACTTCGCTGATAGAGGGCGGCAAAATCCCGGTGGATCTCATAGGACCAAAGGACCCTTATCGGAGCTTGTCAAAACATGCCCGCAGAGTTGCGGTCAGACTTAAAACATAGAGGAAAGTAAGACATTGTAGAACCAAAGTGCAGGTTCAACTAAAAAGACGTGAGAAAAGAAAGTGGTAATGTAATTTAAACTCACCGATAAGGAACTAAGAAAACTGGAAGTAAAAAGAGTCTGGAAGTGATCCAAAACTAGAAGTGTCTTCTCGATGAATTCACTAGGTTGTCTGTCGACGAAACACTCTATCAAATCAAACAGGCAATGCCAATACAAAATCTTGTCGGAGGCTTCGACGAAAACCAAAACTAGATCTACTACTTTTACTAGGAATATACAATAAAAGACGTGTCCAGAAACAAAACGGCTGCCTCTGGCCAGCCCAAGCGTAAACCGAAGAAAATGAGAGAATAGCCTACTTGGCGAATTAAACAAAAAAAGACTCGTATTTAATCCCGCGAAGAAGAAAATGTTAACGCGGACGATTAAATAAGTCGAGAAAAACAAAGTCGCGAAAGTCGTACGCTATAAGTATGAAGTAAGGAAGTAAGGAAGTACGAAGCAAAGTGATGCACTGCAGACTCAACCGTGAAACACGTGTAACTCTGATGAGTACATACGGAAAGAGTAGCGATAATCACGCTGCTAGCTAAAAACACAAGACTATGGAACGCCGTGATTGGCACTTAGAGAAAAACAAACCATGGAGACCACAAATGTCATATCTCAGGTGCGAGGGTACTTAAAATATGCACGTAATTTACTAACTCTGGGAAGCTCCAACACCGGCGCCGCAGGCGTCGGAGCTTCGGGTGGTTTCCTTGGTTTCTCTTGGGGGCTAGTAAAACAGCCGATTGGGTGATAATATCGTTAAATCTGCAAAGGGAGTACTTACAATTTTTACATCAGAGGGTGCACGACTCCTCAGGGCTCAACTCCAATCACTTGAATGTATAATTTGAAGAAGTCTTCGATGGGAAAAAAAGGTTAATTCGGGGTACTACACCAACGATTCTTCCATGTCGCAGCGTTGATTCAAAATAGCGATGAGAAGGTACGCATGCGTGGCAGTGGCGAAGAAAATATGAATATTCAGGCTATCGAGCGCCGAGCGCTCGAAATCGCTGAATATGCACGACTCGAACAAACAGAGCCCTTCTCAACCTCGTGCATATTCAGCGATTTCGAGTGACCTTTTTTGTCAGTCAAATAAATCAACACTTGCATACCTCGGCACAGATCGGTATATTCTTCCATTTGACATTATTTTCATCCATGATTGGCGATGTTTAGTGCCATTATCGTGCCTCTAAAAGTAAAAAACTGGAGCAAAAAAAGAAAGATAACATTCGAGCCGCCATTTTGATTCATGCAGATTGAATAAATCGGGTAAAAAAATATGAATGTTAGAATAATAAAACAGCTTTCTAAAAAATTCTTCTTTACAACATACCGATCAAATA